CAAGAAAAAAAAGAAAGTAAGACTGGTGGAAAACGAATTCGATTGATTATGATTCGACTAGGCAGGAAATAAGACGAGCGGAAAAAGACAATCATCTTCACTGCAATTTCTTTTTTTTTTCTCCTACAATTCACTGCAGGCGATAGCCTACAGCTTACCTTGCTTACTAGAATTCTTATAGACGAGCTTGAATCGATTCGCTCACTAATACCATTTGCAATTATTCGACTCGTCGATGAGATAATTTCATATTTCTTTGCACTTTTCCTGTCTACATTATTTCACAATGGGAGACGTTTTACTTCGCCTGATTAACACTATTGACATCAGCTAAACATTTCACAAGGAAATGCATTCGACCCATTTATTTAATCGACACAATAGACAAAGAAGATACAATGGAATAATCAAGCTGGAATATTTATATGATAAGATGAGATGAAGGATTGCTTTTAGAGTTTGAGTTTTTCCGCCGTGGCTTTGGCATCTTTTTTCAGATTTTCGGCGGTTTGCTTCGCTTCGGCAGACAAATGCTTGGCATTGTGTTTCGCTTCCTCGTGTAAATGTTCCAGTTTTTTTGCTTCAACTTTTTGCTCATGTTTCAGTTCAGACGCGGCGTGTTCAGCGTCACAACGACGAATTGTATCTTGTTCAGCAAGATTGTCAGCGATAGCATGACGTTCTTCTTCGAGAACGCGAGCGTTATGTTGCGGAACGCTGTCGTGAGACATTTTTCAGAAAACTATCTAGAAGAATTATTCATTCTGTTTCAATAAACATGTAGATTTATTTCTGAATTTGCTTTAGACATATAGAGACAAGAAAACAACAACAGGAGCAACAGTAAATGATCACCAGTCCGAATTTCCTTTGGCAAGAAAATCGTTCTTGTTTATATTCTGTGCGGTCTTCGTATTCTGAGATTCTAACTTTGGACAGTTTGTAATACGATGGCCAAGACCGTTACAGTAGGAACAACCGGGTACATCTAAACGAAGAAAAACAGGTCCAGAATTTGAACTAACATTGCTAACATACCGCCAATATCAAGTAGCCGTTCTTTATCAGATTCAAGTTGGAGTAGAAATGATGGAACAGGCTGTTTAGCTTCGATCAATAGATGTTTCAAATCCAGTAGAATAGCTTCNAGTCGTAGCGAGACCGACACGTCCACAACGACCTGTTCGCCCAATTCGATGTACTGAAAGAGAAAAAGTTTTAGCAAAATACATCGATCGGTATGAAGGGTCAAGTTACCATAGTTTTCAGTGTCTTCAGGTAAATCGTAATTGATTACATGTTGAACGTCCGGAAAGTCTAAACCTTTCGACGCAACATCAGTTGCACAGAGAACGTCTTTTTCACCTTTGTTAAACTTGTCCACTGCATATGAACGTTCAACTTGATCTACACGAAAGCAAGAGTACAGAGTACAACATATCCATCGAACGATTAGATAATAGACGCAAAAAGGCTTCGGAAGACAGTCGATGCGTTATTTGAAAAATGACTCGATTGTAAATCGATCTGTACATTGTTGACGGAGAAGAGGAGGAGAACCGATGATCGTGATGTATGAATTTATGTATGGGAAGTCTCTCGTAAGATTACAGCTGACTTATCGATACACAGCATTGTTCAAGCACAGATTTCTGCGCATAAAATCTTATTGAGTGTGAATGATCTTTGGCATACCTTTTCCACCATGAATTGCAACGGCTTCGACACCTTTCAATAACAAATATTCATGAATAGCATCGACATCTTGCTTTCGTTGAGCAAAAATCAAAACCTGGAAATAAATACAAATCGAACTACTAATGTCTTTCTTGATTTGTGTCTTACTGGTGGTGCAGTTTTTTGTAATGCTGCTAGCAAAGCTATAACTCTTGCTTCGGGTGCTACATACTCGAGCTCTTGTTTAACTTCCAAGCTTGCTGCGCCTTTTAACATTAAAACTTTGTCGATATGCTATTCATAGTCAGTGAAACATACCTGCACGACCGACATTGATCGTGATCGGTTTCACTAATGCACTTTTAGCAAAATTCTGAATCTTTTTCGGCATGGTTGCTGAAAACAATAACGTTTGTCGTTGTGCCTATCGAACAATTTACATAATCGAAGTTCATTTTTTTTATTAGAACTACTCTACTTTAAAATGGGACATTATATTTCGAACTTCTTCTTCAAAACCAAGATCGATCATTCGATCAGCTTCATCCATACATAAATATCGACAAACATCCAAAAAGAGAATTTTCTTGTCCAACATGCTTATCAAACGTCCAGGTGTTGCAACAACAATATGTACACCACTAAAAGAACAATCATACGCATAGTCATAGGTAACACCTGATACGTACCTTTTTATTGTAGCTAACTGATCAGTCATTGGTGTACCACCTATACAAGCTGCTGTTCTTAATAACGGTAATCCTAAAATCGTAAATAGAGATGAGCAATGAAAATCAAGGAAAATGCGTACGTACCACACTGATGCACATGTTTACAGATATTTGATATGACTGCTTCAGTTTGTTTGGCCAATTCACGCTAGATACGGCAAAGTTTGGATTTTAAAAAATGATCTTTGTTGAATGTCTTGTTCTTACCGACGGACAAATTATAAGTCCATAGGGTCCTTCATTACGGGTGAATGGCATGGCTTTTTCTTGTTCGAGACAAAACATGACGATGGGTATAGCAAAAACTAGTGTTTTTCCACTTCCAGTATAGGCAATACCAATTAAATCTCGACCAGATAAACTAAAAAGTGAAAATAGTTCTGCCTCTAAGCTTTCGCTAGTTATATTATTAGAAATCGTCGTACACAGATGGGATGCCTTGCATTTGTATTGGTGTTGGACGCATAATCTTTTTCTCTCTCAGTGCATTCAAAACGCCGACCGGTAATTTCATATCCTAAAGTACGTTGACTGATGAAATATCGGTAATCGTGAAAGAAATTCTTCATACTTCAAATTTACATAATGGTGGAGGAATATCTTCACCGTCGACAAGTATATTATATATTTGACGGATGCGTTGATGGCGATCATCTGGCATTCGAAGAACAGCTTTTGGTGGTCGCCAACTAAAATAGAATCTTTGCTAGTGGAAAACTACTTTCCTGAATTATTTACCTTGTGCGAATTGGATCAGTATATTCAACACCTTTGGCCAATTCAGACACACTCATCAGAGCTGAAAATATGAGCGATTCTATTGTACATGAAAAAATCCGACTCGATATCTTACCTCTTGTTTCGATCACATTTTGAAGAATTCGTTCTTCTTCTTCGAGCATTTTATCTGCACTATTCTGGTCCGTGGCGGCTGTAAATGAAGTTCCATTGAAAATGACACTTCAATCGTTTCGACTGAAATCCTACCTTGATTCTTTTTGATTTCACTCATTTGATCAAGTAGGGTGAAATTGGCTTGAGGTCCAACCGTAATCTCTTCCTGCGTCGATTGTGCTTGTGTATCATCAGATGGCAAACGACCAGCTCTGCCATCAGCATTCCCATGATTAGCATTGGCGCCACCTAAGACTCGCTGTAACTAAAATATACACCAATTTGTTGACATGCCCATCGTACGAAATCATGAAATAAACACTCACTTGCTGTTTTCGTCGTTCTTTCAATGGCACATACGCATTGTTATCTGAGTCTCTACTTCCCGGATCTGATTCTTCGCCCATATCAAACTCATTTTCCGAATCAGATTGTTCCTACAAAACGCAAGATGATGGTAAATATTGGTGTTGGAAATGAGAAAGACATCACTCAGCTTACAATTCGTCGGCGTTTCGCTTGGAACCGTCTGATTTCTTCTTGGCGAGCATTATCATCTGTCATCGTTTGTTTTTATATCTGAATAACACGAAAATATTTCATTCCATTTATTATCCAATTAATAGAATTTTATCGAAAGCAACAAACAAGATTTTATTATTGTGTTTCTTCTCCTCTTCTAGTTCAATCACATGAGTGTGGCTCGACAGAATATGATTCACATTAATTTTTGCTTTTCGTATTTACAATAAACACAAACATGGACACAAGAAAAATAAGAAGGAAAAAAGAAAACGATTCAAATAAGCAATGTAACGAATTGCGGTTGATTGTGAATATCTTTTCGACACATTGGACACGAACGATTTTTCAACATCCATTCTCCAATACAGGATGAATGGTATTCGTGTGAACATGCCAAGATACTAACTTCTTGACCACTACGATAGTTTTCGAGACAAATCGAACATTCGGAACCTGTTTCGCCATTGGATAACGTCGGAGAACGCGATGGGGAGAGGCAAATCGTAACAGAAGATGCCGTGTTAAATATTGTCTGAAGATTGACATTTACTTTGGGTTCTTCTTTGACAGGTGCGACAGCTTTTGAAGATTCATTGAGAACTCGTTGAATAGCAGCGGCCTAAGAAATACAAGATTTATAGTGTCAGCTGAATCAAGCAAATTCACTTACGTTTGGTAATGTTTGGGCGGTACAAATGCCATTTTGTAATAGATTTTGTTGAATTTCCCAAACAAACACCGTCGGTTTAGTGGACTTCAATTTAAGAATTTCATTACGAATATGAGCTGTTACACGTGCACGTTTGTTGACTTTGGACGGAACCGAACGTTTCGATATTGGCACCGATGCTGCCGAAGGTAGCGGCAATGAAAAATTCATTGCAGGCAAGAGATTGAAAAACGGTGGATATGTGTTTGTCGATGACATTGGCGGTATACGTGAATTCACAGAAGATTTATCATTTAAACTTGAAATTGGATTATAGGACGAATATGAAGCTGAAATGAATATTCAGATAGACTTTTTCACGCTAAAAGTTAGAATTCAATGACATACATGATCCGGGATAATCTGCATATGAACTAGCACTGTGTGTACGTATCAAAGATGAGCCATTATTCCATCCGAAAAATAAATCTGATGATGGATGTGAATAAGGAAATGGAATTGTCGAAGATTGATTGGTTGTCGACGGATAGATCGATGTTGACGTTGGTAAAGTCGATTCAGCTAGATATCAGAATAGAAATTTGATTTCCAAAATAGAGAATTCTTTAATATTTACTATGACGGCGATAAAAATTTGGATTCGTATTGTTTAAATTCGGAATTGCATCAAATGACGATGGCTGAGGTTTGTTTATTGTCGAAGTATTACCGGTTGAAAAAGAAGTCGATTGATGCGGGGTATACGTCGGATAGTTCGACTTTTCCCAAGGATACTGATGATGACGATAGTCAAATGTAGTTGGATATGATCGATTACTTGCATAGTTTGCATAATCTACAGAACAAAAGAAACGACAGATTTATTATAAATTTTCATGCTCTCTATCATTCAACTCACCGATCGTTTGGGACATTTGGGAAACGGTGTTTTCTGTGACTGTCATCATGATCTGAAATGAAAAGAAAGAAACAACGACGCCATATTGAATGTATATGTGTTCATTCATTGCAAACAAAGAAGAAAAAATAGACCCACTTCGTCACGACAACTGTGTATATGCCTCCTTCTCTCTCTCCCTCTTTCTCTAGACGCTTGTTCGTTCTGAACGAACAAATGCGGGAGAAAGAGAGATGCTCGACGTCTCGTCTTTCTCTTAATTATACAGTTTGTTCTTTCGTTCTGTCCCTCTTTTCCTCTTCTCCTGTTCGCTCTTTCCTTCGAGTTTTTTTTTATTCACAAGGCAATGGAAAATGGAACTATGCTATCTTTTCTCATTTCTTTTTCTTTAATTATACTCTTGTTATTTATGATGGCGGTCGACATCCTATTGAAATCGCCCGTCGCAATATATGTACATATATACAAATGCGCACGGACGCTCCTCGCCGTTTTTCTCTCTCCTCTTTCACTCTCGTGTCGGACTAGATAAGACAAATATATAAGATGCATGACCACTACTGTCAAGCTAGTTATAACTCACAAAAATGATAATTGATCACTCTCATCTGTAAGCTTCAATGGTTCACGTTCTTTCCCTGAGGTTAAAAATGTGAGCATCTGTCTATCTATCTCTCTAGCCTATATCTTTTTACGCACGAATAACAAAAAGAAAAGAATGAAACGAGAGAGAAAAAAAGAATCTTTTGTACATTTGTCTATTACGTTTTTTCCTCGTTTGAAATACAAAAAAAACCGACTGAATAGAAAGAACAGTAAATGACCTAACATTGTAGAGCGGATAGTTAATTCTCTCACAAAAGATTCTTGTCTTTGGTACATACAAACAAATGAGAAAGAGAGAAAAATGTAAATAGGAAGACAAGACAAATACACGCGCACACAGAAGAGAATCCGTATTTTTTCTTGCTTCACATCATGAAAATGTACATGGAGATATAATCGAATATTTTACTGTTGCACAGAACGAAAGAAATCTACCTAAATCCATAAACGATATGTGCAATAAACTATACATATTGGTATTTTTTATCAGCAAGAGGAGGAGAGGAAATTATTGCGACGACATATAGGACACGATGAATTCATTGTAAACCAGCGTGCAATACATTTCGAATGGTATTCATGTTGACATGGAAGTACACGAATATGTTGTCCACCTCTAAAATGTGACATACAAATAACGCAGGCTGTTTGTTTCGAGGATAATGTGCATGTTTTGTAACGATAGGAAAAGAACTGTTGAACATCCACTTGATTAAAACGATTCGGGTCGGAGAGTTTCTCGGCTAGATCTAGCAATTGTTCGTAGTTTTCACGTTCGCGATACGAACGCCACGGTTGTGGTTGGTGAATATGATAGTGATGATGATGCAATTGCTCATCGGATGAGCAAGTCGATGTTGATTCACTCGATGAATCCGAGTGAGCCGGAGAAATATTTCCTGTGCGAAGTGTTGTTTGTTGTTTGTTGTCAAGTATGAAATTTGTTGTTCGTAGTGGACTAGAACCATTCGATTGAGGCGAGAGTAAACGTAAATTTGTTTTCGATGATTTTGGTATTGTACCTATCAACAACGAGAAAATGAGTTTGTTGATCAACAAGAACTTTCCTATTTACTCTTTTGATTCGATGTTATCAATGAATTACTATGGAAAATGGAAGAATGATGATGTTGTTCGGTTAATAATGGCGAATAATGATCAGATAAAGTCTGCTCATGATTTGGCGCACTATTTGTTCGATGGTATGACGCCGCTGTCGTCGTCGTACTTAACCGTGGTAATGCTGGGAGAATGTTACTAAACAATAATGGAATCTCACTGGACGCTCGAAGGTGGTCCCATGTTGTGGAAAGGTTTTGTTCTTGTTGATGTTGAAAGTGTAATGACCGCCGTTTCAATGTTGCATACGGAGGTTGATTTTCTAGTTCCGTATTACTTGACGGTTCGTATCGAGCGCGTTTATGAGTCTAGAAGAAGAGCAAGATGAGATCAAATTTAAACAACGAAAGTGAACTAGTTTACATAGTGTTCATGGTCGCGAAGAAAATGATGTGTTGCATGAGTACCCAAATCGTCCTGTGCTGATCGTTTTCGAGTTCCTCGTGCTGTTGTCATTGGTAGATTCCGGTCGTAAATAAAATCGGGAGTATTCGATGGTAAATACGAGGAGAGTGTTGGTTCGGTGGTTATCGAACAACGCCGTCGTTTGTTTGACAGGGTAGTAGGTGTTGCTAAATGATGATCGATCGAAATGGGAATAATTTGTTGGTGATTGGAAATCATTCGTTGTTGTTGTTGTTGTTGTTGCTGTTGTTGTTCGTCCTCGTGATGCTCGGCGCTCAACAGATAATATCGTCTCAGAGTTGGATTGGTTTGTTTTTCATCCATGACTTTGACTTTTTAAAACATCATCATTCTAAAAAAAAGACGAGAAAGAGAAGGTAAAGAAGCAAATTCGATCTATCAATGTATATGTGCACACAATTGACGCCCCTAACATTACTCGTTTGCAAGCGCAAAGAGGGAGAAGAAAAAAAATGAAGAGAATAGAAAAAGAATACGAATGTCGGCTGATTCATGCGTACCCATACTGATCGTAGGCGAAAAGAAGCGAAGGAGAATACTGAGTGCATACTCGCGTCGCTACAACACCGACATACATACATACGCGCGTCTACTTATATGAAAAGGGAAGAAAAAACGGCAAGCGAGAGAGATGAGGGTCAGCACTAAGATGATCGTTCTTCGTCGTCGTTATCGCGCTTCTTTTGTCCAACTGGGAAAAGTAGGTCGTCTGTGTTGATATACAAGTCAAGGAGAATAAAATGCTTATTCTAATCAAAAGAGAAACACGACAGGAGAAGAAGAAAATGAAAATAACTCATTCGTTGATTCTCATAGATTAAATACCATTGACTTCAATGACAAAAATTCTTATCTGTCGATGATGTAATACAATTCGTATATAACAAATGACGGGGACATTTACATTCGAATTGTGAGCGTAAAATGAAGACAAAAGATGATAGATATCTTTCTTCTCTCAATCAAATTAGTCGGTTTTAAAGAAAATTTCACTTCAATGTGTCCGTATCTAGTCGTGTCAATGAGCAAACGGAATGTATCAGTTGTTAATTGCAAGGTTGGAAAATTTGATGGTAGTTGAAACAACATACATGTTCGATCGAAATATGTCTCGCAATGATTCTGACACGTTGATAAAGAAAAAAATATATTTTCTTTTCGGCAGTTTCCTTTCAAACTCTGTCGATTGCCTGAGAAATTCATCTTAAGCAAATCTCGCAATCATATACGGACACGTACAAAGGCAGTGATTGTCTTCATGTACAGATATGATATCTAGGGCACTCGATACGAAAAAAAAGCACATATACACAATGAACATGAAACTTACGGTTAGATGAACTTGAACAGAAGATACCGAAAATAAAGTGCATCTGAAACAGAAAAACGAAATAATTTGGACTTTTTTTGCTAACAGATCTTCGAAATAATCGGAGAAGGTTTTTTTTTCCAAGTTGAATCAATGAATTATTCACAAGAAAAACGAGAGAAAGAAAACAAAATCCTAAAAAAATCGAATGCAATAGAGACGAATATTGATTGAATTCAGTTGCATTTTCTTTCAACGCATCACCTGCCGGACAAGACGAATGAGAAAATAAAACAAACCGGATCGATCCTAATTCATCATCTCAAAATGTAATTGATCAAGTTGACCGTTGAAATCGTCTTCATGTTTCTTCCAATCTTTCAACAAATGTTCTAACGTTTGAAATGTTTTCTCCAGATTGATACTATTTGGGTTATCAGTTCCACCGGTGAGGGTCGAATCCACTTTTTGTATTAATGTTTCTAGCTCGTGTTCGATATTTGTCAATTTTTGCCAGGTCTGTTCATTCGATGATTGGACTCGTGCACGAGTCAACGCCGATGAAATTATTGTGGACGATTCATGTAATAACGATATTAACGCTGAAAGTTTCGACTCGAACGTATCTGTACAATGATCATTGGACATTGTGAGAGAAGCTTTCCGCTTTCGAGTTGATCGATGTTCATTGAATAGTGGCCGTTTCTCTAAGGGATGCTGATCAGTTAGATAATCATGAACTGTTTGCACACGCTCGTGAAAGGGTATAACTGGCGATGGTGGGCTAGTAGGAGTCGTTCGACCTTTTATTTTCGATCGAAGTGGATCCACGTCATCACTGGATTTTATCTAGAGAAACAAGAACAGATACGTGAGTGAAGTTTGGGTTTATCAGGGTTAGTATACTTACATTGGATGCGTCCACTCGAAGATTGGGATGCAGTCGAGGCGAACTCCGCACGGAAGAGTTGATGTCTAAACCATTTGTAATCGATTTTCGATAGAATGGACTTGAAATAGGAGTCTTATACACAGGTGAGTTATGAGGCACACGATCGTACAATTTTCTTTGAAATCGTCCCATCGTTGTTCGTTCTACGTAGTGCGTAACTAACGGATTTAATTCGGTAATATTATCTAGCTCATGAAAGTTCTCTTCGTTCAGTTGTTCAGTAATATTCGTCGAAGTTAACACTTGATTTTGATAGTCAGTTTTATATTGTTCGAGTTTTTCTTCCAAAAGTTGATGAAATTCGATCAGATTTCGAAGTATTAAAAGATCATTAGATGATGTTTTACGAAAATATGTATTGATATCAGACCAAATTTTATCTATTCGGGCGCCGATGATAGGCGCCATGGATACTTGCCGGTCCAGCAGTAGATTTGGTTGGTAATGACGTGCTTGCAGTTGATTAGTCAATGACGGTAAAGGTTTTTTCGGAACTTTTTTCGACGAGTAGATATATTCTGCCTGTTGATGTTGCCGAATTTTCGAACGAAGACTCTCGTTACTGATTGGTTTCGTTGGATGAAGAAGATCTTTGAGAAAATCTTCACGAACAATGGACATCGAGAGAAGTGCCTCGAGTTCTTGTTGAACAAGATGAACTTCATGAGCAAAAACACCTGATTGAGTGTGTTTATTCGAGAGAATTTGGTCGATATTCGGAGAAATACATTCCCAATTTGGTAATGTAATATCGACGAAATGTTCTGTAGAAAATGATTGACGACGCGAAGACGATTTCTACAAATAAACGAACATGACGCATTCAGAAGACGAAATTATCAACGTACTCGTGTTGTATGACTATTGTTTTTCGTCGAAAGAAATGTATTATTGATTAATGATCGTTTCTTTGACGTTTTCTTCGGTGATAGAGATATTTTCGAATGATTTTCATGTTGTGGTGAAATATGTCGACGCTTTTTTGACTTCTTCATGCAACCATTATCTTCTAGTGAACGTTTTCGTATTCGTTTTGGACTATCATTTATTTGATTTTTCTCATTAGAATTATTGATTATAATTGAGCGTTTCATAATTTCCTCAAATTCGAACGAAACATCTAAGAGACATCAAACAAACAATGTCATTTTCTTGATTAAGTAAGATATGAGGTCATACATCATTATGTTTGCTGCTTTCTCAGTTTTTTATTGGTTAGAAACTCTGCAACCAACCACCAATTATTAAAAATACAAATACAAATACAAAAGAATAATAAAATGCACAACACCAGATGGCGCTAGATATTGAAAACAAGAAATCGAAGAAGGAATACTTTATGATGAGGGTGGGTTATTTGATGAAGCGGCTGCTGCCCAATATGATGGTGGGGGTAGTTCCTCTGATTTCTCAATTGTTGGATCGTCCTTTTCTGGATGAATGCCAGGTCCGTAAGCAATCTAAATAGATTGAGAAGCATCAAACTCGGATTTCTTTGGCACTGGCTGAGCAACTTACGAGGTGAAGTTCGAATTGAGCAAAGCGTTCTTTTGCCTTTAACTTGGCATCTTCGTATGGCACACCATCATCATCAAAATTGAGAAAATAACCCGGCATATGTACAGACTCGAGATGGATCGCTTGTGCTGAGCCTAACACGTTATGAGCACGAAACTCTCCTTCAGTTGGTGCCTTCTCATTCGCAGTGGATGGGATGATGATAATTTTGCCGTTTTTAACTGCGAGATAGTTGTAATTATTGTGAAAATAGTAATGATTGTTCGGTGTACAAACAACGAGCCAATGAGCGTTAGGATAATACGAGCCAGTACCACCGATTGCATCGCAAATCAATTCATTTGTAGTTTTAGAAACAACGATTTGAAGTGTTCGACCTGACGATCGCGAAAGGATTTGAATGACATTTCCAGGTTTTAAAAAAACCCTAAAAAATATCATATCAAACATATTTTCTTTACCGATAAATACTCGATTTTACCGTGGATCTTTGCCTTTCACTAGTGAATTCACAGTATTCGCTGCTGTTGTTAGATAGTCACGACCACCTTCGACCTTCGATGCAAGGTCATAAGCCTTTTCAACGGCCTTCTTACCGAGACTACCGAGAAAACTCATTGTAATTATGTGAGATTACTCAAGAAAAGGGAAATGGGAATGAAAAAGAATAACAGCGAAACGAAGTACACATGATTCATAAACCAAGATTGTCTAATCGTATAATGACCAATCAGTACTCATCAATCATTCGTGAGCACACCTCCTGCCATCTTCAATCTCGTTGTTCGAAATCGTAACAGTTTCTTGTAACAAGAAAAAAGATTTGTTTTATTTGACTTATTACAAGTTAGAGAAGTACATAACCGGAAAAATAAATAAGAAGTACAAGAGAGTAAGAAATAAAATTGTTTCGAAGATAGAAGAGAATATTCATAAACTTTTCGTTCTGTCACACATAGAGAAATACTAAGAATTCGCGAACAAGGGAATGTTCATATGGATCACTCTTTCTCAACAGAAATTCAAACCGAGTGACTAGGTGTGGAGAAAAGTTTAAATCCTATAGATGTAATTTCTATGTATATGGACACAAGCATTAGAGAAGTAGCTCGAAGATTATAGTATAACAATAACATATGAGAAAGAATAACATTCTCGTGTGGTTTAAAAAAGAAGCTGTACAATAGATATGAAAAAAATATGGAATGTGCGAAGCATTTATTCTAGTTCAATGTTTTTCTAATATTGTTGGGTTATTGAGAAGAATTTGAAGTAATAACGAATCGATGTATTCACGTAAACGTTGATTGATATTCAAGAGCTAAAAGACAAAAACAAAGATGATTACTTGTATGCAATAACTAGACCCGATACTAACACACAACAAAGAGAAAAGCATGCAACCGAAGTATATATATATGAGAGGCTACGCAATATCAAAGAAGCAGTAAAAACGAAGAAGGTGCGTATGAAAGAATGACTAGGATGAAAGCTAGACATAGAGGTATGAAGCTGAAACGAATAAGTAGTGTGACGTTACAGGCGGCAATACTTGTCGTTTGATTTGCCATTGACATTCGATGTTGATTCAGTGAGTTTCAATGATTCAACGGGAAGAGATTTATTCTCAGTATCATTCGATGATGGGATTAACGGTGCTTTTCGATTATCGTTTGCCAGAGATGATGGCATGCCAAAAGAAGCAAGAGAGACGCCACCATTCATGGTCACTTCGAGTAATTGAGGACTATTGTCGATGATTACACTGAGCATTCGTTCGATGTATTCGCGTAAACGATTATTAACCAAATGTTGTTCTCTCAATTTGCTCATCAGCTGTAAATATGATGGAGATTAGGTTTTATACAAAGAAGAGAGATAAGAAGATTTTAGAAGTTTGAAAGACCATGCATTTTTTTTCTTTCTTTTTGTTTTACAAAAACAATAAGCGGATATGTTCAACAGATAAACAAACAAAGTCTTACCTCATCTTTTGAGAGAAGTTCAAGTTGTTCATCCCATGGTAGTGATCCGTGGTCGTTGAGTATTCCTCGACCTTCTTTGATACCACTAGATGAAAAACAATGGATTTAGTTAAGATTTCATGTGAACGTTGGGCAACATACGAAATAACAGCATCTTCTTTCATTTTCTCATTTTCAAATTTGAGTGCTTCATTTTCCTAGAAGATAAAAATTCGTTTCTAGTGCTCTTTGCCAGACATACAATGACATACTTGTTTCAATGCACGAACTTGAGCGTCAAGGTCTTGTATGCGTATTTCTGAGCTTTTAATGATATTTTCCGTTCGAGTCAATGTGTGTCCGAACATTTGTCGCGATGAATCAAATGATAATTGTTCCGCAAGCTTGAAGGCATAAAAGTATAATAATGAGTATTTGCGTAAGTGAGAGTGAGCGCGCTAGCCTACCTGTTCATTGGCCAACTTTTGAGCTTCAAGTTCTTCACGTTGAAGACGTAACTGTTCTATTAGTTTTTCATTATCATCGGCCAAATCATCACATCGAAGTTGACTTTCTTGTAATTGATTATCAACATTCTCAAGTTTCTAAATGAATTTCCATACTGAGACAAAAGTCTTTCAAATTCCAATATTTGAGATCAATTCATTAGAGCAGAGAGAAGAGTAAACAACAAGTTTTCTTAATTACTTTTTGTAAATCTTTGACATCCTTTTTCATTTGCCCATTGGTCGCATGGGTTTGTTTCAATTCAGTTTCGATTGCGTTGATTCTAAATTGAGAAAAAGAGAACATTCATTTTTCGCTCGTTCTTTCTTTTCGATTAAACAGTGAAGCTGAGTGGTTTCTAACATATATTCAAGAAGGGGAAGAAGCTAGAGGTAAAATGAAGAAGGCATGCAAACATAGATACTCCGAATAACAGACCTCATGATACTAGAATAATCAAACGCATAGTTTGAAGCTAGATGAGATCGGAGAAAATGTTTACCTTGATTGAAGAATTTCTTTTTCTTGAAGAAAAGATCGATCTTTTTGGGTCTAAGGAAAAGAAATGATGAATGAAATGGAAATTTCGTTGCTACTTACAATGTATTCGGTGTACTTTTGATGTTCACTTTCTGTTGAACGTGCCTGTTGTCCTTCGAGATCGTGAAAACGATCTTCAAGTGCTAAAAGCCTAAAAGATTCCGAATCCAACTGGAATTTTCGTGCAAAGATATTCTTCGTACCTGCTCTTTAAATCGGAATTTTCACTTTGGATTTTCGATAAACGATCAGTGGTCGCGGCTTTTTGTTCCGTTAAGACTTCGACCGTTTTTTGTAACTCGTCTACCTAAGGAAAAAGTCCGCGAGTTCTATTTTTTTCCAATCAACTTTCCACGAACTGTTTCTTGTAATATTTGACCGTTTTCTTCAGAAGGATGAATCGATTGTAGAAGAGAGTTTCGTTTCAACAATTGTCTGAAAACGGAACACATTATCGATATGTTAATATTCGTTATTGAAACATACGAAGCACGTTGAGGCGTCGTTGCACGTATATGCGATATTTCAGATATATAACTGGTCGCATCTGGTTCAGCCACACCGCTGAATTCTTCTTCTTCACCGAAACTACAAAACTCAATAGAAGTCTTCGATTCTCATCACGAGTTTGGTCGCACACATACGTCAGAAACATTGCTATTTCAAATTGTCTGGCCCTCATAAAACATTTTCATGACCTATACAAGTTAATCTCACTGTATGTCGCTTTATCACTACATATCGAATAGTTAATGCAAAGGAAAGATTTTCGTTTGACACTTCATTGATCTCTCGCTTATCACAGGAGATTTTTCATACGTGTGTGATTTCGTCTCGAGGCAAATGATATCCTAATCGATGATTCATCCTCCATAGTCAAGATCGTATCTAAATCGGAGATGACCGAACATAACTTACACAGATGAATCCAATATTGGTGAACTTGATTGAATATTTCTATGACTGTTCTGATTTTTATCAGTATCGTGATTCGTATGATTGCTTTTCTTGATTATTGGTTGTATTTTACTATTATTCTGTTGATTTGATGTCTCGTCAGTTTCAACGTCGTACTCGTTAAATGTTGTTGTACTGCCGTCTTGATTCTAACGAAAAGCATTCAAATTACACAGTGTAATTGCGTCAGTGTTTATGAAATAATATTTCAATTACCAAACTTCGCTGATCAGAATCTTCGGCCAGAGAATTCTCTCGACTACGTCTTGATAAATCGGATGCCACGTCTTTCAAAGACACACCTTGTAGCGAACTGATCTGAGCGATTCCTTGACAAAACTGATCGAAATTGATTAAACCTGTATTATTCGGATCTAGCGCTTTAGTAATACGGGCAAGTTGCTAAAACAGAATGAGTAGAAGTAATGAATGTGATATAATGTTGACAGAATAGAAGAAAAAACGACGGGGAAAAAAGGAGAGCAAATCAAAGGAAGGATCGTAACCTTTGTACGTCGATGCATATATACATCAACATGAGGCGACACACGTACACACCTGACTCGCAAAAAAATGTTTAGTATACATTCTGATTTATATCATGGAAGAGATTTTTTTCTTCTTCTTCTTTTACAATTGAAAGGACTGGTTAGAATTTGTATTTCTCTCTTCTTTTTGAACAGTTGTTTAAATTAAAAACGAAACAATAGGCCAAGAAGAAAGAAACAGTCACTTACTTCTGCATCCGAATAGTAATTATTTGCAACATCGACAAAACGACGTAATTGAATTTGACCCTCGTCGTTTTCATCAAGAATTGAAAAAACTTCGTTCAAGTCGAACTCCATCATCTTGAAAGGTCTCTTATCGAAAAGAAAATGTTACAGTATCAGCAACAATCGCATCATTTTATCTGAAATATAACAAAGAACAATCTTCTTCGACTAACTAGATGTATACATATATCCACACCAACGTTCACACAACTATTTATCTACCATTATTGCCTTGTTCTATAGACAAAAGGACGAACAATCTTCACCTCTTCTCTCTCTCGCCCGTTCGCCCGCTCGTTTTTCAACAGGCCAATTAAACGAAAGGCGATAGAAAAAAAAACGTTTGACTTCCTCCTTTGACAAGTTGAGAACAGTTCAATGTACAGGGAAGAAAACTTGCTACTGACTTGTACATCGACATGGGACGAAGAGAAAGAATCAAATCAACATTATTAGTATAAAGTTTACATGTAAAGAGACAATAATTGACAATCAGGGAAGAAAAGAAACGTAGTCATCACGAAGTATCGACAAGAAAAGATTCAATTGTGATAAGAACTGTTCAATAGGTTCATGTCTGGCAACTATTAACTTCAAATATATATATATACATCGATTCATTGTTGCGTCATATCATTTCGGTGAAAGATGCGAACAGGCTGTTAGAAAGGAGAGAAAATGAGTTGGAAAGGGAATGGTAAACTATGATTAGCGTTCACTCATTCATTCTAAGAATGATGAATGATAGAAAGTGCTAAATATATGCATCTGTCATTCCGACAGGAGCTGGCAAACAATTCCTCGTATATCTCGTACGATCGAAGAAAGAGATTTATGCTCATTACGCTCTCGTTCGCTCGACTTGCATGACGATTGAGACAGAAAGATCGTCGATAGTTATATTGAAAAAGAAAAGAAAAAGAAAATTTCTTTTCTGTCAAGTTACATGCACAAAGGCAAAGTGTTCTATATCCTAATCGATTACCTCCTGTGGAAGTAGAAATTGATAAAACTGATCGAATAAGCAAGAAATATTCGACGGAACAGACGATGACACATTAGAAAACGAAAATCACGTCGTTGACTAAAGAGTGACAGGTGGAGTGAGTCATACATCATCTCGGCACTATTATATTTTCTACATGTCAACGAAAGAAAAAAAATCGAAATCGAATACAATCATAATATGCATAGTAATAAATCAGCTAATATTAGTCATCAAATTTACGTTCGACAAAATGACTGAAAGAAATGTATTTATTTGCTTATCGATTGTGGAAATATATGGCAGAGGACATAGAGAAAATATTTTTTCTTCACGTCTACTCGTAACTCTCCCGTTAATTTGACAATAATAACGGCGATTTTGTCTGACAAAACAGCATTGTCATGAACGATTGAATAACACCTACCACTAATACTAACTTCCTCTATTTCTCTCTCTCTCTCTTTCGAAATCAGAATAGACATTCACTTGTTCGTCCTTGTGCTGCCAACAGACACACATACGAACGCCTACCGCGAACAGAGGTCACTATTAAAAGTAACTGTAATCATTAATATGCAAACATTTGTGATTTGAATAAAACGATACACCTACTCAAGTATACTTTCATAAGATCATGCAGATTGAATGATTACATAAGTTAAATGAGACGTACAAATCAAAAAGATTATTTTCAAGACAACAATCGTATTAAACGAGCGCATGGCCAGTGTGAATGAATGAATGAACGGTCGATCGTTTACCTATTGGTTACGGTTAGAACCAGTGAAAAGTATGTGTCAGAGGTGTTGAAGTGAACTTCGTTCTTTGTGATCAATCTACTATTGACATGAGTGAATGAATTCCAAGACTTCTACGCTTCTCGTTTGAATTGATTCGAAAGAATGTCATTCATTGAACTTGTTTATTTAAAAAAAACATCAGAAAGTGAATGAGAAAGAATCCCGGGAAAAAACAAACAAACAAACAAGAAAGAACCAGCGAGCAATCGACGAAAACACCAAGTTAACTATAGACGTGCGTTTCTTGATATACTCGCCTATTTAGTAATCTGACCATGGGAAAACAATCACTATTTCATGCACAAGAACATTAGTTTTGTTTCGCTTTGACATCAATCGATCACATTTAGATTAATTTATTGTACGCGGCTAAGAATCGATTTACTGCTGGAACACGAGATAGGATACGATAGAGTACAAACGCGGACATAGCACACATTCCACCAGCGAGGACATCTAATACATAATGATGCCGAGAATAAACTGCCGAAAACCAAACACAGAGGGTAAATATAACAAATGTAATGTGTAACCAGAGCTTTTTACTCAATGAACCATAGAGTACAGTAATTAACGGATACGCAGCGTGCAGAGATGGAATAGCAGCGAATACATTGGCATTCTTGGAATACATTGATGAAAAAATTTTCAAACCAGTGACTTCATCGAAATGTATGAAACCTGCTGGATTGCCACGTGCTTTGATATTGAATTCAAATCCATACAATTCCACGTACCATGGCGGTCTGAAAGAGAAGAATAGTTCGAATCGAAAGAGAGCATCGCTTAAAAGATGAACTTACGCCGTTGGAATGATATAATAAACAACAAATCCGAGCATGTTGGTGAATAAAAATGTAAATGCAAAATCCATGTAATCTCGTTTGGTTTTGTATCGATATAAATACAAACTGTACGCAACTGGAATTGGAATCCTGTTAACGAAAACAAATGGCAGTAAACAAAACACTCATTTATCTGGAGTATTGCTGAATTTTCGTCCTTTTATCGTTATTAGGATTAAATTTTATATAAGACTATGAAAGAATATTGACTTTTGCTCTTCTCTCACAACATCAAAACTCGCTTATCATCAACTCATAAATAATGCATATGAATCAACTTTATTGCCCTCCTTAGATAAGTCCTAATCTTTACCAGTTCAGGTAACAAATTCCGGTGAAAACATCTAATAATGGAATGTGATTTTGTTGAAAATATTCATTAAGTGTAATCATCTTTCCATTAGAATATATTCCGAAGAGTTTCTTTTCCATTAGGTAAACATCTTTGATATGAATATTTGATACCGTATAATTCGGCACTAAATGTAATGCATCGTATAGAAGTAGGTAGGTTAAATAGATTAGAATCGCTAACGCGAAACGTCGTGTTCGTTCGGATAAGAAAAGCGAGACGAATAAAGCGATATAAATTAAAACGTGTACTATTGAAATGCCGGCAATAAATATAAACCATAGAAAATAGATTGAACTTACAAATACAAGCAAGATAAGATTGTCTTTTAGAAACAACAATCTGTTATCCGAATGTATTAGAAAATCATTTGATGATGGCGGTGAAAGTTGAAGAATGAGCGGATTCGAGTTCGTATCATTATTATTCTCGTCATTTCGTGATTGGAGATCGAGTTGATGATAAATCGAGTTAGTTCCATCTTGTTTAATAATACCATTCGAGTGTAATTCATATGATTCGTGTGGCGCACGACGCGTTTGAAAGGACGAATCGGATTGATATTCACTAGCTAATGGTTCGTAAGTAGTAGTCGATCGAAAACCAATTTGATTACCTAGAAACAGACGAAAGATTGTTTGTTATGTCATCGTGAACCCTGAGGGATCGAAAATGCAAAGCGGACAATTGTGATTGTTGAATGGATCAATGAAAAGCTTACCGAGTTGATGAAAAAGACTTGAAACTGGTACAAAGATTCTCGACCATTTTCGCGGATGAACTGGACTGAAATATCGCATTTTGGATTTCAATTTGCACACATTATCAAAAAGTTACAAACATTGATAGTAAAATGTAACCTATAAAACGAAAAAGAAATATTCATAAACGATTATTCTTGTCGATCATGAAAAATCACTTGAGATACTAACAGAAAAAGAGGAAAAAGAAAGGTGGGTATGTCTAAATAAGTTTACCCACGGAGAGCAGAGAAAACGAGCGCACGCACGAGTGAATCAACCACTAAAATATTGTTCTGCATGAGAAATAAACACATGTACACGCAGGTAAAATCATCAGCGAGAACCATTGACTAGATGAATGAGATGGAAGAAAATCTGACGCGCAGTTCTCTTCTTTTCCTCTTCTCTGTTTCGTTTTGGTCAGCTAAACTTCAGTTCATTGGCGAATAATATCAAAATGAGTGTGACAAGCTTTTGTTAAATGTATGTTGTCAACGTGGTTACCATTAACGTTGTGAGCGTTCTCTATACTCTACACATTCATTTCACTCGGTCCCGTTATTTGAAAAAAAATTCTCGAGGCGTCGTGGTTATTGGTCCTATTTTTTTTTCTTCTTTCATCAAACGCACTTCGTCGCGACTCGTTTCTTTTCTTCTCTATTGTCGTTCTAATATTTCTTTCTTTCCTACATTTTTGTTCTTTTTCTTTCTCTACATTTCTCCTACTCTTTCTCCATTCCAAAGAGACTCTCTTCAACCGTGTTGCGAACACTCGTCCTTTTATACGCATTTCTTCTTACTGAGAGCTGTGGACTGCATAAAATATAATATTTGACATTTTTCTTTCTCTCCTCGCCTCGCACTGATCGTGTTTACCTTCGATCGATTCGTCGAGAGTGCAAATCCTCAGACGAAAATAAAACGATAGATCATATCTGACACATTTCTTTCGGTAGTCTACACATTGAACATCGTAGTTCGCTTTAATCAACTCGACAAATACAGCGAGTCGACTGAAGTAGGTCGTCAAATTTCGAACATCGGGTATAAAACAAATCTTTTTCTTGACTATTAAAATATTGACAATCGACAAATTTGCATTGAATTATTCTCTGTAAATCATCTGGATTAGCAGGTGAATAAGACGCTTGAAAATGTTTTACTTAACCATCGCGAGTCAAAACTTTTCTTATAAGTATCGGATAAAAATAACTTCAAAGTTCGTCGATTATTAAACATATTCAACTTTTTTAGTGTGTTGCTATTGGTCACGATTGAAGTGCATCGCGTATGCAACACGCGCCAGCTGGTTTTCTGCTTTGACAACAGAAAAGAGAATAGAAACATATACTCCGTCATCAGAGAAATGAATCAGAACAATCATCACAAATCAGAAAATGATTCGTACATAGTTTGTATGAAATATGCACCCACGTATTTACTATGAATTTGAATATATATGGCAACAGGGCGATGTTTTTAGTGCGGGGCAGCTTGTTGCCTTCTTTCACTTGAGGAAAAAACTAATTAAATGTTTAAATTTCATTTCTGGTGTGTTAAATTTAAAAAAAGCCGTTGATAATCTCCTTTTCATGACATGTTTCCTGATATAATAAAGATTGAACTCGTTCTATATTTGACATCCATTCCATTAAAGTACACTTTAAAAATAGAAAAAAAAAGATAAAGTTACTGGCTGATTATTCAATGAGCTATGTTGTATTGAGATAAACATGAAAGATCATTCATCGAAATGTAAGTTGCTAGTGGAGAACAAAAAATGATAAGACGAAGATGTTCGTTTGTCTTGAATTACTTACCATCCATGTCTAAATCGTCGATGGGTTGACGTCGAGTTTGTTTTTCGACTTTCGGTCCTTTGACAACTTTGACACGATCATTTGATAAGCGTTTCATTTTGATTCCATCTTCGTTTCGACAAACATCAATCATATGGCGATAAGCAAGGCGTCGTGCTTCGTTAGAATTTTGACTAATACCCACAGGAAATTGAATATGATCGTCAAGTAAGATACGATGAAACCAATAGGTCTTGCCATCGAATTGTCGAATTTGTTCGCGATTGATGACATTGATTCGACTTTGTTGAAGAACAGACTCGACTTCGTTCACATCAGATGTGGGTCGGAGATGATAATTGCGTAAAATTTCAGCTAATTTCGAGACACAGACTGTGTCCGCAAAGCAGACACGAACATTGTTTCTAAAGGCAGATTAATATTCACTAAAATCCGATTGTCTCAACAGTCGATTTTACAATTCATGATCCGATGTATCGGAGAGAACACCCGCCCACTTGGCAGACTCTATTAAGTGCTGAATTTCCGTTTCGGTCATTGGAATCTTTCACAAGAAAGAAAAAGTCAAGATGAATATTCATTTCCGTGGTCAGATTGAAACTTACATTCTCATCTGCTTGATCATGGTGGAAATATTCTCTTCGGCGATGACTTGTTTGTGGGGTGAATAATCTTTTACACGTAGGACCTCGTGAATCGAGATCTAAATTCCAACGACGATCGATGTAAGTGAAATTCCGTATTTAATTTCTGATAATTTACCCAGTAATGTTCGACCCAGTAAACCGGAAAAAGGTTTTACTTGTCGGTATGAGAAATCTGACGGAGTGTTAGGTATACTATCGTAATGCGAGCGAAGATTGGCCGATTCAGATTCTAAAAGCATGAAAATTGATGTACTAATGATAAAATGAAGCAAAGTACGAACGAGTTAAGCTTCTTGTGCGGAAACGACGACTAAAGCTGACTGCTGTTGCCGGTGGTCCGGTTTTGATATGTTGTTTCTCATCTAAAAAACTTCCATTTCAATAAGGGCTTATTCTTGAAAAAAAAAGGCTAACCACATTGTTCTAGGAGGAAAATAGTATCTTCACTAGCCATATCACAGGTCAGTTGTGTCTGTTGCATCCAATGTTTCAAACGACGACTGACGAAATCACGAACTTCGCTATTATCATGAGACACTGACCAATTAACACGTTCGAACGGACGACTCGTACCCTGAACAACGTTCAGGTCTATAATCGCACCAGTTACACAACGTAGTTCATTCAAACGACAGTCCTTTACATAAAGAAAAAACAATTAGATTTTCACTTGACTTTGTTTGATTATTTACCTGTTCACCACAAAATACTGTTCGAATATTAATATCACTTCGCTTCGCGTCCACCACGGTTTGCAGAGTTAAAGTCTACAAATGTGATGATGAAAACTAATTGTAAAGATGAGAGTTACTAACCGATGAAAATCGATCATTTGAAAATGACGAAAAATCAGATGCAGACGATCGGCTGGATAATTTTGATATAGAACTCATATTCGTTTAGCTACAAATGCACGTATGAAAATAGCCTTAAGTCGGATGGACTAACTGCTAACAGAACGGGCGATTTCTTTTCCTTTGTTTCTGTTCGATTCGTTTATCATCTTCTCGTCTGTCTTTTCTTATATCGAAATATGCCGTTGATTCACTCGAAATGGTCGAAAGAGCGTTTTTTAAAAACGAAATTACTACACAAAACTTCACGTCATTTGATCGCAATTTCAATAAATTGTAAGCAATCTGAATGAAGCTGATTTTGGTCAGCATGTTCTGTATTCGATAACCAATAGATCTCCTAGCACGTGATCAGCGAAAACTAAATGAACAGAATGAGAATATCTGTCAATCGATCGAACAGATCGACGAACATTTGGATGCGTTAGGAGAGAAATTCAATACATTAAACAATATTTGCTATTTCCTTCGCATACCGTCTCGTGTCTATTTGGAAAAGGTTTGATTTCATTTACCAAACGTAAACACACTCATCGAGTCTTGTTTTTCATAGAGAATAGTGCGTCTACACCAAGTAGCTAAGGAATACTTAGATGCTATCGAGGAAGAAATTCGCGATGAAATTGATCATTGGAATAATATTCAATCGATTCTTTCTCAGTAAGTGTTTTCATACCAACCGAATGCGACCATTCGCTTTAGACCATTGCTAGAAACTGGTCTTATACGAAGTTATTATGGTGGACTACCTCGACAAGTGCAGCAGAATCCTGCAAGCGAATTGAATACAATATATGAAGCAAATGAAACAGTGAGATCGATCCGTTCACTCGCACCGATCAGCACATTTTCAATCTTATCGAATACAACGATGGATGATGAAAATGATTTAGAATCGAAGAGATTCAATAAAACATTTGTTAAAACGAAATCTACAGTGAATGATTCACTGCTCGACGATGAAAATATCACATCGACAAAACTACATAAGAAACGATCGAGTTATCGATCTAAACTAGGTACCTCATTTTGAAAATAACATATTCGATAAGCCCATCTTTTCTAGATTTGGAAAACGATACACGAGAAGAATTCATAATTTGCATTGATTAAATATACATTCGATTTTTAATTTAATTTTTCCTAATAAATTAGTCCATTCATTTCATATTCAATCAGAATCTGTTTTTATACAATTAACTTCTTCTTTATTCGTATGATATTCATGGCATGGTTGTTTTTTTCTGATCCAAAAAAAGACGAATCCTCTTCGCCATTCAATCACATGTTTTATTCAACGAGAAAAAGATAAGACATGACATTGACTTAACCAGCTTTCTTGACAATTTGTACGACATCTTCGTCCAAGCTAAACAATTCAAAACGATTTCAATTAAATTCCGACCACACGAATCAATACTCACAGAACATGTTCTTTGCCGACTTTTTGTGGAAGATGTTTCACAGACGCTCCCTGAAAGCATTCGATTGCAATGAAAAAGTGCAAAGTTGATAGCTCGTCAGCTTACCCAAACCAATGCATATTTGAAATCAGAGAGAATGGCTCGATGAATTTTATTACAGAAATCTTCCACGGAACTTTTGCCTTGTGTCAAGACAACAGGCGATGAATAGTCTGGTAATTGACCTTTGGGTTTCGTGTAGATTCTGACAAGTTTTAGATACGTCCACATTTTCTCCAGTAGATCATCAAAATTCCACTTATGATGAGCAGATATTGGAACACAATGAGGAACTTTGTAAATTATATCCAATTCTTCCACAGAGATTTGATCGATTTTGTTCAGAACATAGATAGCTGGAATATAAACACGATTGCCTTCAATTAAATCGATGATATCGTCTTCAGTTGCATCGCAGCGAAGAATGATATCCTAATGTTCAAGAAAGACACATCTTCGATTGTGAAATGTTCGACGCGTCACTTACAGCATTGTGAATTTTATATTCTCCTAAGATAGCTTTCACTGTTTCCAGATCCAAGGATGTTTGTTGAACTAATGCTTGATAATTCAATCCTCCTTTATCTTTTCGTTTGAAATAAATATTTGGCGGTTCTTTATTCAAACGTATTCCAAACCCTTCAAGTTCGTACTCAATCAATCGCTTGTGACCCAACGGTTTCAATACATCCAGTACGATGTAGATCAGATTACACGTTCGCGCAACTAATTTTTTAGCAAACAAAATCGTAGAATCGGAAAAACGTCTTCTTTCGCGAACATACCTGCAATGACTTGTTTACCACGACCTTTACCGTCCTTGGCACCTTCGATGATACCTGGTAAATCAAGTAGTTGAATTTTGGCACCCTTGTACCGAATTACACCGGGTACTGTTGTCAAGGTAGTAAATTCGTAAGCAGCTACTTCACTATAAACACCGGCTAAATTCGTTAACAAGGTACTCTAGAATGTAAATAAACGAATGACAATAATCGTTTTGCTAATGATTTTACTTTTCCAACTGATGGAAAACCAACAAAACCAATACGAGCATCACCAGTTTTGGCAACATCAAATCCTTCACCTTTGCCACCACCACCACTACCTTTAGGTTCGATAATCTCTCGTCGTAATTTAGCTAATTGAGCTTTGAGTAAACCTAAATGTCGTGCTGTTGCTTTATTTCTCTGAGTTTTTTCCATCTCAGCCTCAATATCAGCGATACGTTCGAGAACACCCATGATGGAAGCTTTAGGATTGGTTTTTGTCTTTCTTTAATTAAATCTAAAACATATTTCATCACATTGAGCTATTTCATCTCTGAATCATCGGAATTTTCCAGAACGTTCTCAACTGTCGCAATCAAAGGTAAATTAGAATTTAACAAGTAGAACTCTCGTTACGCAACAATTCCTCAAGCGTGAAATCTCTTGGATACGCACATCGTGCACTTATGTGACTATCCAACGTGTACTTTAATCTACCTTTTCTTTCGATCGACCTTTCTGTCTTCGCCACGTACGTATTGCTGTACCGACAGCGCAAAACAAGTCGAATGAGTAAAGTGTATAGAAGGAATGACTCATCAGGTTATTGCATTGTAGATAAAAGGGAGTACTTTTTTTTGTTGACTCTCATAATTCTTCCGACGACTGAGACGCGAACAATGCTAATAGAAAATGCAACGAATGCGCAGACTCAAGTCCAACTTGTTTCTTATTCGGGTATTGTCAATCCGGAACACATGTATAAAATGAATTGTGTTCCAATTGTAAATGACGACGACACTGATGATCAAACGAATGAACACCTACAACGATTGTTTATCGATGATTTTCTTCGTAAATGCAACGATTTCCAAGAAAATGAACAAGTCGACTATCTACCAGTCGAAATTCGTCTCGGTACTGTCTATACTTATCAAAACCGTCGACAACAAAGTCAATTTCCGAACAGTCTCGATGGGCGACGTGTCACAGCACATACATTACGCAATGAAGAACGTCGGCCGCGAAATGACAAACACTTCCTAATCACATTCAACAAAAACAAAGGTATCAATGATCTTCCAACATTTGAACATGAGTTAACATGTGCTGGTTTTCGTCAAACGAATGATCATCAATTAACGTATCGACTATATTTACGCTATCAAACGCGACGATTGATTCTCGAATTGAAACGTAATCCGACTGATCAACGATTTTTCTCTGCGAAACGTCTATTGAAATATTCGACGAAGTTCACGCATGTTGATGTCGTCAAATCTAAACGAAACTCGAATTTCACAGAAACATTTGATGATATTTTCGATATTCGCACGTCGATTGGCAAATGCGATGAAGAAGAATTGCATATCAACGACGAATATTGCGATTTTATTCATATTAAAGATCTTGAACAATGTGTTTTCGAAACGAAATCCAATACCGACGAATATGTTTATCAGTTTAATCGTGGCTTGTTACCATACTTCGATTTCTTTCAAATCAAACAGACGGATACATATGATTACTCCTGTATCGATAGTCGATTCTTCGGTTTGCGAGTTTCGATCGAACATCAAATCGGCTATGACCTAACTTCGAACTCGAAAGCGACAATACCCTGCTTACAAACGACGAATGTGATCATGGCGAAATTAGTCTCCTATGACTTCACAGAAGCGGAAGCGAAGCGGATTTGGTTTATTGGAATGTGGCTGTCGGACTTAGCTACACGATGTACGACTCGAGATTTGCCACCTAACAAAATCGTCTGTCGGCCGCCTGCTGGTCAAACTTCAATCTATCGACGTTCAGTCAGATAAATGCGCGTATTTATTTCTCCTCAGGTTAATTTTCTGACCGTAGCTGTTTTCTTTGCGTTTCTAAATAAAACAGAATAACAAAAAATGATTCGAAAAAAGTGTTTTTTTTTTATTTTGTCTTTATCAACACACAGATCATCACACATTTCTTTGAACCACAATAATGACAATGAACAGAAAAGAAAATCAGACGATAAAAATCACAAATGTACAAAGATGCATGCGTGGGTGTGCGATTGGTTTGCTTTTTTTGTTTTCTCAAAAGAATCTTTCAGCTCACTGTTATGGATTATGTGCAAACGCGCTGTCGATATGAGAAAGATAAAGAAAGAGGGAGATAAGAGACGAAGAGTGAAGCGAAACACGGACACAATGATTGATATCATAAAATTTGAAAATAACAGCCAAAGAAGAAGAAGAAGAAGAAGAACACGAATGAACTTGTGGAATCAATTTAAATTGTCAAGAGAAAAACATGAATTGGCAGTGCATTCTTTCTATTCTCGTTTTCATTATCTGTTGAAAAAATTTATAGGCCATCGATCAGTTCATGCTTTTGTTTCATGGTCATTTGTTGGTTTTGCCGAGGGTCACGTTTTCGTTCATGTTGCTCTTTTAGCTTAGCTCGATACTCAGCTACCGACATTGCTAAACACAAAGAAAAATCAATCGAGTTCGTTTTAGTCAATCTAAACGTACTCGTTTCTAATACGCCACCACCAAAACCGCTACTGGCTGATGTTCGCGCTGGACTGTTTGTGATGGGTCTGGCGTACACATCACGTGGAGGAGATTTTGGCGACGAATTTATATTCGTATAGGCATTATTCTGTGGGATTTCTCTACGATTGTTCTTGTCCGATGAAGGAGGCGATGAGGGTAGATACGTATCTCCAAGTCGATCATAGTCGCGATCAGATGTGCGCGACGTAGTAGGTGAGTCAACATTCTAAAGAAGAAACAAAACATGAAAGTTTCAGATGTATTCAGCAAACATCGAATTGTCATAGTGAATTTTACAATAATGGAATAACGATTGAGTGTCAGCTTACTCAACAAGTTAATTGCGAGAAACTCGATTATTTATGTACATATGGAATTCAGAAATGATTGACTATTTACAGATGTCGTGCTGATGAATTCAAGATGAAGACAGATGACATAGTTGAAGTTTGTCTTACTTTCGTTGGGGTAATTTTTGGACCAGTCAAATCTGTCATGTTCTTGTATTGTCGACTATTTTCACTTGTTCGGGGTTGAATTGGTGATGGGATTTGTCTATTCAATGGTGAATCCACTTTACCAATACTTCGGTTCGATGAAACTGGTGAGTCATCACTATTATCTATATCGATAAAAGAAAAAAGGCGTACGAACGTGAATGAAATATTGGTTTGTAAAGCAAACCTGATGTATTCCGATTTTTTACTCCAAGTTTTTCGACATTTGGATCATTACTACGTATAACAATAGACTTACGCTTATAATACTCATCTGTGTCTTGATCTACGACTAATAAGATAACTTCATCTGGATGTTTTGTACCATCTCTTGAAACGCCTTCTTTTATACGAGCGACGACCTGTCTGTGGTTTTCGTTCCCAATCGGAACGTGATTGACTTCGATGATTCGATCACCTTCGCGTAAACCAGCAGATTCGGCCGGTGATTCTCGATCAACTTTACCAATGAACTGGCCTGGCTTATTCTTCTCACAATGTAAATTAAATCCATAACCGTTAAAGTCAGGCCATCGTCGTAAATGACATAATCGTGGTCGTGGTACATTTGAATATTCACCGTTAGTCGTCATTTCTTTCATAAAATTAACAAATCTAGAAGAAAAAAACAGAAAATGTCTGTTTCAGAAACAGCTTCTCATTCACAATAACAGTCGTACGTTATCTGCAAGAGAGAAAAAAAGTTAATCAGCTTTCTCCTTAACCATAGAAACTGACTCAAATTATCCACTCATAAAAGAATAAAAGTCGAAATAAATGATATGTAAAAACTCCACAATAAACTCGTATCGCTGGTAAGAAGCCACTGCCATAAAATAAATAGTATATCAATCCTAATACCGCCTACTTCGATCGCTCATAAGAACAAGACTTACTATACTCTAAACAGATGGGCGACTGGAAAGGAGTGCTGGTCATTCCTACTTTTGGGACATGCAAACATCTAATATATCTCTGTTTATACGATCATCTCTGTTCGTCTAATCAAATTGATCCACCAAGAGAGTGATGGAAAATGGATGGAAAGAGAAAAAAGGGAGACTAATAAAAAACAGATTGCTTTCTATTAACATACCGCGCGTGTATATGTGAAAGTGTTATTTAAAAAAAAAACAGAAAAAGAAATACGAAAATGCATCACCCGCTTTCTTCTTTTTCGTTAAAGACATCGGCTAAAATAAAGAACAGAATAAACGACAATAATGACGACAGAAAATAACAACATCGACGCTTACAATCACATAGGCATACATAGTATACACTCCTCTCACAACAACTGCTGAAAAAAAAACAGAAAGAAAGAAAGAGGGCAAAGTATTATCAGTATTTCTTGTCGCTAACAAGTTTGTAAAAGCAAAAAAAAAGAGTTGAATACTTGAATTTTGAATTGTTCTTCGTTAGCTTTTGCTTCTTTTAATGTAAACAATTAAATAAAACAATACACGCACACACACACACACATGCACGAGGCACTTCGGATCTAAACAGTTCGTCTGTCATTTCTTTCCGCGTAAGAGTTTACCATAAGCTGATTTCGATTCGAATAAACTGCGAATAGTAACAACTTGAACAACGGACACTGAAATCATCAGTACTAGGTGAATGATTGACCAGAAATTGACTCTTTCGAAATTATTCTCGGCTATAACACGGTCGTGGACTTCGTAGTTATTAAACGCTTTTTGATAACGTTGTGCTGCTTCCATATTATCCCAAATACGTTGAAAAATGTCCTAAATCAAAAAGAGTGCAGTTCTGCAATAAAATCAACTTCAACGGTTTCAGCACGGATCGCATTTATCAGGTATCGTTATTGACTAATAATTGAAATTAGAAATCGAATTTCAGTCTGTTTGCCAGTCGCATAAGAGTAGTCACAGTGTTATCATTGGCCTATAACAATCCTTAGGGATAGAGTAGAGAGGGATACTATCTCGATGAAAAGAATTTTTATCTACTCGACTTCATGTGAAATATTTAAAGAGACACCTTACTTTAAAGTTCTGAATTTTGTCTTGTAACTCTCCAAGTTCATCTCGTGCAACATCATTCATCCATGATTCGGTGATACGATCTTGTTCATTGTGGCCCTGTTCATTGACGAGTCGTAAACTGAAATAGACTTGTTTTTGATTGAACCGGGAAACTGAATTATCGAAACAGAATCGATATTCTCCTGATTCTTCTAGTTTCAGCGTTTGATGTCCATCGCGTTTCTTAAAATCGGATTGTAAAACACGATTCGTCGGAGAATAAAACCAATAGTTAATATCGATATCACCACCGGCTAAGACTTCATATTCGATTTCGACAGTTTTCCCTGCTTCTAGAACTTGATGAAAACATTCACGTTGACTAGCAGGAATCAATATGGTCAGTTCAATATCGAAGGCACGGAATGTTCCAATGAACAGAACGAGAAGCAGGAAGAAGATGTGAACAATCGATTTGGAGAACATCTGAAACAAAAACAAAACGAATTATTCATGTTTTCTTCTTCTTCTTTTTCTTTCTCTTGTCGTTATCATCATCAAGCTCATCGAGAAGAGAATGTTTTTTCAAAACAGTTTCAAAACTTCGCTTCCATTGGTCAGGTCGAGAACAAAAAGCCGTTAGATTCATTTCATAGGTGATAAACCGTGCATACGTATGTGAACGTAAGATTTGCAAATCTTTTGCTAGACTCTTGGCCATTTCCAGTTTTTGATCGATCGTAATTGCACTTTTCCATAACTGTGTAACAAACCAACAAGCTGCCTTATCGCAAGCCATTTTGGTATACATCTGATTGAGTTTTTCATAGAAATTCTTCTGTCGGAGTATCGGCCAGAGATTTGATTTGAGAATTAATTGACAAAGAAGATGAGAACCACTGGGATGACAAGCAATCGATGCAATTTGTTCACCAGTTAACGACAGAAATGATTGACGAGTTAACGAATCGACTTTATCAGCACGGAGAAGAGCTTGAACGACCAGTGAACCTTCTTTGGTTATTAATTGAGTGTCAGCATTGTCTAAAAAAGTTATACAACACTATAAGAAACGTTGCCTGTCATTAGTTTCCTAATCCGATTGTACAGTCAATGGGGAACATATACTTCCTCTCTACACGGAAAGTTGGATAGCATGAGAACGTCTATGTGAATAATTGCTATTGGAAGAGGGCGAAGAGTGACTTTACCTGCTCGTAGTTTTAATACACATGGAATGAATTCATTAGTATTATTCTTTGTGCAATGAATAGTTGTCTTCAATCGATTGACTAGCTCTTCATAATGACACGAGAATCGTTCACAAACGCGAATAAAGGTGATGAGTAATCGGATTTGTCCTTCATGTACAAGTTTGCCAAATCGTTCTTCATGAATTAATAGCTGGTAAATTTTCTCCAACACTTTCTTGTCATTCAGCGTTAACAATAAACGCTGAATGAAGAAATTTCCAATTGGATGGAGATAAATCTCGTCGATCTGATCGAATACTAGTGGATAAAGAATCGTCTCTCGTTGATTCGATGGAAATTCGACAAGAACTTCGAACAGAAACGATGAGCATTTATCTAGCAAATGTTGGACATTGATATTCGAATAATATTTTTCGCAAAGATGAGTAACTAATTTAGTATACAGTTTCTCGCTGATATACCCACACGTTCGCAATAAGGTAGCATAGACAAATTCATTGTGTACGGAACATTTTTTAATTAATTTTTTCATTTGACGTAATTTATCGAGTACGTTCCAATCGGAAGACAATTCAGCAAACTTTTTCGCCGTTTGACCACCGTCGATCAGTGACTCGTATTCGTTTGTATTTGGAGAGATGATCAATGGATGGAGAAATGCAATGGTCGACGCAATGATATGACCGGTGCCACTTTCTTGCATATAATCATTGAAATTCTCGCGAACGCATTCGAACAGACGCTCATATGATGAATGAACTCGCTCACTCTCAGTTGATAAAACATTCGGTAGATAAGTAAGAAGCTTTTCCAAAACAAACGATGCGGCACGATCACGAATGAATTCATCTAACTCATCTTGTGTGAGACGATCGAAAAACGACGCGAGAATCGATGGTGTCGTCACATGTGGCATTAATTGTTCGAATTCGCGTGAACAAGCGCGAGTAATTTTGCTTGTATCTGATCCAGATGATGATGCTTCATCTAGAACTTTATTGGCCAAATCTTGTCGATCTTCGTTCTTCGTGCATTGTTGAAAAAGACTATACGCTTCCTTATAATACTTCGTGTTCGATGAGAGAGCAGTCATACTAAAAGAAAGAATTCATCAGGAGATATTTTCAGAATAGCTACAGAAATGTGGAGATGGATTGAATTAAATGGATGTATGCAATACTTTCCATGGTTAACCTGTTCTACGCCAATAGATATAATACATGTTCTTTCGAAAGAGAGCGGCAGTTGGTTGAATGATAGATGGAGTTAGGAGTTATGTAGATTAGAATTCTATTTTTGCGACACAGAAAAGTGTATACGTGTCAACAGCCATCAAACTTATACGATTGTATATTTTCGCGAGTATATATTTCTTTTAATAAACAGAAAAAAAGACAGGACTCGTCACACGCACATATATTTATGTATAAAATCAAAATGAAAGTATGTAACTGATCGTCGAAAATCGGCTACGTCCATTACACTCAAAATCTCGGCGAAGCATCTGCATGCGAATCATCATTGTACGCATGCCTATTTATAATAGAAGAACTAGAAAAACAAAAAAGAATTAAACAGTTGGGAAGAATTAAATGAGAGTATGCAGAGAAATCGAAGAGTTTGCTTTTTAGAAAAGAATCATTGAGAGAATGTTTGTGGAAATATATGTGAACAAAAGCGCAAGAATGTTTCGATAGTTGAAGCACAGCAGAAAGAAGATGATTACGGATTATAACTTTGCGATGATGATCGATTGAGTAGCCGTAAAACAAAATCGACAATAGTGGCGATCATAGTGACGAAGAGAAAAAACTAAACAGAAAGTCGATAGTTTGAGAATTAGCAGTGAAATGAAAGATGCTTACCGCAGCTGATGCAGCAGCACCTTTATGGCTTAGCGCATCCAGTGGTCCTAGTTTGTCTCGCATTTTCTTTTCCCATGCCGCAGCACAACATCTGTTATAAGAAAAGAAAAGACTAGCATCGAAATTGGAATCTATGCAGCATGCAACTTACCCGAGAATGAGATAGATACCAGCAAGGACCAACATTACAATGATGAACTAGTGTGAAATAGAAGAATCAAATGTAAAAAGCGATAATGAATCGTGTCGAGTTTATGATTACAATTTTATCGAATATAGCAGGTAAACGGTGGACAAGCTTTGTCACATGAATAATAGTATCGAAAAGCATAGCAATAAGACCAAAGATGGAGAAGACGAGAACAGCATTTCGTGTATGAAACGCACTGACTTTAGCAGATGTATCACCATCAACATCATCAGCTGCTCTGGCCTCGCCAGAACTGACCACACCAGCACTGATGATAACACAAACGAGAGCAACCTATGATATAAACAGAAGATTTCAACTTCTACATAAAACCACAGAAGAACTTACAATGATCACGATGTTTAAGATGCCGTGGATAGTTTTAAGGAAACGTACACCTGTTGCGCATCGTGTCGGCCGGCCCTGGCTGACATCACTGGGAGGATTTGGCAACGAAGAACCATAGTGTGGTGTGACAACAGGTGGTATTGAACTATCGCCACCACTTGCAGCAGGATATCGAAGATCCGAAGTACTCATTATTGAACGAAGAGTCTATCAATTTATCTGAAAGACATGTAAATAATTTCTAGTATTGACGAGCGTTCACTTCGTTTTTTTTTGCAAATAACTATTATTAGAACAGATGACTAATATACGCGCAACATAATGATAGATTTTCTACTCAAATCTACCTTACGTATTCGTACATTACCTTAGCCGATGGATGGATGAATCAACTTAGTCGTCGATTAAACTTCATCGAAGTTATTCTCGACGAAAGTTTGATTTTAAACATATGATCGTGTATTGAGCTATTATGATATCAATACTCGACTGCTTCTCGAATGCAACGCAGTCCACCCAGATGAAAGTTCGAAAAAAATCAGTTCACTTAATGTTCGATAACATCAACGATGATGTCAATAAGAAAAAAAGTTATATAAATATATTAGATTTTAGTCATACCCATCAGCAATGCAATCGTTATTATATTTCAATACATACTTCGTTTTTGTACAAAAAGAAGCGACCGATATTGTCAGCGACTCATTCACACATACGCACTATTTTTTTGTTGTTTTTTTTTTAAACTGCGCATATGAGAAAAGGAAATCATCCGTTGCATGTCTGTATGAATGTATCACATGACGTCACAGTGTGGTTATGTATTGCACTATTCGCAAACGTTCTTTTTTATACTTATCTTTGCTAATGTAAAAGAAACAGGTACCATCCTATGGTTTCATTGCAGCAGTGATAGAAGCAAAAAAGAACGAATTTATGTAGGTATGATCTTCATGTTCTTTTGCGTGAGCCTTTTTTCTCTTTCACGTGCATCAATCACCACAACAAAATTAAAGAGCAAGGAAAATAAATCGATTTTCGTCCGATTCGCTCGTGTCGGTTACAAATACGCCGTCGGTCGTCAAGAGAGTTTCGCTTGATTGACCACACATATGAATGTTAGTTTAATGAATAGAAGTAGACAAGAATAGCCTGAATGAAAAGTAATAAAACAAAACTCAACCATTGTATATTTTGTAAAAGCATACAACTAAAAGATATCTTTGATCGACGCATGAACATCTACATTCAATCTGTCGAGATTTTATCGCCTGACAAAAACAAGATACAATGACTAGAGAAATATCAGAGCAAAGAAAATGATTAGTCTTTGTACGAGATCTAGTTGGACATACAACGTTGTTTTTAGCTGTTTATTATATGAAAGCTCATGTGTTTTGAAGTGACGTTTTAGTTAATCGGTAGTCACTTAACAGTGAATCGAAGCTTTATGAAACTTCACAGATCCTCTTGAACACCGAAAAAATAATGAGGGCCTGCTTGGACTCTATGACAGTTTTTCTGTTATACGAGTGGTTTCTGGTTACACACATGTTGCTTTATATCAGTGCAGATGATCACCTGTGTGGGGCAAATAATCGAATAAAATGACACATTTTCAAGAAAAATTATTAAACTTCTTTTAAAAAAGAATATATTATTTTTAGCTACCTACTGGTGCGACATTGCGTTTTTATCCTCCTTGAAACTAAAATTAAGCAACAAAAATGAACATGTCGTGTTTTCAATCTTTAAATAATTATATGAAATCATGATAGGGACAAAACTAATTGATATCTACTATAATGAAAATATGAAACTCAGATTTATATATTTTCGTGTGGGCCCAGTTCGATTAGCATGGTGCTGTTTAAGCGAAAAAATGAGAACAGCATACTACATTTAGTGATGAATGATAATTATACGTGCGTACATGCTGTCTTCAACAGGATTTTTGTCAGACAGTCAGAATCGACAGCTAAGATTACATATGCTACTAATAGGAACTTGTCAAAAACAGAAAAGAATGATGAACGGATAGACAGAATGTTTTGCATGTCGGTCTATTTTTTGACGGGTTATATTTACTATGAAGTACTTCATTTGTAGATAGAAGTGTTTATCTCATGTGACTGATATACCCTGGTAAGCACCCAAAAACAATAATCTTATCACCGTGAATATCACGTTTTCAAGCATATTATATCCACAGGGAGTCCCTCGATTTTTAAAACAAATTTTCCTAATCTTAATTTAAACGGTAATTTCCTTTTTTTACACGAAAAGATTGATGTTTAGATCAATCTTCGACATTTTATGCGTCTACTCATTCATAAGATTAAGAGCCGGCATAATCGCCTTCGGAGTTAATGAAAACTATGCTATCATTAGAATAATCACATGCGTGTCCTATAGTCGAACTACGTTCAAAAGAATATTACGCTTGATTGGCGTTTCAATCATAGCAAGAAAAGATCGATCTGACATGTATCAACGCAGAAAAATCAATCAGTAGACCTTCTCGTACTCCAAAAATGTACGCAAAGGAACAACTTTAAGGAGTTAACTAGGCCAATGCTCGACGATATCCAAACAGAGTGGTTGTTCAAATTGTTGCTTCCTCGATCGCCTCATCTGTTGCCGCTGGCACTCTCATCGTGTTAAATATAACTACACTTGGAATGAAATACCGACAACAATAGACTTTCTGGAGCTGCAAGTTTGCTACGGATATTTATCGTCACACTTAAAAGCAGTTAACCGGAAGGAAACCATCGAGAGAAGTTTGTATTTTTGTCAATGTGTCTTTTCTCTTTGCAGAAAAGTAAAATATCTGATAAAACTAGAGAAAAGGTCGTTAGAAATGGAAAACAAGAGCAAAACACCACCCACAATTTCAATCTGACGTAATCGACTCGTTTTGTCAAGTAACTTAAGACGATATTGTGCGGGCAAAGAAAACATCACTAATAATCTTATCTAAAGGGTATATATAATCGCTGTTACATTTATTTACATATATTATCATTTCGTTACGGGGATAGATTTGATGTCATTTTCTCTAACGGGATTTGTTAGCCAATGCTTGCTGACGGAAGCAGAAAATCAATGTTAATATGCGTCTTAGTTGCAATTCTTCTCGATACGTTTAAGACGATTTCAATTTCGATAAATTTAACATCTTGATGACGTTCTGGAAATTCCCACACCGAACAGACTAAAGAACATAAGAGCATTAGCTAGCGAGATACTGTTTCGACAAGTAGTGGAACATTTTATCTGAGATTTATAGGCATTTATCACGTTTAAGGAAGGCAGTTGACGCACTACGCGCTAGGAGAGCCATGTTCCTTCTTTTCTCCCGTTACCTCATCATGTACTTTTTGCTTTGATCAGTTTTTTTTCATCTCCTTGATAGATTGAAATCGGAAGGAGGAGAGGAAATGGTTACTGACAACGAGGAAGTTTCTCATTACTTAGTCCTCATTGTAACTAGTCCACTGTTCTATGTTAATAACAACGTGTCACCTTTGAAAAACTAATAATTCTGAGTTTTACATGTAATTTTCAAGAGAGCCTCTCCTGAAAAAAAAAGCATAGAAAAACTCATTTTGTTCTTTTTATTTTATCAATTATCACTCGCCTGGAAAGATTACTTTATTCGTATCGACAGACGCAAGAGGAGAACAACAACAGTCTCGTGTTGTTTTTCATTGATGAGTTTAAAACAAAACGGAAAGTATATCCAACAATAATACATCATCAATACTTCGGTAAATATTTTATGTTTTCTTCTGAAAAGGATCAGAACTATTGTCTATTGAGATGACGTCAAATATACATAAATAGCAAATCATTTCGTTGATCATCGTCGCAGCCTGGAGGATTATTATTGAATAAGACGTTATTAGAAACACGATTTATTTTTCTTCTATATCTATAGACTGAAGTCAGAGAAGAATCATCAATCTATATGTTTCATTAGCACGTTTACATGGTTCCCTCAAGCCCAACTCTCTCCCATCGAAGTACAGAAATATTATCCGAGACACGCGTTTCTTTTTTAGAAATCATTTCGCCCAGACAACAATGTGTGCCCGGAGTAATTAAGTCATTTGCTTATATGATGAGGGTGTAAAGGTAATAAAGTACATTAATAAACTATTCGTAAGAGTCTTAAGGCAAGGTCGGATGACGTGCTGACTTCTCATTTCATCGTTGTTGCATAAGGAAAAAGTATTCTTTGTCTACTGCTATGTATGTAGACAAATAGTTGAAAATAAGCGTGATAAAGAACACATTCGCTTGCTGATGATTTCTATATTTGAAAAACGTTCGTTTCTTCTTGCAGCACGAAAACTAACTCCTTGACTTTGTTAGATTATTTGAAATCAATGGATGTTTCTCACTTGACATCAAGTCAAAAATGGTCTTCATTGTTTTGCGAGAGCGTATATTTGCTATTCGTTTTTCAAGCAGTTAAACTAAATTGAAGCTCAGCATGCTAATTATATATATTCTCACAGCCAAGATTCGACAGACTTGACAGTTATATCCGTTATGTTTCAAATAGCAGATTCTCGATAAGTCAGGCAAGAACATGTCAGAATGCGATCTAACAATGACCCGTTTTTTCTAGAATGACCTCTTGTGCAAAGATCAACCTAACTGGTGTTGATCATAGTTACTATCAAAAGTTTCATCATGAAAAAAGCTGGGCCTGGTGGCTCAATCACATCGGTAAATATAGTCAATTAGATTGAATAGAACATCAAAGTAGTTGTGTTCGTGTTTCTAGGTACATTCGTCGTGTTCATAATTAGTTTTTGTGGAAATTTGTTATGTCTACTAGTATTGTGCCGGCAACGTAAACGTTTACTTTTCCATTGAAAACTACCATTTGCCTAATTGGATATTTTCCCTAGGTTTAAAACGGAATTCTTATACACAATATCTGATTGCCCTCGCAATTGTTGACACAGGAGCAATCCTATGCGAAGGTAATTGACTCCGCCGAAGAATCTATTCTTGTTTTGATTTATCGAATATTTAGCATTGAAGGCTCTTGACGAAGTACATCAATACCAAAATGCTGACAAACGAACACTTATTCAACATACACTAATGTCCTGTAAATTTTATTATTACATTCGTTATATATTCTATTCGATGAGTTCATGGTATTTAATTTTTCGCTGAGAACTTCCAAGAAAAGAACACCTTATTTCTGTTTTTTCATAGGGTTACTGTTGCACTTGCTGTTGAGCGTCTAGTCGCTATTAAATTTCCTCTCTGGTCTAAACATATATGTAGCGTTATTAATGCGCGTCGAATCTTATTTCTCATACTGTTATTTACTATGATGATTCAGTCGTATCATCTAGTGATCAAAGGTATTGATTGCAAACCTTCATCTTCACCATTTTCACAACCAACAGCCGCCAAATCTTCTTGCCGTTGTAAAACATTACCTGATTACGCCGCAGTTGAAGTCATACTGACAGTTTACCTTTGGCGATTATGTCTAATGACACTATTGCCATTGACTATCATCATTACTGTAAATATTCTTATCATGAGTAAACTATTCAGTGGAAATTCCTTAAACGATCATACGAATGCTGTTAACAATTCCCGACGGAAAACAGTCTTGCTGTACAAAATCTCTCGCATGTTAGTTATTGTCTCGTCGATTTATCTCGTTCTACATGTGCCTGGCTCAAGCTTCGAAATTCTGAAATTCATGTTTCTCAATCCATATCGATTATGTGATACCAAATGGCGATATTTCATGTCGATTGTACATGATATATTCGATCTCATAACAAATTTCAATTATGGAATCAATTTCTATTTGTATATCATCAGCGGACAGCACATACGTACTGAATTGTTTCGAACATTCAGACCGGCAAAATTCCGTTCAACTATTAACGAGCAGACTGCGAAATTTCAACGATCAAGTTATTTCATGTCGTCCTATGTTCACCATTCGAAAAATAATCAACCAAATTGTTCGCATTTACAATTGTCGAATCGACTGACAGGTCCGTCGGTGTAAAAATCGCTGTTCATCTCATTTTTCTAAATAAAATAATGTTCCAATCAAATGGTGCAAGTTTTGTCTTATATCAATCATCGAATGTGAACAAGCTTCTTTCTTAGAATATCATGCAGTCGTTCCTTTCATTTAATTAAAGGATCAAATACTCTTTAAGATGATGAGACTTGCGCTAATCATACCTCATTTGCGCGGTGAGTAAGACGTGCGTACAGACGAAGTTTCAGAAGATAAGTGTGCAAGTACAAAACAGAAATAGCATCATTGAAAGTGCAAATTGAGAGCAGTCTCGTATCATATGTTCCTCTGAAGTGCTGTGAACGAACGATTGTTACTTTGTAAACTACTCAAGTGTAGAGATCCATTAAATAGCTCTCAAAGTTTCATAAAGTTTATTTTATAAATCAAAATCGTTGTCTCTGGTCTGAAAATAATACAAATAATAAATATCATTACCCATTCGACCAATGAATGGAGCTTTGGCAAGCTGCTTTTCTAATTGATTCGTTAATTCTTTGGTTGTTTTATCTGAATCAGGTCTCACCTGCCGATATTGTTTGATAATCTACAGTAGAATCGAATGCATTGATAAATTCAATGGAAGCATAATTTACTTCTTTTCTAAGCTTATCAAAATCGATCGTTTTACCATAGGAGTTCTCGACAATGCCTCGAATACGTTCAGTCCAATTGAAACTTGTTAACCAAACTGAAGAATTTCTTGGAAAATCCACGAGCAAACCAAGAAATCTGTAACTTACTATCACCGTTCATGTTCGCCGTCGAATAGATGATTCTCGAAGATGTCAGTGAATCATAGATAGACAGAATGAAGAAAAAAAAGACTTTTCTCTCGTCATGTGCGTTTTTCAAAGGAGAATTATTTTATTTATACATAGTTGATAGTAGATATACATTTTTTTCAAAACAAACACGTACATTTTGTTAATGAATGATCATCTATGTACAAAAATATGATTAAGCAAAACCATCAATCTTGATTTTTCAGATGAATACATAAAACAGATAAAAATCTGACATTAGACAATCGGTCGTCACGATCGTGTTTATTGTCCAATTGTATATTGTTGTTGGGTACCTTGTGGTGTCTATTCACAAGCATAAGCATGAATGTGTACATTGAAGAAAAGATCGACTTACTGCCATTGTAACAATATTCGATGATAGATTTTGCGGTAATTGAATAATTTGACCATCTAAAGACATATAGTTTAATACGGACAATGCTGAAATTGATGATTTACTTGGCAATTGAATTGTGTTGCCGATACCAGCCGAGGTTGGTAATGTAACGATGTATTGTACTTCGCTGACAGAGTCTTTTTTCTTGTGTGTTTTGGTCGCCTCTTCACGCGGAACGATATCGATGAGAAAATCGAAAAGTTCGTTCTTAGCAATGGCAGCTGCGACGTCATTACGCTGAAAAAACTCGAAATGTCGTTTCGGAAAGAGAATGAATCAAACCGACCTGTAAAGTACGTCGTCGACTTTCTTCTGTTTGCAACCATGAATGAATTGTTAATTCCTGAATGAATAGCTCAGCAGCTTTAGCAAACAGGATGGGCACTTCTGCACTGATCATTTTGACATCATCATCTAATTTCATGATCTTCTTGATTCGTGCCAAAGGTAAATCGGTTGTACGAAATTCGACCTGGAAAAGAAATTGAGAATGTTGCAAAGATTTCCAACGGAAAATACACGGGAATTTACAATGTTAATATCGTCGATTTCTTGCTTGATTTCAGCCCAGTATTTATCGAGTAGCTCTTTACCGGCCGATGGCTCGATATTTTCAGCTTCAGCTTTCGTTGAATCCATGTAATATTTTTCTAATCAATCTAAACAAACGGGGTTGAAACGGATTATTTTCGTATTGTTGTGAATGACAGACGCATTGAATGATATTATTGTATTCTTTCTTTCTCTTTATTGTTAGTGGACATCGTTGTAGAGGAATAGCGAATTGTAAGACATGCACTGACATCTATAATGATGGAGTTTACTGAAAATGTGTCGAAAAACAACGAAAAGGTTATTTTCGAAATTAAAAATTTTTCTTTTACAAGAAGACGATTTTATTGGTTTTAACAATGACACATAGGAGCAGAATATATGTCTTGCATGTCTGTCTCTCTCCTGTGTCGAATCCAAGATTATAACATTTTAAAACATTGCTGCGTCTTGTGTAATCATCTATCAGTTTAAGGTGCTGAGTCTCCTAAAACCCTGTCACATCTCCTTCGGTCGTACTTTGACATTGATATAGAACTAATCACATTATCCTGTAATTAAATAACAAAAAGAAAGCGAAGAGTAGTTAAGAATTTAATGGTACACGAAAATTTCTACTAATCGGAAGAATGAAATCGGCTGATAGAAACACGTATATATTGTTTTAGAGAACAATACTATGCAATTCTATGAACAAGTCTTGATCAACTGATTGAATGATTTCTATATCATGTAAGTTCAGATCTCCGAAAGTACACTACTATGTCTCGAATATTTTTTTTCAATAGTTGCAATCAATTAGAATCGTCAAGTCAAAATGATGTAATCACAATTTACTGTCTTCCTTCATGGCAAATCCAATGACTCGAAGACGATATCAACCGTATGTTCTTTGTCAACGAAACTCGTGTTTATTCGATTTTTTTGCTTAGGAATAATCGTCGATCGAAACCCACGATACCCACTGCTAATGAGAGTGAAACAAATTCAACATTATCCCATGAAATATTCGATGAATGTGAAAAATTAAAACAAAAACTACTTTCCTTACCGAATGGTAATCCAGAAACTCGGTTTCATCGACAGGAATTACTTGATCAATACAATCAATTAATTCTTGTCGATCTGGACTTTGCAATCGAGAAGAAAATCGAACACGATCTATGGACTATCATTTTCAAAAATGAAATCAGCTCCAAACAAGACCAAGTAAAAGAAAACCATCAACATCCAATGAAACGAGCAGAAATTCAAACAAGCTTACAAACTTTCTATGAATACGCCAGAGGATACTACATAAAATTGTTACAGGTAAATCGGTTTCAGATTTTCCAAACATTCTCCCTAAGCATTGTCCTTCTTTCATATAGGATGTTGTTCATTCGTACAATTTCGAAAATTCAATCTGTAAATTAACATTTCCATTCCTACAACGCCGTTCGCAATCGTCCTATTCGACTCGTCAGTGTAAAGAAGCGTCCATGCTCTATTTCATCCAGCATATTCTCGTTCATGTCGGTGATTTGAATCGTTATTCAAATCATATCGACCTCGCGAAAACATTCTACCAATATGCCATTCAGACAATTCCATGTTTAGGTCAACCATACAATCAAATCGCGATTTTGCACGAAATGAAAAATCCTCTTTCACTATTGACACCTGGACAAAACCAACTAATTACCGCATACTATTATGTTCGAAGTATTGCGATCAAAGTGACATTTCCACTGGCAATATCAAACCTAGAGAAGCTCTTTCAACGTTTAAAAGATTTTCCATTATCACGTTACGAACAAACATCACCACACAATGAATTCTTAACATTATTCTTACAAATCATTGCGATGATTAATTTAGAATCGAATCTGGAAGGACTTCAACCATTTCTTGATCTTTTCCGCAAATTAGTCATCAAAAATGTTCACCAAAGTCAATTCATTCAGATGATTTCCATTCTGATGTTCACATTACATCGAACGTTAAGTTTATTACCGCGTGCTACACCCTCAAAACAACCCGAAATACAATTCAATTTTGCATTACAAGTCTTGATTTTAATTCTTGAACAATGTTTAGAAGTCATACAATTGCCATTGTCCATGATGATCGTTGACGAGCAACACATCTTGCCTCTCGTTTATTTAACATTTGCATACTTGGCAAATATATTTAAATCGAAAACCGATTTGTTTGATCATCAGGTTTTCAAACAGAAGCCAACCATGTGGAATTCATTAGCAAAACTACTAAGATCATTCGGAGTCTACGCAACGAATCTGGAAATGAATAAAGGTAAAAATGCATGGCAAAGTCAAATATGAACATACGTTTTCGATTGTTTTAGATAAGAATCAAACGAGCGGATCGTTATTCAATAGATATAGTGATTATCCGTTAACTGAAGAACGTACATTGGAATGTTTTACACCATTAAATGAGGTTTTGAAAGCATATAATTTCAAGAAATATGATGGTAATGATACAGCAAATGAAGAATTAAGTGAAAAAGATGAGAGACAATTACGGAAGTTGCGTTTAGTTGCTATTTTGAGAACTTTATCTCAGAAAGTCGATGAGAAAACGAAAAACAAGCTGTTTGAACATTTAATTACTTATGTGAAAGATGATGTCGTTTATTTCGAATCATCATCATTACCGACAATACCACAAGTGCCTACATCCAATTTCGGTGTGCCGGGTGATCGACGAACAATACAGGTACATGCGCAGATCAGGAGAATTTCGTTCAAAATATCTTTCTTTTTTCAGAAACCGTCCAACGACGAGGGTCGAATGTATAATTCTAATGGCGCAGTCGTTAAAACACCACGTGGTGGACGTAATGTTGCTTTGAGACAGTTCTTTGAACCTGCAATGGCCGGTAGGGATCAAATTTGACATCAACAAATTGTCACTCATATTCACGTTTAGCTGCTGAATCAGCATCGAAAGATCGTCTGATGAGTCCGAGCCATTCGTCCAATGATGCAGTTGCAAATCTACCACCTCCTCCTCATCTTCTTGAACGTATGTTCGACATAATTTATAGCTTTACGTATGTGATTTTCGATTCGATTCAGATCCAGGTGCTTGGCCACAGTTATCGTCAGTATCAGAGCCAAAAAATCTCTTTCAAGCGCAGTCATCAGATCCAACTGAGTAAGAATTTTGATAACCAAACAATCGATCATGTGTCACATTTTAACAGATCACAATTCGATTCCGTTTGGAAGAGCACTGTCGATCCGAAAGACCAATTTAGCTTCCAGCCATCATCGTCGCCACAACAAATCCTTGCGCCTGGCTTAATGTTCTCCAATTCATTGACAAAAACCAACTTCAAACCATAACGATCGAAATAAGCTCAACCGGAACGCATTCAACTATCTTTGCTTGTCAATATATGTGATAGAAACCAGCCAAGTGTTTTTTCCTCTTCTTTTCTCGCGTATTATAAACGGTGCTTTTTGAACTTATAGGTCGAACGATGCTTTTTCCTTTCCTGTGTTAAAAGTTATTCTTATATTTATGATTTAAAAAAAACACTCAATAAACAAGAAAAATGGCGATTCTCACTACTAAATGAGAAGAAGTAGTGCTCGATCGCAATATACATACGACTCGATATCGGTCAATGTAACGATTTAATAAAGTAAAAGAACGAAAAGAGAAAAAAAAACACTGAGATCATTTTCTTCGTGTTACACGTTTTTGCGCAATTGTACTGTATCAAAATTCAATACTCGTTCGTCGTTCTGTTGTCCTAATAAAAATGCAGCGAAAGCGAGAGAAGAAACGAGATCTATCGGACACTATTAATGTTCAGAAGGAAGGATAGAGAGAGAGGGAGAAAGAGACAGAATGAATGATTTTGTCTTTAATCAAAAAGGAAGGTGAGCTGGCTACTTGCCAATTATCGAATACAGTGTTACTCATTTCGATATCGATAAACAATTTCACCGGGCTTGAATGAAATTCGTCGGAAAACGCCAATCGAAACATTCAATGTTTGGTGCAAATTGTCATTGATTTCTTGTCGAAAATGACTCCAACTGTGGGTTAACTCTCTCAGCTCATCATGGATAATCGCATGTGCACTGAGATCAACGGTTCAATGATGATATTCGATATAATGAACATTATTCATCGATCACGTTGTACAACACATAATGTGACATGGAAAATGTACTTTATTTACTATTCTTCATTGTTCACAACAATTTTGGAGAAATCTACCATATTTTTTAAAGACAAGAAAAAGAAACATCTGACGCACAAGAACCAAATCCATAATCGTACACAAAAGATTTTTTAACTAAAGAATAACCTAAGAAAATGAGTAGAAGAAACCCTATTGTTCTTCTTCTCATTGAACTCTACTATTCGGCTTTCGTCTGAAAATAAAGATTCGAACGAACAAAAAGTGAAAATATGCATCGAAAGTTCGTCTGATTAATGCCCATTGCCATTTGTGATAATGACATCTTCATCGACTTCGAATCGCGGACGTTTGAGACGTTGACGTTGTGCTGCACCGTTGCTTGCTGTTGGTAAATTCTCATTACCGGTCGGTGTCGCATTACCATTTAAAGTTGGAGAAGGTCCGACCCGTCCGCCTATATTCAACCGTTCTTCTTCGGAATCAAGTAGTTTTCTATAGGTGGCAATTTCGCGATCGAGGCCAAACTTTGTGTCAAGCAGATTTTGATAATCACTTTGCATTTGCTCGATAAGTTGTTTCAGATTGAGGATTTCATCGTCACGTTCAATGATCGATTCGTGTAGCTGTTGTTGAGCACGATGAGCGCGATCTTCCATATCACGACAGCGTTGCTCAAGCTGAAGCATTTTATCATTACATGCATCACGAGTCTTCGTTGCTTCTTCAATACGTTCACGATACGAAATCAAATCAATACGATAATTATTGATTTGCTCGAGATTACGACGATTAGTATTTTGTAAATCTTCAATCTAAACAAACATTCGTATGTCTACTTCACGTTAACTGATATAGAACTGCAAAAGTAGTATATGTCAAGTGGTGTCTATCGACAAAAACGTGATGATTTCGTGCAATGGTGATATTCACTTCTCAAATGCTTCGAACTCGTCGTTTCCACAGTGACATGGAAGAGCGCACTTGCGTAATTAACTCTCTGAAATTCGCTTACTTTCTTCTCATACTGCGAAGCGATTTCTTCTCGTAATAGTTGCATTTCTTGTTCATTCTGTGTTCTTAATTGTTGCAATTCTTGCAGAAGTCTCGCATCATACTGTTGCCGGAGACCGTCATCATGAAGAATTTCCACACGTTGTTGTTCTTTCAATTGATAGATTTTCTAACAAAGCAAACATGATTCGAGTTCTTCGACAAAATCATTGACAAATAGCTTTACTGTTTCATAGACATGTTGATTAAACTGTAATTCTTCTCTCAGAGTCTTGTTTTTGTTCTCCAAATCAACACGTAAGAGTGTTTCCGACTCCAACTGACGCTTCAATGAGCCAACTTGCTTTTCCAGATCATGATTGCGGTTTAATAATGTCTAAAATACAGCATAGTTAACAAACGAACGAAACATTTGAGAGAAGTCATCTCCAACCTCATTATCTTCCATGCGACGTGTTGCATCGAAGGCAATCGAATCGTATCGTGCTTTTAATTCAGCAATCTCACTCTCATACTGTTTCATTCGTGCTTCGTACGCACGCGAATCGCGATCATTACGAGCAGACTTTGCTTGAATGTCAAGTATTTCACTGCGACTCTTTTCCAATTCTATTTCTAGACGAGATTTTTCATGAGCTAATTCTTCAATTAACTTCTTTGCATCGTCTAGAATAGGGAATAATGTGATATGAAAGAGAGAGAGAGAGAGTTCGGAGAAGACGTTTACCTAATTCATTTTCATACAAAGTCTTCACTTTCGATGTTTCCATTTCAAATGATTGTGCATTGCTTTTAACAATTGTCTAAACAGATCGGATAGCAGGTGCTTCCCCGAAAAATAAATCAAAGATTTACTCTTAGTTTTTCATTATCTTGTTCAAGTCGTCGGACGGTATCAATAATCACTGCTAATCGATCATTTAGTGTCTGTAACTCTTGTTTTTCCTGTTGTCGGGTGATGTTCAATGTTGGCGATGTACTAAAAGACGATGACGATGTTGATGTCATCGAAAGACCAGAAAGAGTACGATGTTTCATTCCATTATTTCCATTAACACCTAAGGTATTGCTTGTATTCGAATTCACTGTTGGCGTGGTGAAGTTATTCTCGAGATTTGCCTTGCGACCATTGCTTTCTGTTAGCGGAGTTTCTTTGACATTCGAGTCAGAACGTGAAGCCGATGCGGCACGACGTCGGAATGCCGCAAACATTTCGAATTATGATTGGGGATGAGGAGAAATGAAAATTTTATCTATAATGAAATGTATCGTTCATACAGTTCATAATACTACAAATACACAAAGGACTGGTTTGAAAAAAGACTCAGGTTTTGATAGGTGCTTGTATTGAATGAACATTGAATATGAGATTTTCTTCGAGAAAGAAATTCAAGTTCGAAGAAAACTGATAGATACAATGAAAGATTGATTTAATTACGTCGAAGACAATATCATCAGTTACTGGTATGGATGCGACATCTTTCGTAGCTAACAGTTAACACAAAGTTTATTCTTATTCATCAACATTAAAACAATTCTCAAATATACGAAAGCTTATTTATAATAGTTCAGTGTCTTATTTTCCGCTAACAACACTACTGCGATCTCCCCCTGACGTTCTCTGTTCGATATCAGATGCACATTGAGAGAACCGGTACGCTCTAGCATGTTCGCCCATCTTCGCACATATTGAACTCATACAATTATAAGCATTGGCCAGTTCGAGAGAGTAGCCAGGATGAGTAGTCTGATAGATATCATGGGCTTTTTGATAGTACGAAAAAGCTTTGCCGTATTTGCCAGTTTGTTCAAAGACAGCGCCTTGGCACATATAAGAATTGGCTAAGTCTGGATGAGTTGAGGGAAGAATTTGTACATAGATATTGTAGGCTTTTTCATAAAAACAGCCCGCATGTAGATAATCAGCTCGATGAAAATATATCATGCCGATGTTCTGATACGTTGCTGCTAGTTTCGGATGTGTAGTAGAAAGGATTGCTTCGTTAATTTTCAACGCTTCTTCATAGTAAGTCAATGCAACAGAATACTCATGAATTTTGTCGTAGACCAGGCCAATGTTGTAATAACATTGAGCTACGTCAGAACGATCCTGAGGAGGATTTTTCTCGTAAATAGCTAAAGCTTTTATAAACGACGCTATGGCTTTTTGATGATCGTTCATTTTCTCATAAACCGAACCGATATTGCTGTGAGCATTGGCTAAGTCAGACGGATTCAGCGAAGGAATTTTCTTGCACATTTCTAATGCTTGTTGGTAATACGACAGTGATTTGGAATACTGTTCCATCTGACAACATACTCGTGCGACATTATGGACATGTTCGATTAGGACTGGTACATCTTCGGGAAGCACAACTTTGTAGATATCGTACGCTTTCTCGAACGACGAGAGTGCTTTAGAATATTCACATGTCTTCTCGCACGACAAACCGATTTCATTATAACATGTTGCGATATCCATATGATCGGATGATCGAAATCTCTGACGCATCTTCAGCGCTGTTTCGAAGAACGTAATTGCTCTTGTATAATCTCTTTGACAGAATTTTATTGTTCCGAGCTGATAATTCAGAGTTGCTTTTTCTTCATCAGTCGACGTTTGAGTCAACGCTGATTGACACACCAGTTCAGCTTCATCGATTTGATTTTGTTTTAACAGAAACGCGCTCAAACGACACCAGCCTGTTCCGAGCGAGGCTGTTTGCTCACTAACGAGTTTGATCAAATTCGAAAGTTGTTCGTCATTCTCATCACATAAGGTCATTTCCACTTGCCAAAGTCTATTGGAGTGATGATCTATTTGAGTAATTCGATCGATACGAAAGATCGGATACAAAGAGAAAAGAATTTCTTCGTCCGTTTCTTGACACCATTCATCACGAATATTCGCAAAGACAGCCGAAACTAGAGAAGACGGATCAATTTTGATTGCAAATAGAATACCGAGCATATTTGCAGTCGTTGCCATTTGACGCGCATAGTTCATCGAGATGTAACGTTTGCTTGTAGCAGAGAGGAAATCACTAAATGAAACGAATCCATCACGCGCTTTCACCAAATCATCGAAAGTTGTTTGATACATTCCTTGACTGTGATAAACAATGAACGCATTGGATTCATGATGATTGGCATGAAGTTGACTGAGTTGCTGATGAAGCTTTTCGATGAAGAAACTCATCTTGATAATGGCCTCCATCTCCATCAATCGTAACGCACGACTTAGCATCGAAGAGAGACATGACTGAGATGTGTACCACCAAATAGGCGCATAATCATAATATTCTCGTTGAAATTTTTCCAGATTTTTCGATTCCGCAACATTACCAACGATCTGCGTACGATAAAAAGCAAGAAACTTCTCAATATCTTGTAGTTTGTATTTGTTACTCAGAATAATTTCTTTTACTATTTGATTGTAAATGAATAACTGATCTAAATCACCGAAATTCCAATTGCTATTGGGTTTAATGAAACTCATCGCAATACTATTTCGATCGCATTCTTTCGTGCTTTCTCGGATCCCTTCAATAAGAGTCGAAATATCCATATACACCCCTCTTATTTTCACCCATTGATGCACCCACACTTCGTGTTCTAGTTTATTCTCACAAAAGATAAGGATCGACATTATTTGAGACATATTATGTATAGCGGGCATGCTCGGTTGCATGGATCTTCCCGAGAGAATTAAAATAATGTGTTCATCTTCGATTTTTTCAATAAAATCCACACATTCTTTCACATCGATGAATGTATTAACATTGTTTGCAATATGTCGTAATATATTGATTACATTTGGATTCATGTAATTGTTCAATCCATCTGTGCTTGTATCCAGCCAAACCAATCGGAAATTTTGAAACACCGGCCCATCGCAACTTTCAGATGACCGTAAAGTACTACGTTGAGGTACGATTGTCGCAATGGCATCTTTCAATGCCGATGCAGTTTTAGTATCCTTGTGCAGCGCGTCGCGTCTTTTACTATGAACAGCATGCGACAACTTTCTTTTCAGTCTGTCCATAATCGATACCCGACGTCTTGTATTTTTCAACTAATAAATATACGTTACCTTTCGTCGTTGAATATGGTAATAGTTAATTGATCAATATTTTAACGATGTCTAGTTACGCTTCGTTGGGTAACCTATTGCTATTGACAGTCTAGTGTAAAAACAAACTATACGAAATGTAAGAAAAATGTGCTCTTATATGGCGATCGAAGTAGTGTAAGCCGTCGTCACAGGTGCGTGTGTCACGTATAGATTTTGTTGGATGATGACTAAAAACGGAAGAAGAATTTGTTTTCTACTCGACGAATATAGATACTGATCAGCAACTTCATGCAATGTCTCTGATTAATAGATGATGCATGTTTCGAGATGAATGCTATGAAAATGTATTTTTAATGTATAAAAAATCAACAATAACAAGACGCGGCAAGTGAAAAATAAAAATGAGCTGAGCGTCGGATGACTAGAGTGTTTATTGTTTCTTATTTTGTTGTCTTTGTTTGACCGACCAATTGTGTAAACGAGCCATGTTGACTTCTGTTGTAGTGATTTGATCGCTATTGAAAGAAGAAAGAATTCGGATTGGAAATGTTTAATAAATTCCATACCGGAGAAAGTCTAAATCTTCATCGACCTTTTTAAGTGTTGCTCGTGCGGTTTTTTGATTGCCAGTTAACAATTCCTCTGACTCGTCTAATGTATATTCGAGCATAACATTAGCACCTAACCAGAGACAGACCTGTGCACAACGAAAATTGATGATTTGAAGACTTGAACGAAAAGAATTTTACCTTGTCAGTCGGTGGAATTGTAGCTTTTCCATAAAGATTATGAGCGAGAAGAAAATTCGTATCCATAGTTGCATCCTTTTCCTTGTATTTCCGAAGTTGTTCAATCATATCTATACAATGACACATCGAACTAAGCAAGAAAATCTATTTGCTGATGATTTACCTAAACATATTTGTATATCAGGTAGTTTGCCTTGTAAACGCTTTTTCTTCTGTAGTAAATTCATTTCCATAAAACGATATTTACTATTTAAATCATCCAATCTGAACGTTAACTTTGTTTAGACTAAAATCGCTCGAAACACAACATTTTCTTTACCTTCGAATCACTGTATCAGCTGAATCGTTTTCTGGTTGTTGCATAAAACTATCGACATCCTCGACGAAAACTGCTTTCGGAATACCTAAATGTTCGGTATCACCGCCGCTTGTAATGGATGCCATGTTCTAACAGAAATCTCGTCTAAAATGTCTAAAATTGTGAATCGGATGAACACTCAAAAGCTGCAAGAAGTACTATTGCACAACGTTTTTGTTTAATTTTAAAAAAGAGACTGAAAATTTTTTACAAAGAATCATGAACGAAACTGTCGTATGTATGTTATTATTTCATCGGCGTGGTTGTCGGAAACTAAAGATAAAAATCAAAAGAGAGTACGAACGAAGATATGAGAACGAGTAGTTTACCGTATGATAATTCGTGCACGAAGAAAAAGTCGAATCAACGCAAAGACAAAAAACGGCCATAACAAAATGAATGCGATAGCGCGCCGACGTAGACCAGATAAAGGTAACCATCGAGTCAAAGGCTAAAACTTATCGATTAGAATATCGAGTCCTTTTCCTATGTTTGCACTTACGTTCGATTGAGTAGAAGAACATAATTGTGCAGATAGCTCTCTCTATGTGTTGATATACATGATTGATACATTGAATGCTCTAGTAATCGACTTACTTGCTGAAGAAAATGTGTTGATGTTTCTAATCGATTAAGTCGTTCGAGAATATTATTAACATCGCGCTGAAGTTTTGTTAGTGCTGTTAGAATCGCACGTTGTGTTTCTTTGTTATAACTGTTGTCTGGATGTCGTCCACTTCCACCACCGGATGCAACAGACGAGGGTGAATAGCGGGCACCATCCATCGATAGATGCTGCTGCTGATGAGGATGAGTTGACGACCGGCGTGCTTCATTTGAATGATGTCCTAGTAAAATTGATTATAAATTGATGAAACTCGAACTATTTTCGTTCACAACAATACCTCCTCTGTTTGAGTGATGCACAGGAAGACTTGAGCCATCTTGGCCACCGTATACATGTGGATGATGTCGTGTCGTACTATTGGATGACTGTTCATGTGGAATGTTAGAATGTAACGAAGGTGCATTGCTCTAAATATTCGAAGAGAGTTGACTTTGATCGAAGCGAGAGTAAAATAATTTACTTCGGTGAAATGATTGTTGTGACTAGAAGTCAGCTCATCATTCGATAGACCATTGGTGAGAGGAAATCGATCAGGAGGATCATCATAGACTTCGTCAACGTCTATGAAAATTCATGTTAAACGTGAGACGATTCATCAGCGAGCAGAATGACATACCCGACGAAGAGATCGACGAAGAGGAAGATGAGGGTGATGAAGACGGTGGTCGACCATTACCAGCTGAAACTAAGTTATGAGTTAGACCATTTGAATGAACAAGTAATTGTTCATGATGGTCACCTACAGCGAAAAGTTGAATTTAAAACGCTGATGGCCTTTAGAAAGAGACTTACTATCACTAAATCCGTTGGTATACGGTTCAGTTAGTTGTGACTTTTTGTTATTTACATTTGCGTGATGAGATCGTTTCTTCACGGATACAATTGGACCATTCTGCTCTGTGCGATCATCAACAAATTCATAGAAAGGTCCGATCAGTTGCGTGAATTCTAACACTTCATTAGTTTGTGGCATAGTTTCAAGAATCTAAACTTTCTTCATAGGAAATCATTGTTTTTTTTCGATCATCAAATTACTTTTCGAATTTCGTCAATATAACCTGACATAGCCGCTTCTTTACTCATCGATCGACATTTATCCCACGCATCCCTACATGATGAATGTTGGCAATATAAAGTAAGACAAATCCATATACGTTCATTTCGTACCATTTTGCTCGATTGACATAGTTGAAAATAGATGGTCGTACTTCTTGACACGGTCCAAGTGTTGCTTGCTTATAAAGACCATAAAACGCTAATTTCATTTCATTAGATGGTTGAAAAGTACCTAGTTCAATTCAATCATGAGTTAATCATTGAAATGGAAAGATTTCTCACCATCATTAGGTAAGCGTTGAATAGCTTTTACAGCTGCATGGAATTTTTCTTCCAGACTAGCTGTAGAAGCCATGATCTACTGGATAATCTAAAAATCAACGAAATTTCTTCACTTGAAATTCAGATATGTCAGAAACTATCGATATCAAGTCGACATGTTACGATTTCTTTTCTTACAAAAAACAACAACATCGTTTCTAACTAGTTAGTATGTTATAATCGAATAGCAAAAAAGAAGCTTTACAAGCATCATCGGATATTCGACTGAAAAGGACATCTATCGATCACATTGTCGTGGAGGTCCGTATTTTCTAATGGCTATGTGTTTGTCAGTTATACTTCTCCAAATGAGTTCTAGTTCTTCATCAATTCCTGTCTAAATCTTACGGCTAACGTCAAGCCAACGTTTTCTATTAAACAATCTGATCTGATGATTGTTCGTCTATGAGTATAAGATGATACATGCGGATGCCTTAATTTATTAGAGTAAACTTTTCTTTTTGGATCACTGAGCACAAACGATACTATCAAGCATCGCGACATTTCGTGATAAACTAATGTTTTGCGACGAAAGCATTCTACAAACTCGCAGTTGTTTCTGTTTGCGAACATCGAATACTATGACAAACAGTGTTCATAGATGTACATTCTAGAATTCGTTGTATTTTCAGATATTTGTTTTCGACTATGAGTCGGCTAGTATATGTCACTAGATTAAGTTCGATGGTAAGAGAGATTCTCAAAGAAGAAAAGAACTTATATATTCGATTCTAGACGACGGAACATGATTTAGAACGTTTTTGTGCACGGTTCGGAAATGTTATCGAGTGCACTATCTTTCCAGTGGATGAAATATCGAGAAAGTAAGTAAGTCGATATTACTAAGGCGAAATATGTATTCAGTTTTCACTTTCTAGACGTTCCGGTTATGTTAAATTTGCTTCGTGTCATTCCGCCGAGAAAATGTACCATCAATCCCGTGACACACCATTTTCGATCGACCAATCAACGCTTGATATCGAACTCGGTCGTGGAGCTTCTAATCTATCAACGGATGAACATAAAAAGAAAATCCTGACTATCTTCAATAAGAAGTCGAGTCATTCGTCAACGACTTACATTTTACATATTGAAGGTCAGATAACAAACAACGAAGAATTAATCGAGTATTTAAAGAGTAAACCGTTGAGTATCAAGTTTATCGAACAAGTCGATGATAATGGAGGTATTGTCAAGATGGGTGCACAAGTTACATACAATGATAAAGAACTAGTCGACCGTATTCTGGAACAGAAGGATGAAAGGTAAAAATTGATCACCGATTTTTGTTCGCTTTCGGGCTCAACATTAGTTTCTTCCCTTGGTTAGATATAAGACTAAATTGGTAGCGACAAAAACTTCCAATAAACGTGAACATGAAAGTCAACCATCGTTGTATGCAAAGCGTTCGAAATTATCTCAAAGTATTCATTCTTCCATCGATTTTCACCTTCGAAGTATAACTAAACTTACGCGTGATCTTCACGAAGAGAACGAACATTTACAAAACGATAAAAGCGTGTTGAAAACAAATGTTCGCGAGCAAACATCGAAGATCAAACAAATGGAAGCGGAAACGGCGGATTTAATCGAATCATCGAACAAAGCTCACTGCATCGCGAAATGTATTGCTGAGAAGTACAAACTACGAGAAGAAGAGTATCAAAAACATAGCGACAATTCGAATAAAGTTATTTTGGAACTCGAGACATTGCTCAAAACAACCAACGAACATTTCAGTAAAGCAAAAGAAGAAATCCAATATTTAACGAATCAAGTCGCATCGCTCAAAAGACAATTGGAAGAATCAACTAACAGACAGTCTCCCAGTATTCGAGAGTATGAAATTGAACAGTTTTTCTTAGCTGTAGAACAATATTTGACATGATGAATAGTATTTCGTTATATTTTTTGAAGTTGTTTACATTTTCTCTTTTGGTCAGATGTTACTTAGTGTTATGAATTTTTTCTTGTGTATGCGAAAATGAATGCGTTAATTTTTCATCCGTTTGTTTTTTTTTCTTCTAAAAACATGTCGATGTATGAAAGTGTTTCATTTCAGATTCATAAACATGTCCACGGTCACTTTCGGTCCTCTTGATCATCGAACAAACAACGAAACAGTGAAAAACTTCTGTCAAACTTTCGGCCGAGTGCTCAATTGTTACATCAAATCGAATCAATGCATCGTTACATTTGCTGATAAACAGCACGCCGACGAATTTATCCGCACATCGCCACATCAAATCGATTCCTACAGTTTAGTCAATGCCACAATGAAGACACATTTAAATCGACCTAGTAATCCTTACTATCCACAATCGACAAATAATTCAACTGACGATTGCCGATTAACGATCCGCGGATCAGCTGAACAGTTAGACGAAAACAATTTGCTAAGATACTTTTCACGCTATGGACATGTACGCATGTGTCTACCGAATCTAGCTCAAGGTTACGCGACGATTACCTTCGACGATCGAATGAGCTGTGAACGAATTTTAAAAGAATCGCGACATTTTCTTAATGGTCGACCTTTGACTGTTGAACCTCACGCATCATCCAAATCCATATCAGACCAGTCGGAATCTTCCAAACGAAGAAAGTATTCCGAATCAACATTAGACCGTAAATCCAAACACGAGACAGAACAGTCAGTCAATGAACAAACGCGTCTGAAAAATCAGTACGAACAATGCATGCAACTGTATGAACACGAGAAGAAACAATTGAACGAATACTTAACGAAACAGCAAGCCGATTTCGCTCAACAAGTTGCACATTATCAATACTTACTTAAACAAAGTTACGATGAAATAACCATTAAGGATAAGCAAATTGAGCAGTTAAAACAAGAAAACAAAGATATTGAGTATGGATAAAAGTCTCGTTATGTCTATGAAGACTTTTAATTTCTGTGTCTAGTGATCTTCTGCGGCAAACTGTTCACGATAACGAACAACAACAGATACATTCCAAGAAAAGAGAAGAAGCACATAGTCAAATGAAGAGAAAATATGAAGAACTCTATAAAGGCTATATGAAACTAAAAGATAATTGGTATGATTTGTTCTTTCCTGTAAATATTGTATTCATTAAGACCGAAATTCGATTGTGTTTAGTTCCACACCACGTGATAAAGATTCAATTTCTATAATCAATCCGGTGTCTACTTCAAAATCTACAATTGATGATGTTCGGAAAAAGTAAATTTTCCATCAATGACTTCAAAATCATTATTTCTACTGATAAATTTCGCATTTTTTCTTAGGCTTTAAATTCAGTAATTTCCAGCGACGTTATCCAACCTTCGCATATCGTTTGTTTTGCCTTTCGTCTTTCATATTTAATGCCACTTAGTTAATTCATCGTTTGTACATATCTCTATAGCTTTCATTAAAAGAACAGAAGCATGTTCTTCTTGGGTTTTTTTTCAGTGAATAGCTTTATGTTTATGTTTATGCTTATTTTCGTATCTCGGTGCATTTATACATACGCAATTAATGGTTTACGTTTCTCTCTTTCTTTCAGATGTCTTCATCGTTATCGTCATTCAAATGTCAAATATTACTACGCAATCTCCCGAAACGAATTAGTGTTAAGCAAATTCAACAATATGCAGCGCGCTATGGATCAGTGATTGATTGTTACTTTCGCGACAACGAGAATGACTGTGTGATTGAATTCAACGACCGGACAAGTGTCGATGTTTTCATGGCTAAACGGCCGCATATGATTGATGGAATCGAATTACTTTGTCAACGTTGTTTACCACCATTTGAGTTACAAAAACTAGTCAAGCGTATTTTCATTCGTGGAACTGTGCAACAATTAACTGAAAGTCGTTTGTCGAATTACTTCGATCGTTATGGCAAAGTTGTATCGTGTACGATTCCGAAAGGCAAGCGAAACAATGCATTTACACATCATGGTTACGCGTTCGTTGCATTCGACGACGAAGATGTCGTTGATCGAATTATTCAAGACAAGCCGCATTATATCGATGACATAGAGTTAGAAATCGAGAAAGCTGAAGATATGGGACGACAACGACGCGATTCTTTGTCGCCATCACCAAGTTCGCGTTCATCGCATTCAGTTTCAATGAACAATAATAATCATAACTACAAGCGTGTGCGACGGGATACACCTTCTCCACCAACAAGACGGCCGACCCGTTCATCAGAGGAGTTTGCTATTCGACACCTAGAAGATGAAATTCATCGATTACGCGAGCATGCAGTCATGGCGAAACATCACTTCGATGAAACTGTTTGGAAATTACGACGCGAACTGGATGATGAACGTCGCCGTCATGATCAACTCAAGCTCGACTACGATCTATTACGTCGAGAATTAGCACACATGTCCTCGGAATTGCAACCAAAGAATCCACCAAGACATTTCAATTCGAGCAATAAACGTGATCTCGCATCAAGACATTAAGTGAGTTACTGCTACTCGCAAATCTCGTTCGACCATCTACTCATTCTAGGTGTCAATTGTACACATCATTTACTACTCTCCTTTTGGCATATGCAGTACTTTGTATTACAAGGAATGTAACAGATACTCATTGCATTGTTTTCTTTTCTTTTTCTGCGTCTCCATCTCTTCTTTTTTTTATTGTGTATATATATCATACATATGATGACATGTATTAAACTTAAATTGATAATGACAATATTGGTACATAATCATCTGTTTTTTCCTCACAACAACGATCGATGACAGACTTGATTTGAGAAAGTTGTGAAAGACGAAATGTCGAAATCGGATGTAGCTTTGATCAATGTTACCAATCGAAATGACCTCATTTCATTTACGTCTTTGATATGTTTCATGTTTGTCAGCATAATTGAATTGAATTCCGTTGTAATTAAATGAAAGTCATCATCTATTATTGAAAAACGACGCAGAAAATATTTATTCACGTCACAATCAATCAATTCGGCTGGAACAATAACAAGCAATACTTCTTCATTTTAGTTTTCATATTTTCTGTCTTCTAATTTCTCAGCAAACTTGTTCGAAGGTAAACATAGCCGTCGTTGACTGTCCACACAAATAACACGCTATAAGGAGTGTAGCCTTCATACTTATATACGAATATATGCTTATTTGAAGTCATCGCTTGTACATGCTCAGTCACACCTGAATGCCTCTCGTGCATAATTTTTTCCAGCGTTGCTTGTCACGTCGATTCACTGACATTGAGTCACTTCTGATCTGATGAAATGAGTGCATGAAAAAGTAGACGACTTTATTCAGATAAAACAAGAAACATTGATATGCACGCACAAGAAGAAAGAGATTTTTATTTCAAAAAAGTTTTAAGAAAATATAGTGGTGTTTTGAGATACAAAAAAAATGAACGTAGTGTTTATGTGTATTTCGGTTTTTGTCGTCAATCGTCATCGTCGTCGCTGCTATTGTTGTTGATGTTATTGTGTCATGCAAAAAAAAAGAAATGTTTTCATTTTTTCCGAACAGATAGATGTGTTGCAAATAGGCCCAAGAGAATGCTTAAAAAAGACAGAATGATATTGTTCAAGATTGAAAGCAGGAAAAAAGTTGAAAAGAAAAAGAAAATAATCGATTGTTTTTTGAGTTTAGCTTCGTTGGATGCGGCTGAACATGGTGTAAAAGAGTGAAGCCAATAGAAGAACGGCGCACATCTGCAATTGTGCAACTCCACTGACTCCTTCTACTCTCTTGTAGGTGTCGAGAAATTGTTCTGAAAGAATTCGAAAACAAACGAATGATCGATGTTGAAAAGAAATAGATTAGATTTTACTTGTATATGCGGCTAAGGCAATAGTACAGGCAAAGAGACCCAATAAACCGATAGCAGATAAGCACAGAAGACAACCGAGAGTACCACCGATGGCACCAAGAGCCCCATCAAGGCCAGCACCAATACCTGGTCCGACACCAACAACCGGACGTGCAATGACTGGTCTGGCACTAGAAGAACATAGTTTTCGTTCAGTTGAATAAAAAAAACAAAAAGAGAGTTCAGTTGCGAATCTTACCGTGCTACATATGGTCGAGGAGCTGAAATTGGTCGTCGAGAAGACATGTTAGCCTATAAAGATCTACAAAAGAAAAGACATTGACAAGGTTATCTTCTCTGGACAAAAGTGTCCGCACGTGTTCAACTCTAACTTTCTTTCATCAACATGTCTTCCTTTCTCTCTTCTCTTCTCTCTCCCTTTTTCTCCTCTTCTTTTCAGTTACCTGCGCGATGGTCTTCTTTCGGCAGAAACGTTGACGGCCTGTTTGCAATACGCTAAAAAGTGAGATACCACGATGCAACAAACTACTAATTTTGTTCTTCTCTCCCTCTCTCTCTCTCCCATCGTCATCACTCTTTCTAATCAATCAACCTCCTCGCCTTCTTTTCCTAAATCAGAACGTCTCACATTGTCTTGCAGAAGACGTCAGATTCTTTTTGTTTTTCTCCTCGCTCTTTCTCTCATTCTCTTGTTTCATTGAAACGAAAAGAATAAACTGTACAACAAGTCATGCTACTGATGCATGTAACATTTTTATCAACGGCATGATCAACTAGCCCACTATTTTCCTGCTATACGTGTACATGTCTTCTTCTTTTCCTAGCTAGTTGTGCTACGCATGACTTCACAGTTATCAACATTGATTTGCACCTGAATCATACGGCATAAGTCGTCATCAGAAAAGTAAAACGAGAGAAAAGGCTCGTTCTCTGTTTTCTTCTATTACTTACATTAATAATTTGCTGAAAATGAAAAACGAAACATGTTCGTCGAGAAAAAGAAATTGTTAACAGTTTGATGGCTGATAATACATGCTTATTAAGAATGTGTCACGGATGGTATCTAATTAGAGCGAAAAGAGAGAAAATTACTAATACGCAGGTGAAAAGAGAATATATCTAAAACGATGTGTCGACAACATATTTTGGTCACATCATATACGGGCATCGAAACGGGAAAAGTCATCATTACACGCGTATGATGTCGTCAGTCAGGACTGTTTCACTTCAGTGGTCACCTGACTTTTTTTCATTTCATGTTGTACCTTTTCCTTCCTTGTCTCTCAGTTTGCTTCGCATAATATCCATAAACGAACAAGTATGACAAACATTGTTGATATCTGAGAAAAGAGAACGAGGAGAAAGAGAGGAAACGACTTTTTACCGATCGTTCTCTCTGTCTCTTCTACTGTTTCTATCTACAACCTTCACCATCTATATCTCATCTCTTTTTGTAATTACATCAAGAATGTTATGATTTTTTTGTGACGGTTGACGAACTATTTTTTTCCATCAGACTTCAACCTTTCATTTTTCTTCTATTTCTCTGTCTCTCTTTACCTCTTGTTGTCGTGATCAAAATCAATAGCATGAATACATATTTATGTTGCCCAGTAAAGTTCCCTATTGATCCTACTTCTCTCTCTCCACTCTTCCGGTGACGTGCGCCTTTTGCTTTCTCTGTTTGTCTGTCTATCTCTCTCTCTCTCTCCCTCTTCTCCCTATTTTTTTTTGAGTAAGTGAGAGAGCTCTTGAATCGTCAGGCAGGTAGCAATAGTCAAAAAGACAACAACAACACCCCTGTCTCTTTTAGGTAGGCAGAGAGATAACTTCGGAATGGCCTTGAGAACACTTTTGACTGTAGCTTTGTTGAAAATGTTACTACTGCTTTGGTCTTTTTATTTCTAGTGAACTCATAGAATGCCCCGAGTTCGAGTGCCTATCCGACGATCGGGATACCGATATACTGCTCGACCAGGTGTACGTTATCCTGTCGCGTAAGTACTCCTCTAATTATCGATATTCTGTCAACTTTGACAAACGTGTATTTATTGATAGACCTCCAGCTAAACGTGGTGGTTTATTAGGTGGCTTAGCTGGATTGCTTCTGTGTTTACTGTGCCTCGCAACACTCGGTCTACTTGGTCTATTTGCCACCTTCATTGCATTGACCGCCTATCTCGGTAAACTTTCTTTATAGATCCTCACACGATGCGATGTTATGTCTTTGACCATTGAATGCTTGTAGGAGACGTTTACCGTGCTTTGAGAGATGCTGGTGGTGATGCCTCAGCACACTATGCAAACATGACCATCTTACTTGCTGCATTGTGCTTCGCCGGTTATCACAAATTGCAGCGATCATTATAAACAAGACATTCTCTTCTTCCATTCTCATGTTCTATTCTGAATCGTCAAAAACCTCGTCGCTGTTATCCGTTTTCCTGTGATTACTTTCATCTCTTTGAACTTTCGAGAAACATTTTTCTTGCGAATTCGCACAAATTTTATTCTTTAAAACACCAAGATTTTTCTTCTCTTCCTTTCTGCATCTTTCTTTTGAACTCCACACACAAACATATATACCTTTTTTTACACATCTATTTGCTCTTTTCGAACAAGTGCCGAACGAAGATCACAAAAGAAATCCTTCGTACTAATATGAAATAACAATTCCATTGAAGCCATCATCATCATTATCATCATCGTCATGGTCATCTCTACGATTTGAACTCTCCAACAACGATATCACTTTGTATTCGACAAATAAAAACGATACTTTTCAAAATACATCAACGGGTTCTTTTTTCGTGTATTACGGATGTGTTTCTTTCTTTTTGTCGAGCACTTTTCTTTTTTCTTTGTGTGTGAGAAATAAAAATATCGACCACTGGAGATCTTCAATCGTCCGTTCACTTGTCGACAATTGATCCTTCGTCTCCGACGAAGACTAACTAACATTTTCTTTGTGAATCTTTGAAAATACAATAAAATAATTACAATCTTGAATTGTTTATGAAAAAGATCGATATTTTAAAATGTTATATCAACGATCAACACATATTTGGGTACCATTTTTTGCATCAATGGGGTATTGATGGATGGAGTTTAGTAGCATGGTTATCATCATGGTTTGATTCAAATCAAACATCAAATTTTGTTTGTGATCGTTGGTCAGTCATGAATAAAAATAAACATTAGACACTATCGGAAATTCAATCTCTATCTGGTTATTTCTTAGATGCTGGCCGTCTATTCTACTGCTGATTAGATAGATTTAAAGAAAATCCTTTTCATCTATTATGATGATAATGATGGTGAATTTATTCCTTTGAAAAAAAAGAAACAAACAAGAAAGATAAAATCGTTTCGTTGTTTGTATAAATGCTCTCTTTCAAAAACAAAAAAGAAAATAAAACTAATTTTTCATCTGAAATAATGATAATTCTTGTTCAAGTGCTTCTAAAAAAACAAAAAAACATTCAGAATTCTATGTTTTGTATTTCTCCTTTACCTTTCTTTTCTTGAATTATCTTCATCGATTGATTGATACTACTCTCTTCAATAACCAGTGCATCAATTTCTTGTTGTAAAGTTTTTATCTTTTCTTGTAAGTGTTTAATCGATTTCTCCTTTCAATTGATCACATTCCATGTAGCATTGTATGTTTCACGTTCCATGCAAAGCTAAAACAAAGAAAAAAAGAAAATCTTTGATGAAGAACTAAACTAGACTTTTTTACTTGGCCTTCGTATGTGTCAATCTCGGCTTTCACTTTCTAAAGAAAGAAATAGAAACCGTTTTATCAAAGTCGTTTCGATTTTATTACCTGATAGCGTTTGAGACTAAGCTTTGAGTTCTAAAATAACGTGATGATGAGCTTGATTGCATCCCAGGTCGATCAATCCGGCGACTGGATCCGTTGAAATCTGAGTCGGTTCCGGTACAGTTTTCGCCGATTCCGGCAAGTTCCTTGCCGCCGGATTCCGACCGGAATTGCACAGGAAATATCCGATCGGTTCCTGACCGGAATCCGGCGGCAAGGAAATAGTCGGAAAACGAACCTAGCCGGCCGGAACCGCCCGTGTCATAATAACCTGGGTTTATTTCAAATAAATGAAAACCATTTAGGTGCATTGATTTACATCGTTTTCAGATAAAAAAGTGTTTCGTAAATATCGTTCTATGGGAGACATCGATTATCTTCGGTTGGTATTAAGTGGCTTCACTTTGAAACAATTATTTTATATAAATTGGTTCAACAACAATCTTGACATTGGTGTAACAAATCGTAATATGAAGATCATCGAGTTATTACGCGAATGTACTGGGGACAAATTAGAAAACTGAACGTCCATAACAATTGAACAATCGATAATGGCGATCAATGGGTTAGGTTTTCTGAGTCGGACTGAAGAGACACTATTAGATGCAAAGTTACGAACTTATCTAGCATCGAAAGATTGTTCCGATACGATAATCGAACCATATGTTCAGAATTGTTGTGATACGAGGTTAACCATTGCGTTCGGAGGAAAAATAACAATATTCAAAATGGATAGGACATATACTGGTATAATAGCACATGACAATCGCTCGAAATGTATGAGACAATATTCACACAATTATTTCATGGACCAAAGGAAAAAGTATGTTACATATAGTTCAATATTTAACAGCGATCTTATCTATTTGGGCGGTAATTATGGTTATGATAAACAGTTTATCGTGTGGCTATCGAATTCCATTTTATATCTGTACAGTGGTTTTGAGAATTTTGCTAAATGCTATAATGCAACAAACAATGTATTTTGGAACAGCAATGGTATCATCTATATCAATCAGTGTCCAACTCGAATACAAGACTTTTGGTTTTTATATAACTTCATAAATATCTCATTCTTTTACACCCAACCAACGATTCTGGAAATCCCGAGTAACTGGTAATATTAATATATCTTCGAACCAATGTACCACTTCTGCATTTTTGTCTCTTATTTGTCTGCTTTAGTAATCGACAGAATCTAGTGGAGTTTATGAGTGCGAACTATGAAATACTAAACAAGCATTATGTGAATTACTGGGCTTTACACAAAGAACGTCATACTTGCGAGAGAGCATGTTAGATGGCATTTGTAACCGACGGATTTCAAAAGTCCAGTCGTTTTATATGTAGCAATATTAAAATGATTGTTCGAAGCGAAGAACTAGGTAAACTCAAAAATATTCCATTTGCCTAACTGTTCAATTTGTAATGTATGTCACTCTTTCCAAGGATATGTACGAACCGGCTGTGGTAATCGCCCAGAAAACAAAGTAAAGCAGACAACGAAAGATAACCACCAATGTAAATCAATGATAACAACAGCAGCTAGCAGTTCGAACGTTGACGTAGCAGATGCTTTGTGTACAAGCTGTAAGCTAAATCCTTTGTTCGTTAATTTTGAAGATGAAATGATTATCAACAATGAATGCAATATAAATAGAAATCCGCGTTTTGTTAACGGCAAAGTTCGCTCTTATGGAGTAATATCCACGATGTACAATTGTGGGATTGTCGTAGACTTTCTTGAGATAAACTTATCTGAACAGGTATTTATCGCATTATTACATTGGTTCAGTATGTTACATAAAATCAGTGATTTTACAAAAATACCAAATATTTTTATCTATGACAACGCGTGTAGCGTCTGGATCTACTTTAACCCTTTCCAGCCGGGTGTATCCATATGGATACAATTTTGCCGTAGGGGGGTACGGAATTCTCCAAAAATTCGGGGCTGAAAAATTGATCCTCATAACTAAAGTAACAAGAATATATATAAAGAAAATCTTTTGCTTGCTGTTTTCTGGTAGCCGGCCGGAAAGGGTTAAAGCACGATTACACACTACCAAAACGTTAGTTCTGACAGAGTCATCATTTTTTCTTGATTCATGTGAGATTTTTATTGACTGCGTCTGCATAAAAAGACACATAACCGTCATATGTGTCGTACAGAAAGAAACATCAATTTGAAGCCACATTTGAATGATATTAATACGGTTGTATGTGAACAAACGAATTCGTAGCTGAAACAATTCCTTAATATTTTATGCAATTTATCAGGACAACGATCCAAATTTTATTATCTATTTCTATTCCATATGCTGAATTGCAAGCGTTGTTCATTGAATCCAGAAAAGAGCCCGCATTTCTTATAACTTGATTGATCATTTGTTAGCGATCACGTATCGCTCTTCTCTTCCATTTTGAAAGAATGTTATTGCAGATAACATTCTTTCCCTTTTCGTTTTGTTTTTCTTTTCATTGGGGAGTCACTTGCTCTTTCAACTCGAATAAACATAGTTATTCTCGTTGAGACTCTCCTTTTCCTTGATGGTGGATTTGATTCGGACATAGAGAGCTCACATCATTATATTCTGATGCATTTTACCTATTGTTGTTTACCGACCATTGATACTATCCATTATTACAGACACATAATCGTGTTTCTTTTATCGTTTATCTTCTTTCTCTTAGTTTCATAGTTTTCTTTCTTTCTGTAGATATACACTTCGACCACATGTCTTTTCATCTGTATCACACGTAAACCCTGGAAACGTCCAGCCATATGCATTCATTTCTTCTTCTCTATATAATAGATTCGATATACGGCGTGTCACCATCATCATCGAATAGACCCCTCGGTAGACATCCTTTTCGAACATATCCTGATTAAATCACTCAATCTATAAATTTATTTAACAATATGTTTTTTTTTCGTTCGAGATTAAATGAAAGATAATGAAAAAATTCAAAGGGTAAAAGAGTAAAGCAAGTAAAGTAAGTTAAGGAAGTTAAGGGAGTAAAAGGAGTTAAGGGAGTAAAGGGAGCTAAGGGAGTTAAGGAAATTGAAATACTATAGAGATTAGAACGCATGACAGGGGTAAAAAATTTAAGTTACCAAAGGGTGTAAGAGTAAAGAAGTCTCAATACTTCAAGAGGCAGTCAAATGGTAGAAAATTTACACCATGATAACTTTAATTTCTTGTAGACCTATGGCGGCGGCACGGAGAGTGCCATATTGCCACATAAAGGAAACGCATCAAATGCTGATGGAAATCAAAATGCTGGCGGACAGCAACACGCTGGTGGAAACCAAAACGCTGGTGAAAACCAAAACGCTGGCGAAAATCAAAACGCTGGTGAAAACCAAAATCCACCAGTGGATCCAAATGCCTCTGCTTCAATGGCAGAATATGGCTATGTATATCTTACGCCCAACGCACCAGTAACTTCTCCGTTTTAACCCGTTCAGAATGGGTCACCACTGATTACTTGAGTTCACACCCATTCTTCTTCTTGTTTTTTTCTGGTATATACAAATACATTCTTCTTCGTCTTTTTTTCTCGTGTACTCAAATACATTAACAAATTCAAACACTTCATCCATCGAATAAATTGTGAAACATTATTCCTATTCCCGGGCACTAAATGATAAACAAACAAGCCATTGGCGGACAAGAACTTCTTCATCAACTAATATCTCTACCTTGCCTATCACGTTCCAGTTTGAATAAAATCTTGATAGAAAAAGACGCAATGAGACGAAATATAAGAAGGAGACCGCCATAAAGACTGATGAAAAGAGTAATTGTATATGAGACATTAGCTTCGTCCGTTGTTGTATAAGTGCAGAATGAAGGAGAAACACTGCTCAAAGTATGTCAAATAATTAGTACTTATTCTTCAGCTTCGGACAAATAAGTTCAACACAAGACTGTGCACGGATATACTTGGATTTTTTGGACCAAGAAGAAAAGAACTTTCCACACTGACATTCTTCTAAACACAATGATTATGATAAAAAAAACGAGATAGAGAATAGAATTATTGTTACTTGCTTTAGCCGTGGAAAACGATCGAGTAATAGTTGAATACATGTTGGATCATATAGACAGCTGAGCGTACTTTTCACAATAGCTTCGAAAGGGGAACATGCAGCAAAAGATCCGTTTATAAGGGGAGGAATATGCTGGGAACTCTTCTCATTGTGGATGACCGAGAGAATCACACTTCCATGAAAGCGAGATGAAGCCCGTCGAGCTGATTGGATTTTCCGTACTACATGGCTCATATGCACTGTTGTCTTCTCCTGTTATAGACCACGAACCATACGTTACTATACCTCCTACTTTAACATTGACTGCTTTTTGATAGACGACCAGGAAATTGGTATTGAGAGCTGAAACTAAATAGCTTGCTCGTGTGGTGATTCGTAGATAATTAAGAAATGAATTGATTCGACTGGTAAGAATGATTTCGAACAGATCGATGGTCATATCGGCTTCTGAATGAATTTGTGACTGATGAAGAAGATAAAGAGTGACCAACTCATTACTATCGAGATCGTACTGATTTTGTAAGATTGCATATTGAGAGAATGAGCATAAGTCAGACAGAAGTCGAAACTAGATGAGAAAATAGTAAATGTACTCGATATGCTGCAGTGAAGTAGAAACGGATAAAGACTACTCATGTGGTTCATCAAATGGATCGAGTGTTTACCTGTGCACTGGCCGTTGCTCAAAAGTCTGCCACTACGTATCGACTTGCATTGAGAAAGTGCAACGCTTCGATCCATGCATCAGTGAGAAATATACTGCGGCAAACTGGATGAAAGGTGACATTGTAAGAGATAAAATCTCGATAAAGCGTCACAGATCGTGAACATGGACATGAAAGGATGCCGTTATCTTCAAGATACAGCTGATTGAAAATATCGAGGTCCCAGGTCGATCATTCCGGCGACTGGATCCGTCGAAATCTGAGTCGGTTCCGGCAGGTTCCTTGCCGCCGGATTCCGGTCGGAATTGCACAGGAAATATCCGACCAGCTCCTGACCGTTTCCAGCTCGAAGTTTGCAGGAAACCGTCAGGAAATGACTGGAATCTACGTTTGAACTTCCGGCCGGAATCCGGTCGCAAGGAAATGGTCGGAAAACGAACCTAACCGGCCGGAACCGACCGTGCCATAATAACCTGGGTAGATTTCCGTATGATCATAAAGGAAGAAAAAACAAGTGGCCTTCGCACATTTCCGTTTCGTTGTTTATGCATGATTTCTTATCAGCTAGAGAACAGTTTCAAGTGAAATGTATGACGCTGCATTCTACTGAAAAACTCTCTTGTCGATTTGACGTCTTTACATTTTTAGTGTACATATTGTTTAAGGCTCCTCCCTCACCTTCACCGTAAAATGTCAATTTTCGTCAAATTTTTTGATTCTTTTATTTATAGCTTATCGGATAAAGAAAAGTGTCTGCTATCGAACGCACTATAGTTTGCTGGTTTTATGATGAGCTTCCACGGCGAGAAATCGGTTTTTCCGAGAACAATGGTTCCTAAACACTGCTTCTGTTCATCGATCATTCTTCGTATTGCATTAGCGTTATCCACATTAATTTATAACGATGGTTATGATGCTTTAGACATATTGTTTACAAGCATTTTCTCGTCAATAGGATATTATTCTGCTGAATGTTTTAGTTCAATGAGAAACTCTTTTACTTCAAAATTAAAAAACAGGCGTAAGTAAAGAACAACTGCAACTGCAACTACGATAACAACAGCTGCTGCTACTAATAGTTATTCTAGTGAAAGCTATAACGAAACGTTACTCACTCCAAGTCACAAAGATTCTCTTGATATTACCCAAGATTTAGGAGGCCTCGACCTGTCAGATGATGATACCACTGCTGACTATGAACCTGAGGGAGATGGTTAACTTTTCATAACATGTTATTATTTATCTAAGATTTTATATAACAAACTCAAAAAAGTTATCAGCAATACTTTCATATCTTACAGAAACTCGGCGTGTTTTCATATGTTTTAAGTAATTTCAAAACATTATTACTATTTCGAAGTGTTTGGATATTGATATTCATACTGAAGTGAAATAACTTGTGCAAAGATAAAACTGCGATTTCGCTAAACCCATGCTCACCCTCACACTCACCCCTCAACATCTTCGATCACGATCGGACGAACATGCTAGCCGCCATCTATATAAATATTTCTTTCGTTGTACCCATTGTGGATCGGTGAAAATTAATATCGTCTTTTATGCATTTTCCATCACGCTCATTGGTGATTTGAGCAATTGGTGTAGGCGAATCTTTATGTTAAATCAAATTAAGATAATTTACTTTTCTGTCTGTTTGATCTCTAAAGAAATGGTCATGTTAAACACAACGTGATAATAATGAGTGCAATTATTTCATTGGTCAACAGGTATGATGAGTTGTATTCATTGTTCTATTCAGATCACACCGGTCACATAAGGGTCTATCACACCGAAAAAATAATGTTGAATTAAGAAACATGATTGGCCCTTTTACATAGCAAGGCGAATTGTATTGTGGTTAATTCGGGACTAACTTTTCTGGTGTGAAAGGGGTCATACATAGGAATTCGTTTCATTTATTGCCTTTAAAGATGAAATTAATAAAACATTATAATATCAACTTAAACATATAGTTTGCAGCATTTAGTGATTAAACAATATGAAATTAGAAGGTATATCAAATGATCTGTTCTTGTGCATTTGGGATCACTTAACAAAGACAGATGTTATTTATAGTTTTTCCAATCTTAACGCAAGAATTGATTGTATGTTATTCAAATTTTGTGGTCTTTATAAAGAATTAGATTTACGTTATTGTTCATTATCAATCTTTCGTCATTTTTCTCATGAAATAATAATGAAAGATGGATGGCGTTTAAATTTAACTACTTTAAAAATAGGTAATCCATATCGATGTCCTCAAATGACCATATTAGCCGATGAAGTGACAAAGTTCTTTATGAAAAATTCTTTTATAAGAAAAGATAATCAGAACAATAATTCATTAACTTTACTTCGTATGATGAAGTCATTGAAGAAGAAAAATGTGGAATCATTATTTCCTCAATTAAATACTTTGATTGTTTTTCAGAATATAACAATGGATGAAAATTGTCGAGATATATTTCTATATGGTATTGCTTGTGGGTCAAGTTTACGCACATTAAAATGGAGAACTTGTTCCTATCAAACTCACCATTCGAAATCATTTTTTGATTGGTTATTTCAGTGCTCCATTAGTCTACAAAAGTATCATTTCGAAAATACGTTAGGTGAAAGTGGTTTTGAACTTTCTTATCATCATACATTGATTAACAATTATCAATTTCATCAATCACTTCTTGATCTTAGGATCAATATTTTGAATTTATCAACAGTATTTGTATTACTTCATTATCTTCCCAAACTTCAATGGCTTGGTAGGTTTTACACTATTTAAAAGGTTCTTTTGAATTGTCTTTTTTTTTCATTTCTAAAGATGTTCATATTAGCGATCGTATTGAAGCAAAAAATGATCTTGACGAACATTTGCTAACAACTATGAATTATCCGATTGAACTTCATACTGTGAAACTTCGGTAATATTAGGATTTTGGAAATAATTGCTTTTTTTAAAATGTTGTTTTACTCTATTCAAAGGTCATTGGATGTACGTGGACGAGGTTGTTATGTTTTGGAAAATCTTCTGTTAAAATTTCTTCAATCGCTTGAATATTTATCCATATCAATGTATCATCGATGTGAAAATGAACCTGAGCTAAATTATAATGGCTATTCTCTAAGTGTTCTTTGTCGAAAATTGATACATCTTCGATCGTTTCATTTCGCTATTGAAATACAAATGTTCGAAAAAGCTGATGAAGTTATCGTTCATAACTTTACAAAAACGTTTACTACACCTTTCTGGCTCAATGGACCTTTTGGTTGTAAACGAGTGTGCGTGGATTTCGAACACATGTGTGGTCGAATACAAATGTTTTCTCTCCCATATACTTTCAGTGATAAGAATTTAATTCATTCGACCAATCTAATGAATATAGAATTTAATACTGATCTAGAAGAAAATCCCAGATCAGAAAATTTATCTCAAAAACTTGCAACTCTTTGGTTTGGAATGCACCGCTTATTTTTACTATTTGATAAAGATCAAACGTTACCATCATTATTTATCCCAACTTTGCATTGCCCATCGAGTCAAGGTTAATTATTCGAGACTGTTTCTTTCATCTATTATTATTCATTCTTTTGTCATGTAGGTAAAACATTAATATTATCACAAAGGAGAGGAACTATGCCAGAAAATCTAGTAAATCACACTCAATTAACACATTTTAATGCACTCGAATTCTTTTATTCAATTGATACAAATAGTAATAATAATCTTCAAGGTAAATTTATTTTCTTTTTTGTCGATATTTTAACTTCAGACGCATTACCGTTCATGTAGTTCTATACTAATGTCATTGTAAAATTATATCATTATAAAAGTATCGAAGATATTACATAATGAAGGCTTATGTTGCATAAAACAATATGATTTTGATTAAAGTCTGTTGTTGACTGTATCAATCGCCAAACAAGATTTCCACTCACTAAGACATCAACAGATGAATCACTATTTTATTTAGTAGATTAAGAATGAAACGACCTTTTGCTGAAAGATTCGAGAAATTATTACGAACAGTAATAGATTTAAGTCGAAGTTCATATTATTTCACAATTTGAGACTTTCCTAAAGAATCTTCATGTGGATCATGATCTGAAAAAGAGTGTCGAAGTGTATAAGAACAGAAATTTGAAATCCTATACACCCTCAAGAACTGAAAAAAGAAAACAGTTTGGTGCAATGTTTGATAATTGAGAATATTCTTTGATGAAGTACCTTTGAGATTTTAAAATTTTCATGGTGAAACTCCACAGTTGATTGGTATATTGCCGATTTGTTGGACATTTAAATGTGAATGGTTTTCCTTTTTTTTCTACAGAATTAGTCTCTTGGCTTCAAATACTTCCAAATGTTATTTGCTTAGAAATATGTTTGACAGAATTCAAATATTGGCTTACTAATTATACGAATAATCCACATCTTTGTTCTTTTTTTCAACGTCTTCAACGATTACATATTGATTGTTCTTCCTTAATTAATAGACAAATGAATGAAGAAGTTTATCATTTATTTCTTTCATATATCATTGATAAAGATCGTTTTCCACAATTAAAATGTTTACGTTTGAGGTGCTGCAAAGATGTTGGCTCATCATGGGAAAATATCGATCAATGGATTGGCTTTATTCTTACTCATACTGATCAACACCGTTTAACATGCGTACGCTTTGATTTTATTGAAAAGGAAAATGAAACAACTGAAATGAATATATGTAATCAAATAATGTCAATTGTTCAACCATCATCGATTATCGTTGTTCATCAATTTGTATGCGACAATCATATTGCTCTATGGATCGAACGAATACATAGAAATTCCTCGTTAACAAAATAATTCATTCATGCTTAGACTTATTTATACATTAAATATTATTTAAAAAAAGAAATGAGTTTGTTGAACCAACTGTTTAGAATTAAATCTAAATCTGATTCAATTGGATACATTCTCTTCGTATTCCTTGCTAAAAATTAGCAGAAAAATGTCATAACATCTATTTTTTCAATTTGATCAATACAGTAACTAAAATATTTCGACAAGCTGTACCAAGATGTAACAAAGCCATTATACAAACAGTGACCGTCTAATGCTTTAAACAGTCTCTTTTAGGAAAAACTCTACTGTTCTAATAACGATTTTCGTAACTTACAGTTGTACAAAATCTTCATTTACAAACAATTATAGCAGTAGGCGAATGTCAGCAGGAAATAGTCGAATATGTCGCTAACTTCCATCACGTGTCTTCGATTTGATGTCTCTTTCTAGCTTTTTCAACAACTGATTTTAAAAGTATGTCTAAGAATAGAACTGTAGAGAAGTTAACGACGCATCTCTTGCTAAAAGAATCAGGTCGATAGGGCTAAACCAAAAAAAAAACTAGCCGAAATACTGAGATCACCATTTAGTCTGCCGCGCCCGTTATACATGCAGAAGAAGTGATCTTGTTTTGTTTTCGTATATCAGGGATGGTACATACGGCCGTCCCTTGCAAAGCAGAGCGCTCGCTGTGCTCACTTGTGTCATCTAGTGAAATTTCACTTCATTAGGTATACACGTCAAACCAATACGATTTGACTCGTCATTTTCAAATTGAGAAGAACAGAAGTTTCTTTAAAATAATCAACAAAGTCTCAATGTCATCGATTACCATCGAACCAGTATGATTTCTAATAACTAATCAACCTAAATGAGACTTGCCATTTGTAGCATACACCAGCTGTTTTTGTTAAACCTATCTTGTACGGAAACACAGCGAAACATTTCGGTACGAAAAGGGATTCTGATGGGCATACACATAAATGGACGTTGTATGTTCGATCATTCTATCAAGAAGATCTTTCTACGTATATAAGTCGTGTGCAATTTCGTCTACACGAAACATATACGAATAATATTCGTGGTAACGATTTCAATGATACTCGAGTCGCGTTTGTACAATCAGATTAGATTCTTTCGTGTAGTTGTCACTCATGCACCATTTGAAATTGAAGAAAGCGGTTGGGGTGAATTCGAAACACAAATAACTCTCTATTTTGTGGATCCGAATGAAAAACCGGTACGAAAAATGTCTCTTCGTCGAAGAATTTGACTAGTATTCGTCTTTTCTCCTAGGTAATCTTCTATCATCATTTGAAGTTATTCTCAACTGAGCCAGATGTTGTGACCGGAAAAGAAGCGTTAGTGAATGAATTCTACGATGAATTAGTAAAGATCTTCTCATTCGCATGATTCTAAAACGCAAAATCGTCTCTTCTCGTGATTCAAAATAGGTCTTCCATGAACCATCTGAACAGTTAGCTCGTTTGCTTATATGTTCGAAGGCCAATCCATCACCTGTAGACGAAAAAGAATGTAAGCATCAAGAATGGTGTTTGCTATTTCTCATCGTTCATTCTTTAGATGCACTGCAGAAATCCGAAACTTTAGCAAAGATAAAAACTGCTCGACAACGTGTAAAAAATGAGATTCAGGAACTAACGGAACGGCTTCGTATTACTCAAGAGAATATCAAACGAATTCGTCAACGATCTGTTGATCAGATCTGTGTTCCGGGTACATTTATAGGATTACTGAATGAAGCGATAGAGTGATTTGGAAATCGACCATACAGTACAGTTTGTTTTTTATGTACTCGCCATTTTGATTGTATGTTTGTGAATAAAAACAAGGATGAAAAATAACCTTTTACATATGCGTCATTTATGCAGACAGAAATTTACAATTGATTAGTTATGTCTGATATTTACGAATGTTAACAGAAGACTTCGCTAGCAAAAGGGTAAGATATATTCGAACGAAAATATGAAGGTCTGAGTAGAGATTGCGATTCTTTGACTTGAAGATGGTGACTGCGATCAATAGTTTTTCTCTTCATTGGGCAGACATATTGGTCTTAGTCGTGTATTTTGCAATTGTAATCGGATTCGGCGTGTGGGTATGTTTAGTTCTATTGTTAAACGAAACAAAATCATCTCTGAAATTCTAGTCATCATGTAAAAATCGTGGCAGTGTTGGTCGGTAGTCATTCTTGATCATTATCGATTTCGGCAATAGGTATTTCTCTTCGTCTAGAGGGTTATTTTCTCGCCGGACGAAGTATGTCATTCTTACCTGTAAGACATCGATTCGATTAATCACTGTGTAAATATGCAATGAAAGGTTGTAGGTGGGAGCATCTCTGTTTGCCAGTAATATTGGGAGTGGACATTTCATTGGTCTGGCAGGTACGCTTGAAGTTCAATCGTTTGATCTATATTCTTCTGCTGTCGTTAGGTAGTGGAGCTAGTAATGGAATTGGTGTTGCGGGATTCGAATTAAATGTAAGCTGTTGAACATTTCCTATGAGAAAATTTAAGCTTAACGAAGACGATTCATAGGCGAGCTACGTGTTGATAATACTCGGATGGGTTTTCTTACCTGTCTATATCAAAGCTGATGTGAGCCATAGTCGAGGCGTAACCATATGATGAAGTATATTGATAAAAATAGGTCTATACTATGCCCGAATTTCTGAAGAAAAGATTCGGTGGCGATCGAATTCGATTTTATCAAACGATTCTTGCTTTGATACTTTCGATATTTACAAAGATATCTGTTGATCTCTATTCGGGCGCTATTTTTCTTAATCAAGCATTGGGTTGGAATATGTATGTGTCAGTTATTGCTCTAGTAGCACTTGCTGCGCTTTTCACAATTGGCGGTTAGTTAACCAAGTTGTTTAGTTGGGTAGGTATCTCGGAAGGCAAATATTCTCTTCTAGGGGGATTGTCGGCTGTGATTTGGACTGATTTTATTCAAACTATTATCATGGTCATTGCCGCATTTATTCTCATGATTATAAGCTATATTCGAGTTGGGGGTTTACAAAGTATCAAGGACCTTTATCCTTATTCGGTTGCTGATACGACATTATACAACAGTACACTTTGTGGAATGCCACCGGAAGACTATTTCAGTGTGATTCGACCACTTAATTCTGACAATGGTCCGCCTTGGGTGGGCATTTTTGGCATGACTATTTTAAGTATTTGGTATTGGTGCAGGTGAGTTCAACATGCAGGACGATGGATGCGAGGTCTTCAGTTCGACTTGTAGTGATCAAGTGATCGTTCAACGCGCCCTGGCAGCAAAAAATTTAACTCATGCTCGTGCTGGCTGTATCGTTGCGAGCTATTTAAAGTTTCTGCCTCTTTTTCTCATGATTATTCCTGGTATGGTAGCGCGAATACTTTTTCAAGGTAGTCGAACTATCTCTCTTACAAAACTCTACTGTAAAAGAAATAATCAATCTAGATAAAATCGGTTGTTCAAGTCCACAAACATGTAAAGAAATCTGTGGGAATGAAGCATCATGTACAGACATAGCCTATCCATTGATTGTCATTGAACTAATGCCAAATGGTCTACGTGGTTTAATGCTTGCTTGTATGATTGCGGCATTAATGACGTCATTAACATCGATATTTAATTCAAGTTCAACTATTTTTACTATCGATATATGGCAACGCTTCCGAACGAATGCACCACAGTGGGAACTACTTATTGTAGGCAGGTAACGATGATCTAGAAATGGAAAAAAGACGAATGTGAAACTTGGTTGACTGGTGTTTTTTTTATTGAAGAGTTTTTACGTTAATACTTGTTGGAATCTCGATTCTTTGGATTCCGATTATTTCCTTTGCTCAGGGTGGTCGTCTATTCGATTATATTCAGTAAAACGAAAGATTTTGTTTTCTCTGTCTAAAAGCAAACCATTTGTCTTCTTTAGAGCTGTACAGAGTTTTCTTGCTCCGCCTATTTGTGCAATTTATCTACTGGCTATCTTATGGAAACGCGTCAATGAAGAGGTTTGTGGACACAGAATAGGAATACTATGCTATACTTCCATTCTTTATCTTTTAGGGCGCGTTTTGGGGACTGATTTGCGGTTTAATCATCGGTTTAATTCGTTTTATCTGGGAATTTTCGTACACAGTTCCTCCATGTGTACTTTCACACACAGATCAGCGTCCAGAAGCAGTTAAATTCCATTTTCTATACTTTGCTATAGTGCTCTTCGTGTTAACTTGCTTAATAACAATCACCATCAGTCTACTCACTCGACCCATACCAAGTCAATGCGTACGTACAATTTTCTTGTTCCAACGAACCAATACGACTTGACTTTCATAGTTACACGGTCTAAATATATTTGATTTGGACAATCCTGTGAAACCGACCCCAATACCAACCAAACCAGGATGTTGGCATAAAGCTGATACATCATTCGAAGATAAAAATACTCCACCCAGCGTATCTATTCCATCTACTGATGGCCCTGGAAGAAGATTCACTATTTTCTATGCTGGTAACTTTTCTTCTGTTTTCTTTTCAATGATAACGCAATCCTGTTTAAGTGTAGATCCGTCGAATAAGGATGCGAAATACTATTTTAAAATAATGATCTCATGGATCTGTGGCGTTGAGCAGCCCAACGATCAAAACGGTCAAACAACTACCATAACAAGCATACCGCTACTAGCTGCCGAGAATATGTTTTGGAAACGTATTTGTAATTACAACGGTGTTCTCATTCTAGCATTTTGTGCATTTCTTTGGGCTTTTTTCACAGACTATCGCATTAACAAGATGTACAAAGCATCCTAAAGTTTAAAACTGACTAACTTAATAAACGCTTTCCATGACTTGATTCTCCATTCATTCCATCAAAGAACGATAGTTTCTAATACTGTCTCCTATCGAACATGACGTCAACATGATATTGTACATGACAAAATCAGCTAACATGTCTTGATGGTTCTTATAAACATCCGATTGTTAATAGAGAAAAGTAGATACCGATTCTACCCCTAGAAATCATTGTCATAGTCATCCATGCATATAAACATGTACTTTGCTATCGTTAGTTCTGATCGATCGTTCGAAAGCTTTATCAGTCGACGAGAGATCACCATTTACATGTAGCCAGGCCATTTAATAAGAAAGAATGAAGATACTATGATTATAGTCTTTGTTTTCTGTTGCGATATATNCTGAGATCACCATTTAGTCTGCCGCGCCCGTTATACATGCAGAAGAAGTGATCTTGTTTTGTTTTCGTATATCAGGGATGGTACATACGGCCGTCCCTTGCAAAGCAGAGCGCTCGCTGTGCTCACTTGTGTCATCTAGTGAAATTTCACTTCATTAGGTATACACGTCAAACCAATACGATTTGACTCGTCATTTTCAAATTGAGAAGAACAGAAGTTTCATTAAAGTAATCAACAAAGTATCGATGTCATCGATTACCATCGAACCAGTATGATTTCTAATAACAAATCAACCTAAATGAGACTTTTCATTTGTAGCGCACACCAGCTGTCTTTGTTAAACCTATCTTGTACGGAAATACAGCGAAACATTTCGGTACGAAAAGGGATTCTGATGGGCATACACATAAATGGACGTTGTATGTTCGATCATTCTATCAAGAAGATCTTTCTACGTACATAAGTCGTGTACAATTTCGTCTGCACGAAACATATACGAATAATATTCGTGGTAACGATTTCAATGATACTCGAGTCGCGTTTCTACAATCAGATTAGATTCTTTCGTGTAGTTGTCACCCATGCACCATTTGAAATCGAAGAAAGTGGTTGGGGCGAATTCGAAACACAAATAACTCTCTATTTTGTGGATCCGAATGAAAAACCGGTACGAAAAATGCGTCTTCATCAAAGAATTTGACTAGTATTCGTCTTTTCTCCTAGGTAATCTTCTATCATCATTTGAAGTTATTCTCAGCTGAGCCAGATGTTGTGACTGGGAAAGAAGCGTTAGTGAATGAATTCTACGATGAATTGGTAAAGTTCTTCTCATTCGCATGGTTCTAAAACGCAAGATCGTCTCTTCTCGTGATTCAAAATAGGTCTTCCATGAACCATCTGAACAGTTAGCTCGTTTACTTATATGTTCGAAGGCTAATCCATCACCTGCAGACGAAAAAGAATGTAAGCATCAAGAATGGTATTTGTGATTTCTCATCGTTCATTGTTTAGATGCACTGCAGAAATCCGAAACTTTAGCAAAGATAAAAAGTGCTCGACAACGTGTAAGAAATGAGATTCAGGAACTAACGGAACGGTTTCGTATTACTCAAGAGAATATCAAACGAATTCGTCAACGATCTGTTGATCAGATCTGTGCTCCAGGCACATTTATGGGATTACCGAATGAAGCAATAGAGTAATTTGGAAATCGACAATACAATAAAGTTTATTTTTGTTGTACTCGCCGTTTTGATTGTATGTTTGTGAATAAAAACAAGGATGAAGGATAACCTTTTAGATATGCGTAATTTATGTAGACAGAAATTTACAATGGCTTAGTTATGGCTGATATTTGCAAATGTTGCCAGAAGACTTCGCTGGCAAAAGGGTAAGATATATTCGAACGAAAATATGTATGTCTGAGTAGAGATTGCGATTCTTTGACTTGAAGATGGTGACTGCGATCAATAGTTTTTCTCTTCATTGGGCAGATGTATTGGTCTTAGTCGTGTATTTTGCAATTGTAATCGGATTCGGCGTGTGGGTATGTTTAGTTCTATTGTTAAATGAAACAAAATCAACTCTGAAATTCTAGTCGTCGTGTAAAAATCGTGGCAGTGTTGGTCGGTAGTCATTCTTGATCATTATCGATTTCGTCGATAAGTATTTCTCTTTGTCTAGAGGGATATTTTCTCGCCGGACGAAGTATGTCATTCTTACCAGTAAGACATCGGTTCGATTAATCGCTGTGTAAATATGCAATGAAAAATTGTAGGTGGGAGCATCTCTGTTTGCCAGTAATATTGGGAGTGGACATTTCATTGGTCTGGCAGGTACGCTAGAAGTTCAACCGTTTGATCTATATTCTTCTGCTGTCGTTAGGTAGTGGTGCTAGTAATGGGATTGGTGTTGCGGGATTCGAATTAAATGTAAGTTGTTGAACATTTCATATGACAAAATTTAAGCTTAACGAAGACGATTCCTAGGCGAGCTACGTATTGATAATACTCGGATGGGTTTTCTTACCTGTCTACATCAAAGCTGATGTGAGCCATAGTCGAAGCGTAACCATATGATGAAGTATATTGATAAAAATAGGTCTACACTATGCCCGAATTTCTGAAGAAAAGATTCGGTGGCGATCGAATTCGATTTTATCAAACGGTTCTTGCTTTGATACTTTCGATATTTACGAAGATATCCGTTGACCTCTATTCGGGCGCTATTTTTCTTAATCAAGCATTGGGTTGGAATATGTATGTGTCAGTTATTGCTCTTGTAGCACTTGCTGCGCTTTTCACAATTGGCGGTTAGTTAACCAAGTTGTTTAGTTGGGTAGGTATTTCGGAAGACAAATATTCTCTTCTAGGGGGATTGTCGGCTGTGATTTGGACTGATTTTATTCAAACTATTATCATGGTCATTGCCGCATTTATTCTCATGATTATAAGCTATATTCGAGTTGGGGGTTTACAAAGTATCAAGGACCTTTATCCTTATTCGGTTGCTGATACGACATTATACAACAGTACACTTTGTGGAATGCCACCGGAAGACTATTTCAGTGTGATTCGACCACTTAATTCTGACAATGGTCCGCCTTGGGTGGGCATTTTTGGCATGACTATTTTAAGTATTTGGTATTGGTGCAGGTGAGTTCAACATGCAGGACGATGGGTGCGAGGTCTTCAGTTCGACTTGTAGTGATCAAGTGATCGTTCAACGCGCACTGGCTGCAAAAAATTTAACTCATGCTCGTGCTGGCTGTGTCGTTGCGAGCTATTTAAAGTTTCTGCCTCTTTTTCTCATGATTATTCCTGGTATGGTAGCGCGGATACTTTTTCAAGGTAGTCGAACTATCTCTCTTACAAAACTCTACTCTAAAAAAATAATTAATTCAGATAAAATCGGTTGTTCAAGTCCGCAAACATGTAAAGAAATCTGCGGAAATGAAGCATCATGTACAGACATAGCCTATCCATTGATTGTCATTGAACTAATGCCAAATGGTCTACGTGGTTTAATGCTTGCTTGTATGATTGCGGCATTAATGACGTCATTAACATCGATATTTAATTCAAGTTCAACTATCTTCACTATCGATATATGGCAACGCTTCCGAACGAACGCACCACAGTGGGAACTACTTATTGTAGGCAGGTAACGATGATTTAAGAACGGGAAAAAAGACGGACGTGAAACTTAGTTGAATGGTGTTTCTTTTTCATTGAAGAGTTTTTACGCTAATACTTGTTGGAATCTCGATTCTTTGGATTCCGATTATTTCCTTTGCTCAGGGTGGTCGTCTATTCGATTATATTCAGTAAAACGAAAGATTTTGTTTTCTCTGTATAAGAGCAAACCATTTGTCTTCTTTAGAGCTGTACAGAGTTTTCTTGCTCCGCCTATTTGTGCAATTTATCTACTGGCTATCTTATGGAAACGCGTCAATGAAGAGGTTTGTGGGCACAAAATATGAATACTAGGCTATACTTCCATTCTTTATCTTTTAGGGCGCGTTTTGGGGACTAATTTGTGGTTTAATTATCGGTTTAATTCGCTTTATCTGGGAATTTTCTTACGCTGTTCCTCCGTGTGTACTTTCACACACAGATCAGCGTCCAGAAATAGTTAAATTCCATTTTCTATACTTTGCCATAGTGCTTTTCGTCTTAACTTGTTTAATAACAATCACCATCAGTCTACTCACTCGACCCATACCAAATCAATGCGTACGTACAATATTTTAGTTCAAACGAACCAATATGACTTGTCTTTCATAGTTACACGGTCTGAGTATATTTGATTTGGACAATCCTGTAAAACCAACCCCAATACCAACCAAACCAGGATGTTGGCATAAAGCTGATACATCATTCGAAGATAAAAATACTCCGCCCAGTGTGTCTATTCCATCTACTGATAGTCCTGGTAGAAGATTCACTATTTTCTATGCCGGTAACTTTTCTGTTTTTTTCTCAACGACAAAGCAATACTGTTTAAGTATAGATCCATCGAACAAGGACGCGAAATACTATTTCAAAATAATGATTTCATGGATCTGTGGCGTTGAGCAGCCCAATGATCAAGGTAGTCAATCAACTACAGTAACAAGCATGCCGATACTAGCTGCCGAGAATATGTTTTGGAAACGTATTTGTAATTACAACGGTGTTCTCATTTTGGCATTTTGTGCATTTCTGTGGGCTTTTTTCACAGACTATCGCATTAACAAGATGTACAAAACATCCTAAAGTTTAAAACTGACTAACTTAATAAACGCTTTCCATGCCTTGATTGTTCCTGCATTCCATCAAAGAACGATGTTTTTAATATCGTCTCCTACCGAACATGACGTCAACAAGATATTGTACATGACAAAATCAGCTAACGTGTCTTGATGGTTCTTATAAACATCCGATTGTTAATAGAGAAAAGTATATACCGATTCTACCCCTAGAAATCATTGTCATAGTCATCCATGTATATAAACATGCACTTTGCTATCGTTAATTCCGATCGATCGTTCGAAAGCTTTATCAGTCGACGAGAGATCACCATTTACATGTAGCCAGGCCATTTAATAAGAAAGAATGAAGATACTATGATTATAGTCTTTGTTTTCTGTTGCGATATATATAGAGATGATATATCTAAATGTGAACACCTCGAATAGAAGAAAGAAAGACTACGTGATCACGAATAATAAATGTACGGATTCATTTCTTTTCTTCGTTTTCGCAAACAGAATCGTGATCGCGTCTAATAGGAAATTTGTCGTTTAGGAAAATGCTGAAAGGGATAATATTGCTCGTGTTCATTACGACCGCATTAGCCGATTCTGATCCTTACAAAAAAACCATTTGGTGGGACACCGTAAGACGAATTAATCGGCTGTGAAGCCGTATGTTCTGATGTTTTTTTCGCTTTTAGGATGATCTTAACGAGTATAAGGATAAGGGCCACCGTGTCCCATTTCCAGAATGTCTGCTATCTGGTTCCAAACAAAATTATCTCGAATCGTCATCGTTGGGAGATTTATTCAACAAAGCACTCCGTGCTGAAGAAAAAAGCTTAATGAACGAACGTTATGAAAACAAGAAACATAACTATGGTAATTGATTACGATGTCTTGCAAGGATATCCAAAACTATCCTTTTTTTTTTCAAGATGACTTAATGGATTATGATGCGGACGGATCAAGAAAGGACTACGGCAAATCTCGACAAGCTGCTACTGCCGCTGTAAAATTAACACAAGATATCATGACCGTACTTGCTTGTGATTTAAATGGAACAGATGCCAAGAATTTGTAAGTGGCAAATGTTATTATTCGACACTCGCTGAGCCTTCGATCATGTTTAGAGATCATTTTCTTCAAAAATTCAAAATGCCCGAAGAATTCTGTAAATACCATGAAAAACCAAAGTGTGACGATCGGAAGAAATACCGAACACCAACTGGTATCTGTAACAATCTTGAACGGCCTTATGAAGGAAGTTCTCAAACAGCCTACGCACGTATCATCACTGCCGACTACGACGATCGTACGTTTGAGAGCTAACAATTTTTCGTCTTCATATATTCATGAGCTTCTCTCTCCATAGATCTCAGTAAACCTCGTCGAAAAGCATATGGCTATGGCTTATTACCATCATGCCGTCAAGTCAGTTTAGCATTCGGCTCAAAACCAATCTTCAGCCGCGAATACAACAACTTCTTTGCCGTTTTTGGACAATTCATTGGCCATGATATTTCACTTGCTACACCAGCCACTGATACATATTTAACACCAATTTCCTCATGCACATGTGGCTCGAAATACGATTGGAATAAATGTACAGTGATCGATATTAAACCCGATGATCCATATTTACGTGGACAAAAATGTATGGCTTTCCCAGCTACAGCCCAAGCTTTCAAAAATCAAATCTGTTCACTTGGTGTCAAAGAACAAATGAATGGAAATACGCACATTCCTGATTTATCTGTTCTCTACGGTAATACCGTACGTACCGCTGCTATTGTCCGTTCAGATCAAGGTTTATTGAAATCAACACGAACACACTGGTCCAAATTGGAGATGCCACCAGCTCAACGTGAAGGAAAATCTTGCGTTGATGCCACTTACAAACAGCCATGTTTTGCTGGAGGTAAAAAACGTTTTCCTCTCATCTATTTTACTCCTATGAATATTTCGTCTGAAAATAGGTGATTCACGTTTGATGGTTACCCTTGGCTTCACATCCGTTCAAACCATCTTTTTACGTAAACATAATGAATTAGCTCGAGCTTTACACGACTTGAATCCGCATTGGAGCAACGACAAATTGTACGAAGAAGCTAGAAAGATCAACATTGCCTTCTTTCAAGATATCTTATATACAAGATGGTTACCTCTCCTCTTCGGTACTGATGAATTCAAAGAACTCTTTGGTCCAATTGGTGAATCAAGCTATAACGTAAACGTATGTCATACGCATGTAAATTGTAGAAAACATGAACTTCCATGTTCAAAATCTTTAGATCCCACCAGTTGTATTCAATGAAGTTGCAGCAGCTGCTTTCCGTTTACATACATTAGTTCGTGATTTATTCAGTCGATGTACCCCTGATGGTAATCGTATCGATGAATTATGGCTCCATGACATTAGTGCAAAAGCCAAATATGCTTATGAGTAAATATCGCATTGTTGCCTTCATTCCCTTTCGTAAAACTCGTTCTCTTCGTTAGTATGGAAAACAATGGTCTAGATTCGATCATTTGTGGTCTCTTCTATGATTATGGCTTTGCTCACGATGGTAATTTCGCTCATCAAATTCACAATCGCTTATTCGAATCAGTTAACAAATACGGACAATTGTGGCGTAATGATTTAGTTGCTATCAACATCTGCCGCGGTCGAGAACACGGTATTCGCGGTTATAATGCCTACCGAGAATACTGCAAGTTACCAAAAGCATATAACTTCGAAGATTTTGGTGACACAATCAATTATGATGGTATCCAATTCTTAAAGAAGAACTATGGGTTAGTTGAACAAAATACGTTGTCGAGTAGTTTCGAATTCAAATTGCTTATTTTTAGTCATCCAGAAGATGTTGATCTATTTGTTGGCCTCAATTTGGAAGACACATTACCCGGATCTCTCATTGGTCCTGTTTCAGCATGTTTACTTAGCTTGCAATTCAAAGCTCTTCGCGATGGTGATCGATTATTTTACTCGCATCCAGGCGTTTTCACACCAGGTAGGAATTAACTATGGAACGAGCTGATTTTTCGAAGAAAATCTCTTTAGGACAATTACAAACAATTGTAGACTATCCATTCCATTGCTTTATCTGTTCCGTTGTTGACATTGATAAAGTACCACTTAATCCGTTCAAACCACCAAATGACTCTGAGTAAATTACGATGAATTTTATCAATGAATACTTAGCATTTTTCGTTTTTGTTTTAGCAATGTCTTGAAATCATGTAGAGAATGTGCCAATTTCGACTTAAGCGATTGGGCTGAAACACAATCAGCGTAAAAATTCATAACAACGGATTTTCCAGATTAGTCTTTTTAATGTGCGCGCGTGTTTGTTTTGATTCATCGAGTGTGTTTATGCATTGACTAACTTGTTTTATTATTTTATCACAAAAAAAAGAATAAAAACATAAAAAACAGCTTGGAAAATTCGATTCGGAAAGATAAAGTCGATGCGTATGTGATTACCAGATAGTGCTTGAGGTTGATGGAATACTAATGATTCGAAATTTGTGCAAAAATTCGTATAATAACAATGCCGGATGCGTTACCAAATAAATGTGAAGGAGGATGTATTCGATTAGTCCATCATTCATGTCAATACTACTGCTCAAATTAGGCAAATGTACAATCGAAATAGTTAGGTACATTACGTTAATAGCTTTCGAAAAGAAACGAACTATATTACACATGCTTATCGATCATTCTTTGAAACCCTCGAATTCGTATTATAAGTTCACAGTGATATCACATATACATATCTCTCAGATGATGACGATCTAGTTATTTATGTATATATAAGCCTAAACTTTTGTTTTCGAACCAGAATCTTTCTTTTTCTCTTTCTTTCTGTACATGATATCAAGAATACGGATAGCCTAGATAGGGATACAAACGCTTTCCATGTATAAATATGGACGTTTAGATTTCAGTCTTAGCTAGAAATATCTCTGATTTGCTCGAAACACTTTGGTATTATTCTTTACTTTATATTTTAGTATAGATTGTATGATGAGAGTGCTGATAGTTTCCAGTGTGCTCTGTGCTTTTATTTTGACCATTAATGGTCAATTTAACCAAGCACAGCAAATGTCGGGCTTCCAACAAAGTTCGCCTTCTCAAATGCCCAATTCGATGGGAAATGGTCAAAGCAATCAATTCATCCCGCAAAATATCAATAATAATGGCTTCCGAATTCCATACCCTCAATGTCTTTCGACTGATATTGCAGCATCGATGTTGACTCCATCCGCATTACAAAGTTTATTTGAAACTAAACTTCAACAAGAAGAAAGAAAATTAGCAAATGAACGTGCTCGTAATACTGGTTTGAATAACAGTGCGTAGAAAGATGATGACTGAAGGAAAATCAAATAGTTCATTGACTTTCTTCTGTTTCTTAGATGATATCATGGATTTTGATGCTGTACAATTACGGGCAGGTACACATAACGGTGCTTTGGTTGCTCGTGTTGCCACCAAAGTTTCTCAAGAACTCGTTGCTATGTAAGCTAAAACGAAAACTATTTTCACCAATTTTATCCGATCCTCGTTTATTCTAGACTTGGATGTGAAACCAATGCAACAATCACTCAGTATCTGTAAGAAAAAGCATGTACGTACTAGTAGATGATATATTTGCCATTTTAGAGATCATTTCTTGAAACGAATTCATTTACCTGGAAATACTTGTGTATTTGCTGCCAACCCAGATTGCAGTAACTTCATCAACGTTCGAACAATAACCGGTGTATGTAACAATCTGCAACGCCCATACGAAGGCAGCTCACAAACCGCATACGCACGTTTACTACCAGCAGCTTATGATGATGGTACGTTTTCTCAAAATATGGTCACGTTTTTCTATTCGATCATTTACAGGATTAAGCAAACCACGTTCACAATCAGTTCTTGGCGGTCCATTGCCATCATGCCGTCAAATCAGTTTATCCATGGGATCCAAGCCGGTGTTTGATACTAGTTACAACAACTTCTTTGTTGCTTACGGTCAATTCATCATGCACGATATTATCTTGTCTCTACCCGTTACCGACTCTGGTAGTACACCGATTTCATCATGCAGTTGTGAATCACAGGATACAGATATGTGCACTGTTGTCGATGTGGCACCAAACGATCCGTTTATGGCTGGACAACAATGTATGGCAACACCAGCAACAGCTCAAGCTTTCAGTGATCAAGTTTGTTCACTCGGTGTCAAGGAACAAATGAATGGCAATTCACATTATATCGATTTATCTGTAACATACGGTAGCACAAGACTAACAGCTCACGGTTTACGCACTGGCACTAACGGTTTCTTGAAAACAGCCAAACGATCATGGTCGAAATTTGATCTTCCACCCGGTCAACGTGAAGGTAGATCCTGTGTTGATGGAACAGACAGCGAACGTTGTTTTGCTGGTGGTGATTCACGTTTGATGGAAAACCTTATTTTAACTGGTATTCAAGCTCAATGGGTGCGTGCGCATAATATTTTCACAGTTGAACTGGCCAACATCCGTCCAGACTGGAAAAATGATGATTTTCTTCTATACGAAGAAGCTAAAAGAATCTTAGTTGCTGTTCATCAACGCATTACGTATGACGATTGGTTACCAATCTTAATTGGCAAAGAAGCAGCAAATCGCTTTACAGGAGATAATGGCGTAACAAGTCGTTACGATCCATCAGTATGTACAAATTTTGAATTTCTCAAGTTCAAGCTGATCAAATTCTTCTATCTTAGATGCCGGGTGTTGTGTTTAACGAAGCTGCAGCCGCCGCCCTTCGTCTACATACGTTAGTTCGTGATTTATTCACACGTTGCACACCAAAAGGTGAATTGATTGATCAAGTTTGGCTCCGCGACGTGAATGCCAAATGCAAATTAGCTTATGAGTATGAAAGGAAGTTTGACATAGCCATATCTATTGTTTTGACTTTTTTCTAGTGCTGCAAACAATGGCGTTGATTCATTGCTCTGTGGCTCATTATTCGACTATGGTTTTGCTGGCGATACAAACTATGTCCAAGACATTCATCATCGTTTATTTGAATCTGTCAACCGACAGGGTGAAATCCGACGTAACGATATTGTTGCAATCAATATCTGCCGTGCTCGTGAACACGGTATCCCGGGCTACAACGCCTTCCGACAACTCTGCGGTCTTCCGCGTGCAAGCCAATTCCAAGACTTCACAGATACGATGAGTTTCGAAAATGCAGGCAAACTACAAATGATCTACAAGTGTGTTACACGCATTCCTCGCGAATCATTTCAAAAACTGTGTTCATATTTGTTTCTAGACATCCTGAGGATGTTGATCTCTTCATTGGTATCAATCATGAAAACCATGTACCTGGCGGCTTAGTCGGTCCAGTTTCAGCATGTATCATTGGTACACAATTCAGACATCTTAAATATGGCGATCGTCACTTCTACAAACACGAAGGCCAATTTACACCAGGTATATCACCTTGGATTTGTACAAATTCATTGACTGAAACATGTGAAATCTTTCTCTAGCCCAACTTGATGCCATAAACAGATATTCAAATCAATGCTTTTTCTGCCATACAACTGATATTGAAAAAGTCCAAGCAAATCCATTCCAACCACCCAATGATCAAACGTAAGTGACTCTAACACATAGTGCGAATCAGAAAATGTATCTCTCGTGTTTTCTCTCCTTTGTTTTTAGAAATCCATTAGGATTATGCAATCAATGTCCTATTTTTGATTTCAATCCATGGCGTGTTGATTCACGTACTATGGGTTAAAATCGACAAACATTCTTTTTTAACCTTTAGTCATATTAACGTCTGTTTTTTTATGTAGGAAAACAGTTCATTTTGTTTTAGTTCTTTGATTGATCTTTCCATTTATTACTTTGAAAAAAACAATAAAAAAAGCTTATATACATGAAAGACTTGTTTGTCATACTGTGAACAACCATAAACTAGAACTTCTCGCTTCAACACAGTGGATAGAAGTTGAGCTATTGAACATAGACCTTTCGATTTCATCCGAGTGAAGCTATGATCGTTAAACACTACTTTGTCATAAGAAATATTTTTCTCTATCTTCGATAAAACGCGAGCGTCCTCTGTTTCTTCACTTTCCTAATGGTTTACGAACTCAACATATGAATAGAATACAATGAATGAAAACTGCATTACCGTGTTAGAATAGCTCATGTTTATTCCAATTGAATATATATTTTCTTCTTTCTATATATACATATTGTTTTTTTGAATGAAGTTCATCAACTCGATGTATACCAAATATTTCTTTGAATTTTAGACGTATTGATTGATTAATATCATTCAACGATAAGGTCCTAGCGCCTACATCCCAATCCAATCTTCCCCTACTTTTCCCGAGTCAATATCTAGAGAAAATGACATCCTCCGATGATGATTATGGTCAAGTATCGAATAATAATACCGCGAACAACATCAGCAATCGACGTATAAATAGCAATAGTAACAACCCTTACTCAGCTGGATCTAATATCGAGATTCGTTTATTAATGACTTCTCGTGATGCTGGAGCCGTTATTGGTATGTATTTTGCTGGTTTTTCTTTACAAAAGAAAATCGCATTTTCGTCTAGGCAAAAGTGGTGTGGCAATACAAAAACTTCGTGCTGATCATTCGCGTATTATTATCCAAGTACCTGACTGTGCTTCTCCAGAGCGTGTGTTGATATTGAGTGGCGAAGAAGAGCAATGCTTCGATGCATTGTATCAAATCATTCCATGTTTAACTGATAGCGCTCGTCTTTCAGCATTTAATCGTAAACGTCAAACAGCATCGGGAAGTGCTTCTGATCAGATACAATCAAATAGCAATAACGATGAACCGTCAACAGCAGAAATTCGCATACTTGTTCATCAAATCTATTGTGGAGCTATTATTGGTAAAGGTGGACAACATATCAAAGAATTGCGACAAAGTTATAATCTTGATATCAAAGTCTTCTCACAATGCTGTCCAATGAGTCATGAAAGAATCATTTGTTTACATGGAAAGTTAGACGATATTATTGAATGTTTAAAAGTTAGTGTAGAAATGTATGTTACCAGGAAGTTCGTATTTTTCATTATTTTAGAATATTTATAATTTAATATCGACATCGTCTCAACAACCGCGAGGCTCACCTTTAATTCAATATGATCCACATAATTTCGATGTTTATGCTGTGAATGAATACGGTTTGTTTGCATTCTAATTAGTTGTAGTCAAGTACTTGTCATTTGTTGCTCTCCATTCAGGCGGTTTTGCAAACGCAGCTACTGGTGACAATCGATCTGGATATAATTCACGTGGCGCGTATCCGGCAACTACACCACGAGGTGGTATGTATTCTATTCGACCTTTACCTTCTCTTGTTCATGTACCTTATGGCGGTGGATCAGGTTTAGGTGCTCGATTTAGCAACACCGCCGTGCTCACTTCGACACGTGTACGTTAAGTTCTTTCTTTTCGATGAACATGTACATTCGTTGGCATTCATAGGTAACATTGCCGAATGAACTGGTCGGAGCTGTCATTGGTCCTCGTGGTGCGAAAATTCAGCAGATACGTCAAAGTACCAATGCGAATATAATTATCGACGACCAAGCAATTCCTAGTGGTAACGGTGGTGGTGGGGACAGAATCATAACTATCGAAGGAACACCGGAACAGATCAGTCGTGCGCAATCACTTCTTCAACAAGCTGTTCGACAATCTGGCCTTTGGCGACCATAAAATCTGTTATGTTCTCTTCTCAGTCAGTCTGATGACATTATAATCATACACATTCGCATACGTTTTGAATCTGTCTTTTAAAACTCAAATCAGTTTTCTCTCGCTTCATTTTCTTTTTCGCTCACCTTCGTATTACACTTCTTCTTACTCGTTTCTACACCCATTAGAATGTTGCTCGATCAACGTTTTCATCTGTCATCTAAGCTTTTATTCTCCTTCTTACTCATCTCGTCCTCCCATTCTTCTTCGTTTTTTATATAGAATTTCGTTCTGATTTACAATTGTTTCGAAACTGATGGTTGCATATAAACGATATGATAGATCTGCACTTTTAAAGCAAATCCTATGTTTTTCATTCAATCTCATGAATAACACATCAATTCTATTGATAGAAACAGAGCAGCCAAGCTCAGTTGTCTTCTCATTTCACATTTAATTAATTTGCACGCCACACATCGAATACGCCAATATCGATGATAATTTTCGGCCTTGAAACATGAGTAAAAGCAACCTACGCTGTCACTCAGTCATGCATGTTCGATCGAAAAACAAACACATTTACATGACAGTTGTAGTCTGTTGATAATTGTGATATGACAATTCGTCATTCCGCATCTTCATAAGAGACGAATGAAAAAAATAGAAGTAGACAATATCCTCACCACAGTAGCATTGTTCTTCTATTTAATTAAGTAATGCAATATCGATTTGTTTATTTATTACTTTTGCTTGGGATTTGTGTTCATCATACTGTTGAATGGGATCTTTTACTCAATGTCGACGACGATGACAAACTTTTGTGTCATGCGTGTAAAGGTAAAGCATGCGCAGAGACGACAAATGACGATCAAACGAAGGTACTTTGTAATAAAAGAACACAACTTTGTTGGGTAAAAGACAAACACCATTAGCAAAATAGTCAATGAATCTATCTAATTCTTTTACTATTCCACTAGGCTGGTTATGTGGATGAACAACCGTATCGCACATGTGCTAGCCGATATTGTACACCAAGTGACTTTTCACTTGATAGCGACGTCCGCATTGAACTATGTTGTCGCACAAATTTATGTAATTCAATTTCTCGTAAGTAGAAACAATCATCCGAAAATACTAGTCAACTTTTCTTACTAAGGTATTCTTTAGTGTCTAAATCAATGTTTAATATACCATTATATTCAAGAATGGTCCTGCCTTCTATTACCGAGAGTTCGAAGACTACTACGACTGCTACTACTGAATCGATCACCACACTAACTACGACAACTAACCAAATGAATGCGACAAAAGCAGCACCAGATTATTTTATCGGTGAGGAGAGAGCCGTAGAAGAAGACGACGACGACGACGAACTGGTACCTGCCTTGGATGTCAGTGATTTGAACAGTCACGAAGAAATCAATCGGCAGTTGCCTTCATTATCGGCGAATAAAAAAATTACATGGGAGTATTTACCACAGGATAAGAACTACAACAATGGCGTGGCATCAATCAGTAATCTCGTGCTTTTTCTAATTCCACTCCTATTCGTTTTACTTTTCTAATCGAAACCTTTGTTTAAGAATGTCTTCTATTCAATATTATCTTCAAACTCTTCATTGTCATCCGGTGACAATAGTATCGATGATTTGAACAGTGCATTTTCTTCCTCCACTGTTGGATCATCTTTTTCGATCAAGTCGAACTTGTATTCATTTTGAGGAAATATATTGATCATACTGGCTTGCGAACATTCATTGAAATTTTTCAAACCCCAGCCAATGTAAATATTTTCAAACCGATGACGATCGCCAACAGTGAAAGCACCTACGAAAAAAAGATTTTATCTCGCAAACAATTTCGATATTTTGTTTTGTTTAAAAACCACCGATAGAGTTTGTTCGCTTATGATATGACTGATGATGAAAAGAATTGAGTACAAACGAACCTGGCCAACGATTAGATCGAACAAATGCTTTTGCATAAGTGGGCACACAGGTTGAGGTGATACCAATTGACCATGCGGAGTGACATTCGTCAATAGCAATATCGTCATTTAATGAAGAAAATGAATGGACATGTGTTTTAGGTTTGGCATTGCCATCTAGTTCTGCAGATAGGAAATAACCCACTTATCAGAAGTACTTTCGAGAAACTTACGCGAATAATAAATATGTCGGCCCTGCTCGTACAAATAGGGAACACCTATCAAACTTCAGTTTAGTAGAATCAATCATGAATTGTTTGGCTTTTCTTACAGTGAACCCAATATTCACCACTGCTCAGCGCAAGATTTTCAATTGTATGTCCTTTGAAATCATCGTTGATTTTGAATTTTATATTCTGTACTGAAATTCGAAAGAAATCAACAATACTGCCGGCTATCAGTCCTGATAATTTCTACAACCATTGCTATCTTCACTCGACGATTCTTCTTCTTCTTCTTCGCTCTCGTCACGAATTGACACTCGAAAATAATCCTTTGGCGCTATCTATACACAAACTATTCACCAGATGAACGCGAAGAATAAACTTACTTGTGTACCCGCACTGACTCGTTGTATCTGTGCTCGTAATAGATGCTTCTCAACACCTGGAAAACCCGAGGGCGACAGTACCGCTGCTTCGAGATCACCAGTGAAAAATCGTTGAATCTGACGAGATAGCTCAATCTGTTCAGGTGTGACCAGTGGTAATTGTACAAATGGTTGATCGACTACAATCGATCTTTTTAGTTCTTTCAAGGAACTACATGGAGGAAACTGGTTTTACTTCCTGTTGAAACATAGATGATTTTTTCATTGACACCCTCACCCGCAAGTTCCGGTGGTATTTTCTTATTGGTAGTCATATTCGTTTCTTCTTCAGCAGAGAACATACTTTGATATGTAATAAATTCTGAATCGTTAGAGTCAATCTCATCAAACGAATGAAAATCCGCTTCGACGATATAATAGTCATTCCGCATGCCGAAAATTTTACCCCAAAAACGTAACTTTTGAATGTTTGGATTCTCAATCGCTAGCATTTTCATCGAAACCCATATCCTTTCGAACAAAAGCACTTGTTCAGTCACATTGATATGATAGAAATTGCTTTGCCTACCAATAGATTTCTCTTTCCATATTCAAACCAACACCAATGATCTTGAAGAAGTTATCGATTTCTAACATATTTCTCAGAATTTCCTCCGTATTGTTTTCTACGATCAATGGATTCTAGAAAAGAGATACTAATAAAATTAGACAGTATCATCAATATCACAAATACAGATAGAATAGCCAATTGTTTTTTAACATCCAAGAATGACTCTGTTTCGTCTGTCATGTTAGTTCTATAAAGCTCTTCGACGAGTTTATAAGGTCGATTTGGACGATATAACAAATGATGACGAAGTATTCGCACTACTTGATCATAGATATCGTTATTCAGTAATGTTTTATCACTCCGATGGCTTATGAGTGTATTTGATCGATTGCTTATTTCTATTCATAATATACACAAGTGTTTGTCAGTCGATTATACTTAGCTTACCCAGCTGAATATAAAGTTCTGGATGCCAAACAACTTGAAATGTAAATGAAAATGTTTTATCTGTCAGAATTGAATGAACATTTTCTTGAGTCTTCCGTAACGTTTCTTCCCCATTGAGAATCACTAATCGATCGCCATCGCGAACTTTCATTCGATGCCAAACTCCATTTGGGCTAGTGTTTTTGAAAAAGTAAACGAAAACTGTATCATTCTCTTGCAACAACCGAATTTCGTAGCACAACAACGTTACATCCGCATCCTGCGAAGGATCTAATCACGAAAAAAGAAGTATAGAACATATTTTCAAGGATGCTTATGAAATACATTCACTCGGATCGATCATTATTTCTCGGTAATTCTCTGTCGATATTGATGAAATCGAAGTCTTATTAGTCAACGATAAGCTCACATCTAAACGAATTCAATAAAGTAGACACATTATCGATATCATCGTCATACTTTGAAACTTCATCGTTGATAGCAGAATAAAGAATGCGCCTAGATTAATTAAACGATTGTTCTCGTGGTATTTGAACAGACTCGATGTTTGATTAAATGTACAAATTGATTAGATGCAGTGATATTATGCTTTATTATTACTGAAAACGTAGCAAACAGAAGAAAACGAATAACGACATCTAATACATAGGTAGAGACGTATAAAAATACCAAAAGAAAAGCCAACAATTTGTCAAAAGACTAAAATTCCAAAGCAAAAACGAGTCTATGTTTCATCTTTATCTTCTATTTGCACCGTTGATTAGTTCATTAACTTGTTATATTCATATGCGCTATGATAACACAAGCAGCATCGCTACGACCGATTTGATTAAGAACATTAATCATATTTACAAATGATTCTTGACGAGCATCCCATAAGGTGAGCAAGTGTTCTGTTGGACTGGTTTTTGTTGCAAAGTATTGAAGATAACTACACGAGAAGCTATATTCCGAGAATGGAAAATCGTTGCAAGATGTCTGTACCTGATGCCGAGTAGATTACTTGCAAACATTCGCCAATCGTTTCCTAATGTAGTTGGTGGATCGAGTATTTGACATAGTTTCTGTCGAATTACTGTTGGCAATCTGTAAGGAAGCGCTTTTGCATGGAAATGTTACAAGAGAAATCATACCTTGACGGTTTTTCTGATGTTTGAGGAAAATGGTGCGGACGCATCGATGTTGCATCCCATCCAGATGTATATTGTAACTAAAAGAAGACTGTGTAAGATTGATCTCTCAATTCACTGAACTTACATTATGTGTATTGATGAGCAGACGTGTATGCAAAGCACTTGTGAATATATTTGGTTGGTACACATCAACATGTATGGTAAATTGTTCCATACAATTCTTATCGGGATCCGCTTGGTTTGGTTGTAAGTTCGGAATAAGGAAAATGAAACAAGATCGTTCGATTCGATTTGTCCAGAATGATGCAAATGGAATTTCTTTGTAGCCGATGTTAATTCTTGACATTGTCGATAATTCTAAGTCAACATTCATGCATATCTGATCTTGATTATCATGTATAATAAATTGTTTTGGTTGATCACATAAGAAACTCTTCATTGCCGTCTCTTCGTTTAAACAATGCTCAAATGCATCCGAAGTTTTATCGAAAAATCGAAGACGTAATGCAGATTGACCATAGAAACAAGCCATCTGAATGTATTTCGATGCTTGCTGATTTAATATCGATTCGCCAATCAATGCATATGCACCTATGTTCTCAAACTAAAATTCAATTCAAAATATACTCAAAAGAAAACATGGAAAAGCTTTTCTCTCACTAAGATAAACGCTTGTTGGTCATGAGCGAATTGCAGGTGCACTGGTGTCGAGATGTTCTCTTGTCCATAAGTTAAAATACATCTCCAATGTTTCGAATCATCACAAAACATTAGATTATATTTCCATGCTGTGTCTAAAACTGCTGTATGTTCGAACGAGAGAACAGCTGGTTTAACTAAAGTTATGTCCGACGGACCGATTAATATAACAGGTGATAAACGCGTTTGATTTGTCGTCAGCGTGGGCATTTGATTTTCTGCTGTAAGTAAAGCAACGTAAATCAAATGATCTTCATCGAGAAGAACGGCATCTTCAGGTATGGTCAGTTTGATACCCGTATGAGGAATTTTCAATTGACAGCCTGTATTGTTCAAAATCGAGACAGCAAAATACCGTAGATCGGTATGTGCCGGTAAAGTTTGCAGAATCTTCTCGTAGACAAAATTTAAGTGATTTTGATTGGAAAAATTCGATGGTGAATCATTGAAGAAATGAAATCTTTCACGTTCAACACCAACATCAGAATTCGTCAATGAAATTGTATTGTTGTGCGATGCGCAAGACCGTGTTGAATTCGTGTCTTGTTGAATCGAATAATAGAACGGGTAATCATTCTTTTCTATGTGACATCCACCACAGGTATTTGCTGTTGGAATACAGTTTGATCGAGCTAATTAGAAATGAAAAAGAAGAAATCATTAAGATTGTCATCTCAAATGTTGCTGTTCATGTTTTGACGCGTGACTTGCCAGAACATTCTATGTGTTTGCTCACAGTATTGAATATTTTATAAAACAAAAACGTGTTCATTTATTAAGCAAATTAATACACATGGTGCATTTGATAAGCGTTTCTCCCTCACTTTCTCTTTTTTAATTCATTAATCAATCAAGTGTCCGGCTGTTGCTGTTCACTAACACACACAGACACATACTACAATTATCTCAGTGGTATTCTTTTTCTGTTCACATCGATTGCTATCTGTCGATTTGATTTCGATTTCATTGCAAGAGGAAAAGAAAAATTTCTCTCTCAGCTGTTGCCATGTTCGACAAAACGATTGGGAAACAAACCAACGTCCACAAATGTCACTCGGTTCAGTCTAGACTCCATTGAAAAAAAGAATGTTCTCTGATCTCGAAGGATGACATAATCAGACGGTGGTTTCGTTTCGTTTACCTTTTTTTGTTGGTAGGCGTTGTCGACGACGGCAACATATTATAACAAATAATATCGCAAGCAAAAGAAATATGAGCACACCGATACCAGCCGATGAATAAACAACAGCATTGAGAGTCGATGACGAAACGAAAGTACCTGACAAAACATGATGATTACTCAACAAGAATAGCGGAACTAATCCTTTTACTCGAACAAAAATTTTCTTTGCATGAACGAGTTTCGATTAAATAATCACGACATGGCTCTTGTAAACACTGACGTGTACGACTGGATCTACATTCCGGAAGACGACATGTTGACCAATTTGTCCAATCGGAATAAATACCTTGAAAATACATTACGAAAAATATGCGTGTTTTGAACGATCGCGCATGTTTTACCATTCGATGTGTTGGAATTTGTACAAGGTACAGAACAGTCTCGCTCTTCAATTTCTTCAGTATTGCATGGTGTTTGTTTGGAACAGAGTCGAACACGTTTTTGTTTACCTATCTGACATGGACTGCCCACACAAGTTGACCATTCAGAAATGGGAACATCTTGAACTTAAACACATAAAATTCTATCGCAGTCCTTCAATTTGAAACCTCACCTTTCGGTGAATCTTGTAGACAAGGTACAGGACATTCTCGTTCTTGCATATGTTCGCCATCACAACTAGGTCGGTTTGTGACCGTCGGCGGATTCAAACATGTTCGTACACGACGTTGACGACCAGTACTACACGGTATACCTTTGCATTCTGAGAACGGTTGCCAGTCTGACCAACCGCGATTATCTAGAAGATGAAAGTGTGTATTGATTCGAATGAAATATGTTTCATACCATGAACAATTAATTCGGCAGGCTCGCTTGAATAACTTCCAGCAATATTCGATGCAACACATGTATAATTTCCTGCGTCGATCTTTCTGACTTGTGCGATAAGTAAAGAATTCTCGTTCGAAAGAATAAACCGACCATTACGATTGATTTCAACCGGTCGATTATCTTTCAACCAGGTTACCTAAAATAAAGAAGAGATATTGACGAATTCAGCTATAAGGGATGAAAAGCTCCGCCTATTGATTATTATTCTCTGCGTGCAATACTGAGAAACGTCACGACAGATTTTTTACCACCCCTTGGAGACATCAAGTATCAGTTGAATAATCGATCAAGTATGCCAAAAAATGGACGGAGATGTGTGTATATCGGAATCATTTTTTTCCGTGTATGTGTCCTATTAACCTCCATATGTCTTTTCGAAGAACGATAATGATCTATTTATTTGCTGGTATAAGGTCGAAGAATAGTGATTTTTTTCCTTCTCTCATCCGAGATTATATAATCTTGTCTTACTTTCGGATATGGATTGCCACTTGGTGGACGGCAACGTAGTTCAACTGATTTACCGATCACGCTATCAGTTTTTAATGGTTCCCATTCAAAAATTTTATCCAAATCTAAAGATGATCAAATATTTATGCAGAAATGTCAACTAACGAACATGTGTTCAATAAGCGGTCATTTCATTTCGATTGATGATCTGACATCTGAGAGAATGACTTCAGTCAACTATTAATGGGTTCTCTTACTTTATTATTCTCTTTGTTATACATGTATGTTCAGGTCTTATTATTCTTTCGTTTGAGTGTCAATCTCGCTTGAGAGAAACATTTTCAATGATATGAATCTCTTTGTCAATTTTTAATCGTCAAGGCTAACTTATTGATCATTAGATAATTTCGTCTTTTTAATGTGCGCATACATATGCAAAGATAACCTTCGCTGAGAAATTAGAACATACTCGACGTTTTTCTCTGTTTGATCCGATTAATGGATAAGTTTTCTTTAACAACTGTTAGTTGAATGTTAAAAAAAATGTCAATTCATTTACTACCTTGAATAGTCCTCATTTAGCGACACGCTATCATATCCAATCTTTCAACTACTAATCGGCATCTTCTCATTTAAATAAAAATGTTTATATATACATACAAGCGATTTCAATCGTTGCCGTTCGAGATTTCAACGTTCCACCTGTTGCCGACCATGCTTGACAAAAACATTTGTATGCATTCGATTCGACTTGTTCAACTGTCAATTGTATTTTGGTGATAATCACATTGACGCCTCTGTCCTAAAATAGTTCGTTCATTCACGAATTGAGATGAGAAAAAACATAGCGCATCACTTACATTGATTTCAGTCGATTTGATATGTTCATTCTCTGGCACCCATTTATTATCACAATTGAAGAATATCTGTCGCGTTCGAATAGCTTTACATTCAAGCTGGATGGGTTGATTTTCAAAAATGTATAAGGATTTGGGCTCAAGTAGAAACTGTGGTTGTTCTATCAATGGTTGCATCTCATCTAAAACAACTCTTGAGACAGACACTGCCGTTTAGATGTGTGCGTATGCGTGTGTATATGTATGCTCATATTCATTCTCTTTCTCTTTTCAAGACAGAAGAGAAAGAGCAAGGGAGAAAGAGAGAGAGAGAGGAAGAGAAGGAGCGAATAAGAAAAAAAGAAGTACAATTATGGGCCTTATTCCGTCTCTGGTGATACTCTATGTAATATTTAATTTTCAAGTAGTTCTCAAATGTATATGTATACCTTTACCTGTTCAATCGATACGTGATGCACACGACGTAAGATACTCGTGATCGATCATTGTCAAAAACAGATGATCATCAACTGTGTACGTGTCTGCTATTTGAGATGAACATAAGCAAAAGTGAATAATTAACTTTAAGCTAAAGATATTAAGCAGATATGTCATGCCAGTTGTGTTTACACGCTTGCGTGATTTACCGACAACTTGATGATCGATCTCTATCAGTGATAACTTCAAGAAATACAAATTTTCTAAGATAACCATATCTTGATTAAAGAAAAAAGACGTTCGAAACGAAATTTCCTTCAATCCTATTATTGACAAGAGAAGCCCTTTAATAATAATAACAAAACTATTACATAGTCAAGCATGAGAATTGCGAAGCAGAATATGTATATATATATATATACAAGTATATATTGCTTCCTTTCTTCAAGGTCGTTTTGGATCATCACACATACTCGCTTTCTTCTTCTGCTGCTGCTGGTGGTTATTCTAAGGATTCACTTCTTTTTTTCTCAAATCATCTACACCAATGATCGTCAATCATTACATACACGCAACACTATAATCAACATATACAAGGGCACATGAACAATTAACATCGAGATCGATGAACTCGCTTATTAGAATAATGGAGTGCGTCGATGAATGAACTAACATTATGTTTTTCCGTTATGTTATCATCATGTTCTCTTTTCTTTCAAACCAAACAACATTCGACACTCTCGTATCGTAAATATAAAGTGAAACATACACATATGATTTCATTGCTTACTCGTGTGAATTACGTTGCGACGCTTGAATCACTAGTACCCTGCATATATATGTTCATAGAAGTGTTAATCAAATAGTCTCCATCTTTCACCTGCCTTATAGAAGAGATGAAATTTCTTTCTTCTTCTTCTCGACGTGCTTCTTTTTCATAATTTTGTATGGCACGCGTGTCAATCAAATAAAAGTTTTAAACACGCAAGAGCAATGCCAGGTCGATCCTATCTGAAAAGAGAATGTGCTCATCGAACACGATCATCTCTCATGTACCATTTAAATAAATATCCCAGCTACGATTACATCTCATTCTTATACATATCCACAGAAGAAAAAGAAGAGTCGATTCATACAAAATAGATTAGTACAGACAGACAAATTGACGTAATAGAGGACAGTTAAGTGACATGTCTCTTCTTTTTATTTAGAGAGAAAGAAAAAACAGAAGATGAATTCTACATATGACCATTGCATCGCTAGTGGCAATGTCCAAAAAAATAATAAATACACGGATGTAAATCGTCCACTGCTCTTCCTTTTTTCCTCTTCTGTTTGCGTAACACTAATAATCATCGAAACAACAACTGATGCAAAAGAGGATATTAAATATTAAAGAATAATTGATCAGTAGGTGGTGAATTCTAGCGTTAATTTATCTCTTTCATCAGCACAGTTGCATCATTCACCTGTTTCATAAACGTACAAGATATCAGACAATGATATGAGAAGTTGTTCAGCTGTCGAGTGTACATCTAGTGAAATAAGATTATGTTCTTTACCACTTGACTTCACTAGAGAGACAAAACATACGGCACAGTTAATGTTATGCACATTTACGAATGAGGAACTAAGATTATATTGTCTAATTAAATAAAGAGAGAATGAGACTGACATACCACATACATACGAAACAGCCGTTTGCTTCGTACACAATCCAATTAGTTAACTGAGAGCGAGAGAGAATGATGATTGTACGACTAGTTTGAGCAAGTTTCTGTTTTTTTTCTTAAAGGAAAATAAACCGATGGAAGATCTAAGCGTTTGAATATTTATGTTCGATTTTGTGGAGACGTAACTCCCGTCGAGACGAGTTGATATGCACAACAACAAATTATCGTCATTAGCCGGATTCTTTATGCTAAAACTATAAGTAGCTTAGATGTAAACGTGATTCGGAATTGTTATTTCTATCCGAGAAGAGTAATGAATCAGTGAACATTTGCCGAAATGTTTATGTAAGAAAACATTCATTTATACATCAAGTCAAGAGATTAGTTATATACACATCGAAAGAATGCATCTAAATCAGAAACACATTATTACATCGCTTGATATATCCGCAATGATTGATGAATTAGTCGAAGTCGAGCAGGTGATGAGACTTACAGTTCTACATACATATATATATCCAGGGAATTACAGTGTATTAAAAGAAACCTTCGCTGATGATTTTCTTCAACTGAAATCTCCTGATAGAAAATGTAATTTCATATCAGGATATTATTTACAAGGCCATCCGATGATCTGTTCTTTATTTATTTATTTCTTGGTGACAGACAAAAGATCTTCTTTTCAATACAGTTAATTGTTTGACAAACAATTGACAATAATTTCCCAGAGCGAGTAGTTAGGTTCGGTGGCAACAACGATGAACCAGGTGTGAAACTAATCAGACGAATAGATAAGACTTTCATCAAGGCCGCCGTGGAATTTCAGGGAAGAAAAAGCCGCTCATACTGATGAGATAATTTCTCTCATTAGGGTTACATTTACATTACGTCAAAATGAAAGGAAATCAACTCATACTCTGTTCGTCTATTGATCAAACTAAATAGAATGTCGTCAAAGCGGAAGACATACTCTAATTACTATGCAATAGCATCATTGTTGAACAATAGAAAGTCTAAGGCTGCGAACGGATGTGAAGCAATGGAATTCGATTATTGCATCGGTCAATTTTGTTTTTTCTCTCTAATTTTCATACACAAATGGACAATGATGTCAATACTCATTATCTTATTCGCGAAGAAAAGAATCTTCTTCAACGTACGCGAAATTTTTCGAGTGCACTATGTAAATTTTGCCATTCTTATCCATATCTCATCACATGATAAAATGAGTCAACAGAGAAAGGTGTGTTTGTAATATAAAAGCATTGCAGCGAACGGAAAGACATTTTGTTTATTTCGCATTTCAGGAGAAGAAAAGTAAGATTAATTTTAAGATAAAATTTTGGGTTATAGTACCCAATCCATCGTCCTAGATTTTCGAATTCTGTGTATATATACGTCGAATGTAGGTGTCAGTATTTTTCAGTTGTAGTCATACCTTGTAGAACCGATATTGCCATATTGCGACTGAGTTCAAATAACCAAATATTTTCCTATGAACAGTTTAGAAAAATTTTCATTATCTCGAGCACATATGCTCGGTTAATTTAATCGATAATTTCTGTTTCTTTCGATTTGTACCTAATGTATTAGTACATATTCCGAAGGGGGATAAATGGACTAACCAATCGCGTATATTTCATCTTACTTAAACTGCGTCATTTTACACCCGTTTGTACTTTCTGTTTGTTTCTAGAGAGAATCGTATATTCGAATTGCACTTAGCAGCAATGGTAAGTCGCTCTGTTGTTTTCTCGACACCTTTTCGAACGTGTTTATTGTTTAGACTATTGGAAAAAGTATTCAAGCATTTGATCATATTACCTTATGGGTTGGTAATGCTTTACAAGTAAGGAGGTGTGTTTGAAGAGCAAAGAAAGTCGAACTGTGTCCTTCTAGGCTTCATCATGGTTTTGTTTACGATTTGGATTTGAGCCTTACGCATATCGCGGCCTTGAAACAGGTTCGCGCGAAGTTGTCTCGCATGTTGTCAAACAGAATAAAGTGATTTTCGTTTTTCAATCGCCGTTATTACCTGATAATCAGGAATATGGCGAACATCTTGTTCGACATGGTGATGGAGTCAAGGATGTCGCATTTTCGGTGAATAACATCGAACATATTGTCGAACAAGCCAAAGCAAAAGGTGGCAAAATTGTTAAGGATATCTGGACAGAAACCGATGAACATGGTTCGGTGAAAATGGCTTGCGTTCAAACAGTAAGATGAACTTTTTTCATTCAAAGATAAAGGAACGCACAAAATTTCTTTTTTTTCTCTGTGCAGTATGGTGATACAACGCACACATTGGTAGAACGTGGAGATTATGCTGGTTTATTCTTACCGAACTATCATCCGCATCCATTGAAAAACAAAGATGCTCTATTGGAAAAATTGTAAGAATACTCGCGAGGATGAGTGAACGTAGGATTTCATTGATTGCTTTAGGCCGGAAGTCAAATTGGACTTTATTGACCATATTGTTGGCAACATGCCGGACAATGAAATGGAAAATACAACAAAATGGTAAGTCAATTTCCTGAGAAGTTTTCATTTGGAAAATACTGTACGAGAAATTCTAGGTACGAAAATACTCTTCAATTCCATCGTTTCTGGTCCGTTGATGACAGTGTCATTCACACACAATATTCATCGCTTCGTTCCATTGTCGTTTCGAATGAACAAGAAACGATTAAGATGCCAATCAATGAACCAGCTTCTGGCTCGAAAAAATCACAAATTCAGGTAAAAAGTCATTCAGCTAAATCTATGCTCGACTATGTTTCTTTTACCAGGAATATGTCGATTACTATGGATCATCAGGCGTTCAACATATTGCATTGAATACGTCAGATATTCTAACAAGTGTAATTTCGTCTTATTTCTTAGCCAACCTATACTGAAAATGCGAACCTTTAACCTTTTAGGTCACTAGACTTCGCGAACGCGGTACACAATTTCTCGAAGTTCCTTCCGCCTACTACACGGATCTAAGAGAACGACTCAAACATTCCAAAGTACAAATAGTCGAAGATCTATCCGTTGTAAATAGTTCATAAACTCCTTTGCCTCAAAATTTCACTCTTCTCTACCATAGATTGAAAAATTACATATCTTGATCGATTACGATGATAATGGTTATCTGTTACAAATCTTTACCAAGCCTGTTCAGGATCGTCCAACGCTATTTTTCGAAATCATCCAACGTCGAAATCACAGCGTAAGTCCAATCGTCTTTATTCATATGGGAAATGAGCTAAGTCGTATTTTTTCTTCTAGGGTTTCGGTATTGGCAACTTCAAGGCACTCTTCGAAGCTATCGAACGTGACCAAGCAGCACGTGGAAATCTTTAAAAACATTGTTTATCCCTCTCTGTTTTTTTAATACAACTTTTCCCTTCCGTAATCATTTACATCGCGCATGATTTTTTGCATGAAATCTAATATTCTCGTTAGACTCCACATATTCTCATGATTACATTCCAAAACAAGCATTCAGATGTTCTAGGCGTTTTAACTACTCTTCTATCTTCTGCACGAGGGTTATTTGAGTCCAAACAGGCACTTTCTCTCGCGCACGTGCTACTTAGCATGACTTGTTGTTGCGAACGCATATCACATCTTTTCTCAAGAATGAAGTTTGGTAAAGTGAATGTTATTTTGTTTTATTAGCGATTACAAAAAAAAAGAAGTACATAACTCAATACACTTCAAGACATGACGATTGATAACAACATCAACATAGATATGCGAGATTAATTGATTAGTTTTGGAGAAGATCTATCGTCGCAATTCACATACGAGCGAAAAGAAAGGCAGCAATAACCATGAAGATTGTGCTAAGTGCCATCTTTGGTGTAACAGCCGAGTTACATAGGTTACTTTCGCAGCAAACGTTAGCAAGATTTGAAGCAACATCAGCCTACGATAAAACGAATGTTCGATTTGCTTTCAACGGTTCATGAAATAGCACTTACTTGGAAGTTGCATCGATCTTTGCCGCAACCACGGCTAACACCAGCAACAGCTGCAAGTTTGTAGCATTTAGTTTCATCAGCATTACATTGTTTGATTGTGTTGCTAAGCTGTGGACAGTTTGTTGAGCAAACATCATGTGAGTAGCATTGAAGAGCTAGAAAACATGACTTTGTAAAGAATGTTCACTCGTTCATGCGAATCATCTCACCTTCGTTGATGGCAAAACAGCCAAGAAGAACAATAGCGACGATGATGAATGATTTCATATTGAAAATTTGCTTGTGTTAACTGATAGGAAAAGGCGTCGATGTTTATACTGAAACGATGGGTGTGTATCTCTTTATATATGTATTCGAATCGGGCCGAAGAGAAAATGTAGAAGAGAGAATGATAGAGAAAAGCTCTCTCTTTCTGATGTTTTTCGAGAGGGCATACAGTCGAAAAAATAGAAGTGTCTACTGAATTGTCCGGCGAACGAAGAACAGAAAGTTGAGAGGATGCTGAAGGATAATGTGCATTTGTATAGTTAAACGAGAGGAAGAAGAGAGAAGAACGACTATAAAAAAAAAGTTCATCGAATGATCATGTGAATAATGATGAGAGACACACTTCTATTCAGTCTGAAAAGAACCAGTAATCAAACCCCCACACAGGTACACACACTAGATTGCCGTCTAATCTGCCTAACAACAAATTGTGTAGCTAGACAAATATTCATTTCTTTATCAAACAATACGCTTCTATACAAAAGAGAAGTTTAGTGTTTGTTTATTTTCATTTTATTTTAACAATCGTTTTTCGAAGCTACAGAATAATGGTGAAAAAAAAAGAACGCTTTTTGTTTTGTTTATTATTAATCATTATCTACATCACCCATTTGTAAATGAAGACAATGATACTGCCGAGCATACTTGCCATGGCTGTTGTTTTCATTTCAACTGCCGAATTACAAAGATTACCAGAACAGCAAACGCTGGCAGTGCCCATGACGCCTGTATCAAGTTGAACCATACATCGCGTATCTCCTAAAGTAGACAAAATCTATATGAAAGTGACGAGATTTTCGCAGAACTTACCGCAACCACGTTTTGTTCCTAATGGTGAGCTGAGTTTCTTTAAAATCGAAATTACAAATATAAATTAAGCAATGAAAATCTATTTGTATCGTACCCAACATTTACTATCACTTGATGCACATTGCACAATGCTTGACGATAATGTTGGACATCCACCTAGGCAATAATCATGTTGATAGCATTGCAAACCTAGAAAATGAAGAGCAAATAAATATATCGATCGATGTCAGACGCCAATTTACTTTGTCCGAAATCGACACAAAGAACTGCGACAAGAAGTACAGCAATAATAAATTTTGCATTCATAGCGATGATCTGAAACGAAGATAAGAATACAGGCATTACATGTCAGTGTTGTGAAAGCGAATATTTCTTCAAATGAAATGAATAGAAGCGGAGAACAAAACGTACACGTACACATTCGGCTGAAATGTCAGCATTGGAGCAAATGAAAGAAAGAGAGAAGAAGATGCGAAGAATAAATCTTTATTTCATACAGTGATAAAACTTCGACTACATCGTTAGGAGTTCAATGAATTTTTGATTTAGTATGGAAAAAGAGGGAAGAAAAGAAGGAAAAGACACGAGGTCAAATGGAAAAACACATCGTCCAAGCTGTCATATTGATGAACAGCTTATGATGAGGTCAGGAGGTTAATATAATGACCTAGCGCTGTGTAATGACAAATGCACAAAATAGTGTCAAAAGAAAGAAGATGGAAGGACAAAATCAAGGATTGATAGTTATCATACAAAACAACATTTAATGCTCGTTTAAAAAATAGTTGTATGCTGACATCTTCTCACATCGGTCTCTAATCCTTTTGCGTGGAAATTGTCATTTATTTTGTCTTAACTTTGCTATTGTACGAATCCAAGACATTAAGATGAAATTTATCAAGGTCTTTTGGTAGAAACGGAAGATAAACTGACAATGACTAATGCCATGCTTTCTACCACGCCCTCACAAGGTGTAAACCTCAAAAATTTTCCACGAACGCATGACTTAATTACCAACGAGAAATGCCTGAATGAGTTTTTGATGAGAAAGTGTTTCTTTATACATGAATTATTTTAGAAGTCAGGTAAAATAAATGAACAAAAGATTCGCGGAGTCGATGAACTTAGTTCAACAAGGTCATTTTATTCCTTGAAAAGATTTTATTTCGAAATGAAAAAAGAGTACACGAGTTTCTCCACAAGATTAACTTCATAAAGATGAAGCAGTAGTTAAAGTTCTTACAAAAGGACTTGACAGATTTGATTGAGACATACAAGTTGTTAACGTAGAAAATGAACATCGAATTCACATTTTTATCCAGTATCAGTTGTTGAAAGCAATTGGTACTAATCCTTCGACGATTCGGCCGTTGTGGAAGACAAAATTTTTGTCCTTTGCGTAACCCTTCTTGAGTACTTCAAATGAAAATGAATGAGCGTTTTGCATGAGTTGACCCATGTAGAATACATGAAGACTATCTTTCCCATAACCATGTCCTAAGTCCGTAAAATCAATCCATCGGGCATCGACGACATACTGAGTATTGAAAAACACTTTGAAATCCTTTATTTCATACGATAACACATTCGAAGTGGCGTCTGGCGCATACATGGAGTTCATGGAAGTTACCGACTGTGTAGGCATTGCGCATGCTTCATTACGATTGAGTGATACTTGAGTATTTTGAGATTGAAGATTTGCAACAATTCGTCCATGTTGGAAGACATGTTGATGATCTCTTGCGTAACTATTGTCCATAACTTGAAAAGAGAACGGGTCAACATTCTCCATGATTTTACCCATGAAAAACACATGATTACTATCTTTACCTAGAATTCACAACGGTAGCAAAGAGAAAGTGTAAAACGTCTGCTAATTTACCATATCCTTGGCCTAGATCTATGAAGTCCGACCATCGCGCATCGGGTACATGTTGATTAGCAAAATATACCTTGAAGTTTCGCATTTCGTACGAGAGCATTTGAGTCGACACGCGATAACCACCTGATGAGCAATAAATGAGAAATATTGAACTGGTATTGCACAATTAACAATGCGTATAAATCAAATGAATTCAGTTTGGTATTGTCGTAGAATAAGCGATCTAAAAATAGAAGACCCAGATTCTCCTGAAACTTTTCAAATTCGTTTTCTTCTCTAGGACTATGAGAACAATTGATTGAGAGTTACGAAGCTTTTCTCGTTCCATGCAGGAAAGTAGACAGATACTTGTATAGATCACAAGGCTGTTATTTTTCCTTTCTGTCGAAAACAGACACGCACCTTCTACCATCGAACAATGGATATCGAAAGCGCGTCTCGATAGCTCAGTGGTCTGAGTGCCGGCCCAGAAAGTCAGTCTCTGGTTATTGGGTTCGATTCCCGCTCGGGATGTCTATTTTTCGGCAGTTTTGTTTTCGACAGAAAGGAAGAATAACAGCTTTGTAATCTATACAAGTATCTGATTGAGAAATGTTTATATTATTTACAAACCATGCCTTTTCAATCTTGTTCAAACAGAACCTTTGATTGTTTCAGCAAGTGGAAACACATGATGAAATGTGCGAGATATTAATCGGCACATATATATATATATACGTGTATCGTTCTGAATAGTTTTAAGAGCTGTATAAATAATATTCTTATTTGCATTGCAATGCCAGAGCTTGATTGAGAGTATGTGGGCGAATCACAACTTTCCAAGGTAGCTCATGCTCATGCATCCACCTACTAAGATAAATAGTGTTTTAACATCAAGGAGATCGACACATAAAGGACGGAAAGAGAAGGAGGAATGTCAGAGAAGACATTACCAGTGAATATTTTATGTCACAACAGACAAATGGCTTGCTTTCTATTAAGCAATTTCTCCTTTTTTTTATTTAGAAAATAGAATGGCAATAGACATAAAACAGCTTCAAATCCGATGTTCTCGGTTTTAGGTCTTTTTTTGTCAGGAGCCCTGACTTACATTACCAGGCTGTGTCTAGTTGAGCTAATAGGCTTAAGTTTCCTGTCGTTCCTGTCAGCACTTGAAAGTTAACACAAACGAAGTCTATTTCGTTTTCTCCTCTACGCGCTAATATGTCGAGAGTGCCATAAGGACACCAAGTTAATATTTAATATTGACTTTTACACCTGTTGAGAATTTAGCCGGCAACTTTTTGGAAACAAGTACAACTTTTGGGACAAGATGGAATATACAAAAAACCAGCGGTATAGCCCTGCTTCGGACCAAGAAAGAAATTATACAGTCCTAGCGTCACCTATATAACTCAAGCGCCATTTGCTTATCGTACGAACCATTATAGAGAAGATCATTTCGTTCGTTAGTTAGTTAAATCAATACTGATGTTGAAACGAACTATTTCCTCGATATTTCTCTCCAACGTCACCAATCGTCGATTGTTCTCGCTGTCAGCTTTAACAAATCGACATGTTTCGGAAAATCCTTCTCGAGTGAATAACAAACATCGTCAATTCGGTAGATTTCATCCGCGTTCGCCAAGTTTTCAAGATCAAATGCAACGGATTCACAACTTGAACAAAGAGGACAACACTTTCGACGAAATCAAACCTCAGTTTACTCAATATAATGCCACTCGTGTTCAATCTAAAGTATCTTCGAAGAAAAAAGCAATGGAAGACGACGATGACAATGATATATTTTCAGAAGAAAAAGATGATTTAACAATGCTCGGATCTGATAAAAAAGCATTTTCATCAGCAGTCTCTAGTCAAAAATCAACCTCAACTGCAATATCGTTGAACCGAAAATCCAACAAGTTTGTCAACGAAAGAAATCTTTGCATAGATCATAGATGTTTATCTTTTAGTTTGAATATTCCACTTGAAGTTTTAATTCAACCCGATCTACGTGATCTCTACACGGACGAAGACATTCATCAATCGCTAGAACTGCACATCAACGAAATGTATCCAGCTCTTCGTCCATTTACATTCGATTTAGCATATTTAATCAACGAATCGGAGACACTGAAACGCTTTGTTGAAATGGGTGTTGATGTGTATCGTTGGAATCAACCAAATATCAAAGCCAAATATGTTCTAACACTCAATTTTGAACGCGATTGCGTTCAACATCTAGTCTTTCTCAACGAAATAGGTATCAAGAACAAATCTCTCGCACAATTTCTCAGTTTCAATCCTTGGATATTCAAAGAATCCATCGACGACCTACGTGTACGTATAAATTACCTCGAAAGTAAAGGATTCACCAGTGAAAATATTCGTGATATACTTCTTCGTGCCCCATTCTTGTTAAACTTAAGTACCAAAACATTGGATTCGAAATTGAATTGGTTTCAAAGGAAGTTCCACTTAACCAACTACGATTTTGTTCTTCGTGCGCCAAAACTGCTCACACTACCATTGCAAGATATCAGTGATATTTATTTCAAAATGAACACACAGTTAAGCTTCGAATCCACCGAATTGGATCGATTGTTTAATCAATATCCGAGACTCTTCATTTATGATTATAAACTAATCGAATTGAACTTTAATTTTCTTTATAATGAAATGAATCTTTCCCGACAACGTTTATTGGATTATCCTCCGGTGTTGAAGCAAAGCTTCCAGCAATTACGCACACGTTGTTTGTATTTGAAATATGTCAAACGTTTGCAATTCGATCCGACCAAACCCAATTTTGTTTCGTTGAAAGATCTTTGCATGAAGACAAACGAACTCTTTTGTCAACATGTGACGAAGACTTCGCTTCGACATTATTTAGATTTCATGAAAACATTATGAATAGATGAAAACGAATAAATAATTTCATCCGAGATTTATTTCTAAATGATTACACAGTCAACTGAAGGATTTCAATCGACTGGCAAGCATCCTTAGCGATCGGATGAACCTTGATCGATGATTGAACTGCAGAATAGAAAGAAAGTAAAATTGCGTGGAAGATGCGAAGAATTTACTTAAAGTTCTTTGGAATTGACTGTAGGTTGAATCATTACGGATTGCATTGGCAATGTAAGCACAACTTGCTCTATTATTTTGCAGAAGAATTCGAATAGTTTTGACTAGATTTTCGATGATCGAGGGATCGTAAACAACGTCTAAGTATGAAATAGTTAGTTAGATCAGAAGAGCTTCATTTACGCGTTTACCGGCTGCCAAAATAAAATCAAAGCTATCTGAATTGACAGTTTCAGTCAAACAATGATTCCAATCCAATTCTTCGATGTTCACCGATTTCTGAAAAAAGAAACTAAACATAGAAAGTCATTTCGAGAAATGCTTTTTTTAACTGCAATAAGTTGTTCATCGGAATAGTTCAGTAGTGCATTTTGTCGTAGAAGATTCAGTATCATTGGCGAATAATCTGTAAATGTATACGAAGAGATATCGTTCGAATATTTCAGAAGAGCTAAGCCAAGCAGTCCTGATCCCGCTCCGAGTTCAATAACACGTCTAAAACAGTAGTTCTCGTATATCTGAGACAACTTTTGGAATGCGTACTTATTTTTCACCAAATCGATTCTATTCATAAGATAGTCACCAAGAAAGATCGATGCTGGCCAACTCGAAAGACCTGTAAGTCCATGACTAAGCAGAGCGGTACTCTGTCGATGAATGACAAATTGATTATTATCCTAATTTTCCAAGTAAGATAGTAAGAATACTTTAATCTGTTTAATAATACGTACAAGGATGAAAATAGTATGGCACCATTCTTGTTCACAAGCTCCGCGACCTGCAAACTCGGCAATCAATTCATACCATCGACTATTGACTTCCACATTTGCTTGTTTTTCAAGCTATAGAAAATACAAAAAGAATATTCCAGGTCGAAAAATCCGATTCTTCACACCCAAGTAATAATAGTCTTCAATAGCATTTCTCGATATTTTACTCGAAGGGACCAAGCAGCAAACAGCAGATTGTCGAATGTCTGTTCTAGTAAGTAGTTTTGAAATTCTTGAAGAGTACCATTGTATTCCGAATACCATTTCTAATCGTATGCAGATGTAATTATTGTCAATGTAAGATTAACTAACTTCGAGTATATCAGACGTGATCTTCAAGCCTCGACCATAGAACGCAGCAGGTGTATCGTGAACGAACATCTAAAATTTCGCATATATGTGTCAGAACTGATCAGTTCTGTAGAATCCTTCTACGTATGAATCTATGCATAATTACGCTTTACAAACTTTCACATCGTCTTGCACACTGTTGGTAAGGGAGTTTTGATTTATTTTACCATTTGTGTTTGTCTGTGAGATCTTGCATATGAAAACATCAGCCATGCTGATGAACTTTTCATTTTTTAGTATAAATAATCTGTGAACATATATAAAAAAAAAACAGAAGTACGAAAGAACAGAAGTTGTCCAACAATCTTTATCTCTTTTCTATCTCTCGTTCTCCCACTCGCTCATTGATACAGATGTACACAACTGATTCACACTGGACATATGTATATATGTACATGTCAAAAATACAAAAATCAATGTTTATTTTTCCTTATTAAACTGTCCAGATAACACTTGCACAACATAGTTGATCGTTGTTGGATGTTTCAAGATAGCTAGATGTTCCACACCGGGTAGTTCAGTTGAATGAATATCTTGTTTTTGTTTTCCTTCCCAATTTTTAAATCCGAGCAGACTTCGAATATTGACCGTTCCATCACCATTATCAGGCAAAACCACCGGCTGTAAATCTGGGAATGTACGATTATTGTATAAAAGTACGCCCGGAGTTGGCATTTGTGAACCATATATTTGGTGTAGCTCAATTTCAGGTGGTTTTAGTTCGTTAAGCAAATCTTTGTTGTTGATCCAGTATTCGTACCCGGTTGGATATTTGATATCATCGAAGAAAGCTTTGTAATCATGTACTGTATAATTTCGGCTGGGAGAGACGACGACAACTTCGTCATCTTTCCAGAAGTTCACACTAGGCATAACGAATGCTGTTGATGGTGCGGAACGTTGATATGGACGAACGCGGATCGGAGAAACGACATAGACCTATGAGAAAGAATACATGCATGAAAACTAGTGTCCGAATGACTCACATCAATATTATCACCACTGGCCATTAGACGAAGCGCTTTGATTGCTCCGCCCCAAGGTGCAGCTATATTAATCATTGATTGAATATATTTATCTTTAAACTTTTGAGTCTGTTGATGGAGCCAATACAAAGCAAATGGACCTACATCGGGTTGACTTTGTTAGGTTTCTTTTCTTCGGAATGGTAAGCATCAAAAGTTTACATACCTCCCATACTATGTGTTACAAACACGATTTTCGTTTGATTGTTCTGCTCGTATGTTTCGATAACTAGTTTAGTTAAATTTTCAAAATATTCCTGTTGTTCGTCGAGACCGCGACGGAAATCGTACCTGTAGATACACAAAACCAATCATTTCCTATAAGTATTTCATACATTAGAATAGGTCTCACGGTGCTCCACGTAAGTCGACTCCTCGCGTATAACCAAGTGCAACAAGACTTTTCACAATAGGTGCAAAATAAGATGAATAACCAATCCCTGACGAGTCGAAAAACTCTATCGTTGACGTATGACCAAAGCCAGGCACTTGGACTTCTACGCCCTCTAAATTTGATGTTTTCTTCGTTGTTGAATTGTATGTCAACCTCATGTTATCGACGAAGCAGTCAATGACTTCTGGAAGCAGCAGTCGAATATCAAGCCATAATTCAAACCAGTTCGATTTACGCGCACAAAAGAAGTGCGGTGGAGGTGACGTACGATTTAATCGTGCCCATATCTGTGAACCGCCATTGCCTGGAATGAAAATCGCTGGATAACGTACACTATCGCCATGGATTGTATTAATTGTACAGATGAAAGACAGAAGTAGAAGATGCCACATCATGTTAAAGATGACATAGAGAATATCTAGAGCGAATACGAAATGTTCGTCATTGACAGATAAATTCTGCTTATCATATTACGTTAAAACAATTATAAATATGTCCGTGATCGAACTCAAGGTACCTTTATGTTATTCTACTTTGATTACGACTGTCACGTGACCAATCAGATAGCAACTGCTTGGAATAAGAAAAAAGGATCACTCTAGTCTACAAACATCCATCAGCTGATTTCTATCCAATGGCAAATCATTCACGAAAAACTCTGATTTTCGAGCGTTATTGTATGGAAATATTTTACTAGGTATGGTTCTCAGGCTGAATTCTCGTGAACATACATATAATTTGCATACAAATCTTTTTCGAAGATCTTCTAGTGTCGATCAAAGATCACATTCTAAATAAACACGTTTATAACATTTACTTCATTATTTAACCGCGTGCACCTACCAGCGACATCTAACGATGACGTGCTTTTCTGTACTATGTAATTAACATTTTTTAGTATTCTTTAGCAACCTTTCATCAATCTTTTTGTCATTAGGAGAAAGCCAGAATGTTGTTCATTTGCTATGCTAGAAGGGTCTTCGTTTCGGTTTTAGATAAGTGCAGGCAATCAACTTCGATGGAATTTCCGTGTCAGCGACGGATCATTAAAAAAAGAGAGAAAATAATAACAATCTCATGTCCCCAGAAGAGCATCCTGTAAGCAGCCTACGCCAATACATTAATTTTTTTGTGGATAGAAAATTCTTATTGATGAAATCAGCTAACTTATGATCTTCATCCACCGTATTATACTATCCATATGGTAGCTCGAAGTCAAATTCGCTTATGATTTATTAAAATCGATCGTGCAAGATTATTTCCAACAACTAAGGGCATATTTCATTTATCATCGTTGCCAGAAGAGCAAAAACAAATGATGATATGCGAGTAACATTGTGCTTTCATTGGGCTTCTTCTTTATTTATTTGAAGTCGATATGAAATGATTTAATCATAGTGTGAAGACAATTGAAATAATGATTTATTTTCAGCCAGCGAAACATTTTATGAATCTATGCGAGAAATCAAACTAAATTCGAGGAGAGAAACTCGACTGTTTCGACGAGTTGTACATCCTAAATGAAGAATTTCCGAAGTAAAGAGATGTGAATCAAACCTAGTGGTAACTTACATGCAAACAGTAGCTTTCGAAATCGTCAAGATTAATCGTTCCTGAATGATGAGAGTCGAGCTTATCAAATATAAGTGCCGAATGCTTCTCAATGTTTTCATCTGTAATCGGTTGATGAACGAACATACTCGATCCAAGAAGATCGTATATCGATCGAAGAATCGTCGTAAAAGTCTGATCGGTAGACACAAAGCAAAGCCATAGCAGATAGATTTCTCAATGGAGCACATACTTGTTTAGTCAGTTTACCATCGTCGGAAATATCATAGAAGCGAAAGATCCAATGGAGTTTTTCTTTTGTACTACCACGGACCAAAATGGATAGTGTTTGAATGTAATCCTTAATGGAAAATGTAATGAGTAGTATTGCTCGATGATTAGATTTTCGTCCGAAGCAATTAGAAATGTACATCTGACGTCGCCAGACGCTTTTTCTAATGAGAGTCAATTACTTCAAATGTGAAATACATCCGCTTCCGTCGATCCAACACACGAAATAAGAAACGTGTGTAATTCTGGCAATTTCCATGTGGAAAGAAGTGCGAATAAATCGCTTGAAATTCCGACTCAGTTACCGCGCCACTCGGACATTCCTATGCACGGGAGAAAAAGAATTGAAGATGAATGCTTGAACTAGTTTCATACCTGTTTAAATCCTTTGTACAGTAATCGTATTTCTGACTTATTGAATTTGGTAATACGAACGATTTCTTCTAAACTCTTCGGTACTTTACGTATATCCACTGGAAAGATCATTGGATAATCATCGTTTTCTATTCAAAGCAGAGATTAACGTCGTTTATCAATGTCATTGTCGGATTTCCTATCTCACAAATGCGCTGTGCCTCGTCAGATCGTGTCTTATAATGTCATCAAACAGAGAACAAAAGAGGAAACTTGTTTCGATATGTATCTCATTATTCTTATCCTCGAATGGTATCTAACACATAAACACCAGATGTTTCATATATGTCGTTGCCGACATACAGTGAGAGTTTGTCAATAGATATCATTGTTCCATTAGATTTCAATCTCTTCCATCTGGAAGTAAGATTATCTGATTGATATGAAAATACTCAGATATCAATGGTCTTTTCTTCGACAAACACAAAACAAAACAGGTGACGAATCGGCTACTTACGCTCGGATGCTTCCATGAGTCAATCTGATTTCAATCAAGAATTGACTGTTAGTTCGTTTTCCTGATTAATGATGATAATGGTGTTAGCGCTTGTTTTCACATATTGATGCGTGCGAAAGAATTGATGAAATCTCCGGAACAAAAAAAAACGAAGGCGGACGAATAAATTTTTTTTTTCTTCTTTTACTAATAATGGAGACCTGTTCTAGTCAATGTTGATGTGTATGTGCACTTAAATAGATTTCTTCTATACTTAACGACGACGCCGGGTTTTTTTTATTGTTTGATTTATCTCCTTTTTCTGACACCCAAAAACGAGCAATAGAGGACACGAAACAGAGAAGGAAGAGAAGGGGAGAGCGAGAGAGGGAGAGCGAGAGAGGGAGAAAAAAAAGACTCTGTGCCTTTCATCGTATGAATAAAGCGGCCGCCAAGAAGGAACAGCATAGTAAATATATTTATATATGAGAATCTCCAAAAAAGGTTTGAGAAATAGAAGCGAAAGTCAAGCCCACTCTTGTTCTAAAGATTGTTTCGCTCACTCATTTCCGTTGGCACTAATTAAAGATCCTTTCTTTTCCTAATTCACCTCTGTTTCTCCATCAAGTGACATTTGAGACTTGACATCTACATTTACGTACGGGTGAATTGAATGTGTTGCATTGTTAACTGATATGTTTGCTATGGTTTGTTGTTGTGGAGAGAAATCAATTCGGTGAAGCACAAAAGAATGACTCGAATGGTTTGACTGAGTATAGATCATAAATAGGAGATAAAGAAGATGATTCGCATCAAACTGAATTAATGATCACTCTCTTCTATTATTTTGTCATGAGAAAAAGATGACGATGGAGAAAAACGCACTAAGGGGAAAAAGGCAAATGAAAAGTATTCCTTATCCTGGCATGACAATAAACACGGTATATTTCCTTTTTGCTTCATTGTTTTCGCTGAAAATAGACCACCTTCGTATACAGATTGCTTGATTTATTATTAATAGAAAGAAACAAGTCATGTATAAGATATTAATCCGACTCTGATACAACGAGATCGAAGATCAACTTACCGAACTTGATCCTCTCTTAATGATGTACAAAGAAGACTCCGTGATGAAATTTTTAGATCGATTTGTCGTTCATTGTACTGCTCGTTTTGCTTAATTGGACATATCTGTTTTTATCCTTCGCGGACGCGATCGTTGCAAACGGATCCAACTAATTCCAGCTTCAGGTGTTGTTTCTCTGTTAAATATATTTATCTTTCTATGTTCCCGTGAACTTAGTCGAATAATGAAGAATACGATTTTTATTAGGAATCAAAAATGAAAAAAAAAAATGAAGAATTCAAAGTCACACTTGAGGATTGTTTTTGAAAAGATATTCCGCCTAGAAAGAAAGAAATTTTTTACAAATTGATTGTTAGGAACTATTCTCTACTAACCACGAAATCAATTGGATCTTCCGGTCGAACTTGACAACATTCTAAAACAGCGAATCAACTTCGTAGATTTGGGTTTACAAAGAGATAATTATTTTTACCAATTAATGCTTTGGTTACTGTTGGCATAACATGTGTCATTAAGTAGTTTCGTAGAGGCGTCGATTGTGCATCAAGCATTTCAAATTCTTGACGTTTTATTTGTTCTAATTTCGTTGTCCATTCTTTTTGCTTTTTCGCACGATCATTTGCTGCTTCCTCTTCATTCCGTTCGCGTTCCTCACGTTCTTCACGTTCACGTTTCTCTTTCTCGAGGATTTCATTTCGTTTGGCAATCTCTTGTTCTTCAGCTGTTGGACCATAATTACGTGGCTGTTTCACACGTTCCATGATCTTTTTGACGATATTCCGATGATTTGGACTGAGATCATCATCGATTTCTAAGCGAAAGAAAAGGGGGTGAAGATTTGTACGAGGTAATGATAAACTATCGATCTCCTGGGATCGCCTTCACGATTTTCAAATAATGTCAAGGAAATCGAGAGAAAAAAGAAACAATGCTGTGTGTTAAACGTCATTCGATGAAAGTAGATCCATAAAAAAATAATCCTGCGATTTATACTCACTGATAGTTTCTCCGGGACGATCGACATCTTCGAAGAATTTCGCTGGATGTGAGTCATCACCTAAATCAATGTATGCTTTCAGCCGACGCTTGAATTCTAGTTCTGTATTGTGCGTGTCGGCGACGATTTTTTCAGGCAGATGCATAATTCGCTGACGAAGGAATTCATTGCTTGCCTCGAGTATGATCACATGTTCTAGGCAGGAAAAGATTGATTTCAATTCGAAATTTTCAAGAAAATAATCAACGAACCAGGAATGATGCGGTCGTTTACTGGTGGTTTTTTATCTTCGGCGCCTTCTTCCTCTAAAAAATCCAAGGACTCTTTCGATTTTGAACTTCAAAGTCCATCATTTTACCTTCTTCAGCAGAAACTAGAAAAGATACGAATTACAATAGGAGAAGTTTAGTAGAAGTTTGATATGACTCACCTCCGAATAGATTCGTCGCTTGATCAGCTGTTTTCGGATAACCATCTAATACATAACCTTGGTTTTGACATGGTGGTGACATAAGTTTGATCTTGAAGATTTGAGTTAAAAGATCATCATCCAAACGAGCTTGAAATATAAACAAAAGAGAGTTTATTTGAAAATGAAAATATGGGATTCGAATTACCATCTTTGTTGTTCTGTCGCGCTTCGTCAAGTCTTTCTAAAACGCTTCGGGCTTCATCAACACGGTCTGCTAATGTTTCATCGACATCTTCTTCATCGATCTCTTCTTCATTTTGTTCACTTTCATTACTACGCTTAACTAATTGCTCCTGGAATGAAATCAATTCTTCGTTTTTCCTGAACTTTAACTTGTTCGACTTACGAGCTCGTCTTTCGTGTCTCTAATCACGTCTTTTATTGCCAAATAATGTAATTTATATTCTTGAGCTAATTGCTTCGCAATAGTTGTCTTTCCCGAAGCTGGCGGGCCAAGAATTAAGATTTTAATTGGCTAGAAACAACCAAACTTGAAGGTAAGCTCTATATAAAGGATGAATTTACTATCAGATTTCGTTGATTTCGATATTCTTCAATAATCTTTTCCATATTTTCTGTCATACCATTTTCACAATGCCATTTGATGTTCATTTGTTCGCGAATAAACATCGGTTCGAATTGCATATTCGCCATCAGCATATCGAAATCAGCTTGCTGCAAGGAAAAAATCTATTTTTAACATAAAAATGAATCCTAAACAATATACCGTTATATCTCGGTTGAGCATTGCATCTTCTTGGTCAACCGCTTTCACTCGGCCTGTACCAAGTGCTTGACTGATTTTGCGTGTCAGACGTATTAGTGTATCTTTACTCGTATCCGTGGCAACGATGTATCGAATTTTCAATTGACGATCAGCAAGATTCTGTAGAACACTACAAAGAAGTATCTTTTTCATAAAAAGACGGCGTCATTTTCGCAAAAGTTTTCTTACGCAGCGAGATCCATGACATGAATTGTTGGTAGATAGTTGTGACCTTTACCATAGACAGGAACTTCCGGGACATTGTGCCATGCTGCTTTGAAAATGTAATGGAAAACATCTTCTTCCATTCCATAAGTTAAACCAGTTGCAACGATGTAAGTCAAGAGCTTCTTTTTGTTTGTCAGACCGAGTTTAGTGATCATTTTCTCAGCACTGTGACGTTCTTTGTAATTTGGATGAGCTCGACGACGACGAAATTCATCTTCAGAGAATGGCACATCTTCCTGCGAAGGTATTCATCCATCGAAATGGTATGAGAAACTCCAAACTAACTCACTTCGTTCGATTGCGTCTTCGCCCAAGTCATCACAGATGAAAGAAGAATGAACGTAACTTGATGGTCCAGTTCGTTGATCATTGATTCTATTTTTTGACATGCCCATACTGCTTCATCAACCTACAAACATCGCGTATTGATAAGCTCTTCTTCGTACTTGAAGTCCTATCTCTTACCTGTTCCGGATCTTGAGTAATATCATAGATGATGACGTTAACTTCTTTTAAATAATCGATCAGTTGATTGCGATCTTTGTACTAAATAAACGGAGTAGTTATCTTGCTCCAGTAAATCATTTCCTAGTTACATGAATAACTTCTTGAATGAACGGTGCACGTTTGTAACCTTGAGTATTTTTCACTGTTCCCACGACTTTCCATCCGTCTTCGATCGGATTTTCATCATACAGTTGTTTCTGTTTCTTTTCCGAATTCTCTTCTTCAGCTTCTTCTTCTTCCGATGGCTCACTTGTAGAACCTGGTTTGGCTCGTGCAAAAATCTTCAAACCCGTACATACATATATTACTTTTCCCAAACTTCAGACACGCAACTTACTCGAGCGATGTTCTTTCCATGATAAGTATCAATGTGATTGATAAAAATCTTTTTAGGCTTCTCTGGTACAGGCTCTTCCTTGACTTGTTCTTCGCCTACTTGTTCCTCATCTGAATCGTCAGCCATTGTTGAATAGTACAAAATGAAAAATGATGTTTTACACAAAAAACAACCATTCTACAGTTTGGTAACCAAGTCATATCCTCTTCATGGCAAACAATTTCTGCTTATCAACAGATGTCGCTCGGAGTGTTTTACTTCTGTTGCATTCAACTAGGTCAACATTCATTAAAATCGACTTAAGATTGCGTGTTACAAAAGAGAGAACAGCTTATATTCATAATGTACAACACATCGATTTTCTTTTAATAAGAGATTCCCAATATTAAAAAAAAGACAATAAAATAGAATTCTTTTCTTCGGTAAATTCAAACGAAAAATACATGAAGAAAACATGAATACATAGATTTTCAATCGTAACGACAAACGAAACGTTTTCTTTTTCATTTACTTTTTAGAAAAGAAGTACTCGAGAAGAGTAGAAACAATTCCTAAAAACATCAGTTATTTCAACGTTCGTGCGTAATCACTTAAAGCTTGATACAAAAATTGATATTGATCATGCGTTTGGATCATTCCACCACGATCGCGTCGTAAATTACAAAGTATTCGTACAACATCAACAACATGTTCAGTATCTAGTTGTTTAATACCATTGCTCAACGCAATAAAACAACCAGTACGACCAATACCGGCACTAAAATGGAACGTAGAGGCTCACGGAAGAAATAAGTGATAGTCTTTGTACATACCTGCAATGGACGACAACAGAACCGGAGTTCTGATTAATTCTAGATAGTTCTTTTCGACTATTTTCTACATTTTGTACAAGTTCAATCAGCGGTTTAGTCACGTCGGGACATGATTGATCAGGCCATGCTGAAATGAACAGATTTGAAGATTAAAGTGAGAAGTTTGACAAAGAATAATTTACCTGTGTACCAGAAATGATCAATATCACGTTGTTCGTTTTCGTACTAGAATACAAACATCGTTAAAAGTAAAGGAATCTTATTGAATAGTAAATCACTTTACTTTGATTGTTAATCTTCGTACTTCATAATCAGTTCGATAAAGAGTCGATTTCACTTCGACGTGAAATGGACCATACTGTTCGGATTGAGCATCGGGAACGTATCGTTCACATTTTGTCTAAAGAAGAAAAGAGAGATGCCTTTCCGATAGATTGATGACAATGATTTACTTTATTTTTTTCGATTAAGCGAGTAATCATAACAATAACCGGGACATGTTCTTGCCAAATCATTCGATAAAAATCAATGATTGTATTTGAAAGTGGGCCTTGTGTAGCTATAAATGCGCGTTCACCGTTACACCAACCATGGATATAATTGGCGTTGATATATGATGAAATTGAATCACCGGATAACTCAGGGAGTTTCACTCGAGAATGTTCATCTGAAAAATGAAACTTGCGTAAGAATGACTTAAATAAAAAAAACCTCTGTCGTACTTGCAATGATTGTACCATAACGATTTTTGATACCAGCACCATAAATACGGAGTTTTTCTAAATGATTCGTTGGTATGGACTAAAAAAGAAATCTAGATATGGATGCGATATCGATTTGATCAAACCGACCCAAAATTCTTGATAGAGTGCTCGAGTATCTTGTGCGTGTTGATGCAGTTCATCAATCGTCAATTGACGTGTTGCTGTTTGTAGGTATTCATCAGATGGACTGAAAAACCCCAAGGCTATTTCAATCAACAAGATATCAATTATCTTCTTACGAATCTGTTGGCGGACTGTTCAAGCGCAATTGTATTGGCGTGACTGATATCGTTAAAGAATTGTTCGATCCTCGCCTAAAGTAAATCAAAACAATTATCATTAACTAATATCATAAAATTCGGCAAGAGAACTATGATGATATCTATATTTCACACGTACCGTCGTTTAAATAGAAGTGACGTTGATGTGCTCCAGAACTTATAGCTCAAAATAGGAGCGTCGATCTCCATCGAACTAGACTGTGCTCGATTGAAATCGTGTAAAGATCAGCTAATTGCAGTTGGAATGCTTTGTCATAGATATTTCAACTATCGAATTACGCTTAAATTTTATATGGAAAAGAAATATGATATCACTATCAAATAATCTCACTACACCCACGCTAGTAACACGAAGAGAAAAGGTGATAAAAAAAAATGCCCATGTGCAAACTCAACAACAGAAAGTCAAAAATAGGACCAACGTATCTTACGGAAATTTCTTATTCAAGTATTTGCCACCTACAACTTCATATGTATTCCTAACTGATCACTCAACCGTTCGGTCGTTCTGCACAGTATTGAAAAAGATTGTATCATGATAAAATATCTTTTCCGCCTTGGTGTTTTTTCCTTCACGACTATTAGTAACGACCGCCTACACAACCTTTATTTTCACTTTTAACTGATAAATAAACTACCTTTGTAACAAATTTTTCTTTCGAACAGGTTTCACTGTTTCACGATCAGATGAAGAATACGATTCTTCCATAATACTCGTTGGAATTTTCGGTGAGATTGGATATAAAATCGTTTCCTTTGATTTTGATTGAGCATGGTGAACCGACGAGAAAGGGGTCAGTTCCGATGGTTCACATTGGTTTTTCTTCGATGATCGTTGATATCTCGAACACCAGTAGATCTACAAGAAGATAAAACATTTCTTTAGTCAGAAAGAAGCAAAAGCGATCGAATTGTTTACCACTCCGAGAACGGTTATCAATGCAAAGATGATACTTGTACCGATGGATAAGACGAGAACATGTTCAGTCCAAAAGATAATCGTTTTTGTCTTATTTTCATCGATCAACTAAAGAAAGACACATCCGTTCAACTTTGTTATATGTTCGTCAAAGGTTATTAGTATGAATGTTAATTTCCGTCATAGCTTTTAGAAAAGTCAAGAGACAAAGAAAGAAAAGTGCATCAAACTCGAACGAATGAAATTGACGATCTTGTGTGCTTACCATTTGAGCATCGTTTCTCCAAGTAGGTCCATATGGCGTTTGTTTTACCATCGTTGTGAATCAGTCTTGCATAAACATTGTTAGGAACTACTTAGATGCATTTCTCCATACGAACGCAAAACGATAAATGATATCTAATAAAAAAAGAAAGAAAGAAGAAGGACGGTGATATTTTCTAGTGCGAGAACACAATTGAAATTTCACACTCACTCGTTGTCAATGCATTCGCGTTAGATTGCTTTTATGAATCTAGAGGAGAAATCTGAAACGAACTAAATGCATATGCATAGGCATGTTTAAGTAGCAGAAGAAGAGAAAATATGGATTTGCTTTTGTAGTTGAATACGACTAGATAGTAATTGGAAAAAAAAAGAAGAATATGGTGAACTATTGTAGAACGAAGTGAAAAATTTACAACTGGAATGGTGAAAGAAAGAGAAAAGAAAAGAAAAGAATTGTCAATAATCAAGATGGTATTTCTTGTGGAGAAGACGATGAAATTGGTTCGTCTGTCGTCATTTCATTTGTTTGAGACTATAACATAACAAAATTCAAGATTAAGATCAAATCATGAAAATCTCATTAGAAAACTAAGACTTATACCATCTTGTCGACGTCTTTTAATAAGTCTCTGAAAGGATTTTTCGTCATTTTCATGTATTGAAAAGAATCTCATTTAGATTAAAAACCATGATAACAGAAATACTTCGTCTAGTTCAAAAACAATTATTCCATTATTTACATTGACTTCAAACGTCTACAATCAAAAATGTTCCAGAAGTTATGTGAAATAAAGGAACAATTTTTTCCACATCATTAGTTTTGAAACGCACCTCTTGACTTTCAGAGAAATAGACATAACAAACCGTCCGACAAGTTATGGAAGCACAAATCATTTGTCTAATGACGTCGAAAATTAGTTTTCTTCTCATTTCGATACTCCTTTCAGATGAGTGAACAATTTCTGCTTTCCCATTCGTAAAAATTCAAGTTCAACGATGATTTACAGTACCTGCGCTGGAACAGGAGGTAATTGTTTGTGCGAATGCATATTTTCATGTACAGCAAGTATTTCTTTCAACCCACGATTTTCTAATAATAAAGCATTGATGCGTTTTTCTTGAGTGGCACTATTCGTATCATCAATAGTAATTGCACGTTGCATAATTGATGCCATTTCTTGAATTTTTGATGCTTTCTCTTGAATCTCCTAAATGTAAAGTTAACTATCTATAGTTCAAATCAATTAAATACGCTTGCTAATCACTGTCGACTAATCCTGATAAGTCACACTACAATCTTATCGTGATACAAGGAGGAAAATGTGTGTCTTTTCTTAAAATAGCTAAAGACTACGATCTTTGATGATCACTACTAATTACTAACCTGTGACAGACCAGTATTGAATAATTGCACCGCCATTTTTTCTTTCTCTTCCATTAATTGTAGTTGTTGAACATGTTGTCGGTATTTGAACATGATTTTTTCTAGTACACTTCGATGTTCGGTGACTAATTGCTTTAATTCTTCATTCTCTTTTTGTAATTGTCTAAAAACGACCAACTAGATTCTTTGATGTCTCATCAACGAAGTACAACGAACTTTATCAGACGATTTTCTTTTTGAATATTGTAAAGTATAGCTTGTTTGGGACGATGTGTACTTATGTCATTCAATTCAGCAAGATCATCGCCGTACTAAACAAAGAAAAAGAATGAAGATGGTTTCATTACACCAAAAGAACGAACCTGCTTCATACTTAGAATCTTCTCTTGAACGTATTGAGCTTGACTTACGGCTGTATCGGCAGTCGCATCGTCACGACGTAATCGCGAAACGAGTTCACGTGCATTCGTTAAAATGGTATCAAGCGATAAATTCATGTTCAATACATTTAAAAGTGATAATTACTAAAGAAGACAAGAAAAAAAAACAATTTGTTTGTTTGTGGTGAATCTGACAAGCAGCCAATTAGACACAGCTTTGGAGTTCAATCGATCGTTGTGTCCAATTGGGAATTAGTTTCGAAAAAACTTGTTTACTCGAAATATTCTATTTGATAGAATAGCGTAAACATTGTCTACTCACGCTATCAACCATTTAGATGTCGCTACTACTCCACATGTCGAGATTAACTAGAACTTACTTTCATAAATGCACTACATGGAAATTATTCTTTCATCTGTTCTTTTCTATTCTGTCAAATGATGAGCACGACCTTCTCGTTGCTTTCGACAAGATTGTGACAAACTGATTTCTCCTAGAGCAGAATATCTACTTCAGTGCTTCTGTTTGTTTGAAATGAACCATTTGCAGAGGAACTCGAATCAGAAAACTATGACGTCAAATGACTTTTTCTCTCTCTCTCTCTTTCTTTGTCTGGTGCAGACATACATTTTATTACTCGGAAACATGAATTTGACAGTGAGAAAGCTATGCCGTCAGCAACACAATACTTTATAATGATTAAATGCAAATAGACAAAACATATTTCGAAGAAAACAGCAAAATATAAGTTAGAAGCATAAATCGTTCTAACATATGTTGTAAATAACTACAAGACAAATGTAATTAATAGCACATTATTTCAGCAGAATTCCAGTCTGTATGCTGCCTTTCAAATCACACCATGGTGCGGATGAATATATATTCACTTCCGTCACTTCACCAAAGCAAATATTGTACTGAGAACGGAAAAGTGGCGTTCACGTTTTGTTTTCATACTCGATTCAAATGAATAAAAGGATTTTATTCAATATTTAAACACTGTAATTACAGAAAAATAGAATTATCACTTTTCTCTCGCGCGAAAGACAGAATAGAAAGAATGAAAAAGAGGGGAAAAAATCGAATTAAGGATGTTTTATTTGTTCTCTGTCACATCTGATGTATTGATTGTATGTTCATCATTTTCAGCGTTTACGTTTTCATCGAGAAGACTAGGATCACAAAAGAAAGGACGCTGGGTCTAAGAAAAAAACGACAATGAGACACAATCTGGGCGATACATACATATTTACCCGATCACTATTCGGCGATAGAATTTGAATATTGACAGTATCTAATAGGAACGGTTGTTCGAGAAGATTTACTGGTTGTTCGTGCCATTCGCATAAACTTTTCGGCGTTCGTAGCAACTGTGAACTACCTGTAGACGATAAGAATGAATGCGGAAATCAGAGGTTATGATTAAGAGTGCAAACCTCTTCGTGGTTTATCATGTTTGTCAGAGAGAGATGTTCGACGACTTGATGACGGTGTTGATGACCCACTACCTGTGTGCGATGTTTGATCTGAATGAGTACGGGACAATGAATAACTACGAATATGATCAACACTGCTGAATGTTGGTGACGATGCCGACGAATGGTCCGACGCCAGCGGACGGTTCGTAATCGGGATACTTTTAGGAATTGACGACCGTTTCAGGCCAGAAACGAGTGCAGCACGGCCTAATACAAGAAGAGAACGATGACGAAAAAATGTTAAAAAGCATAATCAAGTGACATACCAGGATGATTTGGTAATGCAGATGCATTAAGTCCTATAATGAAGAGAAAAATCGTGTAGTTTTAATGCATAATGTGTAATTGATACTTGCGCTCATTTGTCAATACATAACAAAAATGATATCACACCCCTTTTTTGTGTTCAGAAGACGAGCTTATTCTGTAAGATGATATTCACTATATGTATCGCGTCTGTCGACATATTAGTCGTGGTTATTCTATTAAAATATCATCTCACTGGTCACACTTATAGTAATAATGTATAATGATAGTGGATGTGAGACGTGTGCGCGTGAGTAAATGTGTACATACGTATGATACAGATTAATCAATCGCGCTGTACGATGGTGTGAGATAGAGAAGAGACAACAAGTGTCTATCGTGCACTTGACAACAAATCAGTTGAATGATACAAGAATTAATATCAATGCAAATTTTTCTATTCATACTGCTCAATACTTTGATTTTCCAATGTTCTTCTTCGAACTCATCGTGTTTGCCATGTACATCAACGTCATATCGTTCGTGTTACAACTGTGTCAATCAATTTCCAATCGATCGGTCACATGTGGAACAAGTAAACCTTATTTGTAATGAAACACATCGCGTTTTCACCGATCAAGAACGTTTTTATTCAATTATTAAAACTTACGTAGCATCAAACTGTACAATGAGAACCTTCTATTTCGATCAATATACTCTATGGAATTATCTTGAATCAATGTCAATTACTTATGCGCGTTTAGCACGTTTGTCACCTGTCATCTTTAATCGATCGCTATCAGTATCGCCTATTCTGTACAGTATTAAAACATTGAATTTCTCACACAATTCACTTCGATTACTGACGAAGAATTTCTCGTATTATTTTCCATCGCTGGAAAAACTTGATCTAAGCTATAATCAACTGATACTGATTCGAAAGATGACGTTCGGTAATTTAATTCATTTAAAAGAACTTTATCTGAATAATAACCATCTAAAACAGATTCTCGCGACAAGTTTTCCTCAACAATCACTCGATTTGATCAACTTACATCAGAACCATTGGCATTGCTCTTGCCGAAACGCATTAGCTCTGTCAATCAGTCGACCAGTACCTGTCTGCCATACTCCAATTCAATACAGAAACCACAGCGCCCAAGACATCGCCAGGCAATGCTTTTTCCGTCGAAAAGCGAACATACTAATTACAACAAATCTCAATCGAGAAGAAAATCTAACTTGCACCTTGTCACCAACAGCCGATGTATGGCAAAACAAAACAGATGACAACGTCACATTACTCTCTGCTTGGAATACTGAACAACAACAACCGATCAATATCGAACATCTATATACATTAGGTGCCGGTACGGAAAAGTATCTGATCTGTTTCAATTCAACCTCATCACCATCGGAAATGATTCATCTGATCGTTCCGCTAACATTGAAGACGACTTTGCTCGATTCGATGAATGTGACAAGATCGTATTTTATTGTAAAACCGTCGACAAAATTCACGTCGCTTCTTCGTTGGCTGCTAAACTCCAGTCGAAGAATTCTTCCGTTCTATCTTCAAACATCGGATAAACGTATTCTAATCATCTGGTTAACTATCCTAACTTCAACTTTTGTTTTCATTGCATTGCTGATCTATTTCATCTATTATCGACGATTGAAAAATCCAGATTATGAAGTTCATTCCTTCTCCAATCAATTCATACGTTTAGACGGCAAACCGGACACACCTCGAACAATCTTTAACATGAAAATCAATTGTAAAAACCATAAATGTCTATGTCAATATCGTCGAAATGAACATTCGTTAATCTATTCGTCAAATTCAGCAACGAATCTAAGCATTCGACCATTATTGATTCAACCAGCGGAATTACGTTATGCAAAAATTAAACGGATCTCATCAAGCAAGGACCTAGGTCTGGACGATTCGACGGGACACTTCCGAACGATAGTCAAACTGAAGAACTCTACCTGATTGATAAGTTGTAGTTGAAAGAGTTTTCGATTGATTTGTTGTATTTATTGGTGTGGTATCTAATCCAAGTATCGAAGCGATTTTTGCTAGTTTAATCTGACGTGCTCTACGAGAAATAATAAAGCTCGATGTTACGATTGCAAATCTTTCTATACCTTTGACGAGCCTTGATTAGATTTTGTTTCGCAGTCATACAATGAATATGATTGTCAAATGTAAATTTAGCATTGAGGATTGGTGGACTAGTTTTGACATAGATATTCGTTACTGGTTTATGAATGGTGATATGAAGAGAATGACTGTCTTCTTTATCATTAACAGCATCGACATCCTGAAAGAAAATATTATGGAGTTAGGATCTTAAAAATTTTCGATCGACGTTCGCGACGTCTTTGACCGTATTGTTTAAGTTACGGTTCATAAGGGTGACCGTGACCGTAATTCACGGTCATGGTTAACATAGATGTGTATTCAATCGCAATCATTGCATTGAATTATCGAGACAAACCTGCATTTGATCACAAAATTTGACAATGCCCCATGCAACTTTTTTGTTATCGGGCTCGATTAGTATGAATTGCATTTGATCAATAACAAGAAAACGACGGTCTTTTCTATAAGAATGGGAATTAGTACATTGAATTCGCTTTGCGAGAGCTTACTTGTCTTTCATATGAATTGTACATGCGATCAAGTCTCTGTTGTCTGTGGAAAAGGAAGAAAGTTAGGAAAAGTTCATTCGTTGAACATAATTACTTAGATCAAGTCGATCATTTTCTTGAAATAGATTCTCTGGTTTTATTAGTGGTAGTTCAGTTTCTGATATCGAACTTAATTCCAGAAATAATGTTCGAATAAGAAAAAACACTCGAATCGACTAAATAGATTGCTTATTCAAAACATTTTTTGTTCATTCAAAACTTACGCGTCGTGCTCTTTCGATGTCACCCGAAGGCAAACGTTTGATAAACTCAATTCCACTCAATGGTGTTGTCGTTGGTGGAAGTAACATACAAGAATCCTTTAATAAACAATCGATTCGAGTTGGATTCATTTGCATTTGTCGATATTCATCTTCGAACATATCAAGTAACAGTTCCTGTTGCTAAAAAACGTCAAATGGGTTTCTATGCAGAAACGAAGGAGTCGATTTTACTGGAAAGTATCGTCGCAAATCTTCCGTAGCTTGTTTGCGTGCTTGATCGATTTGAGTTAGATGTTCTTCGGACAAGTAGGAAGTTTGGTTCTCTTCGTTATAGACAAGTTTCTTCAAAAATGTTATCGCTAAACTCAACGTGGCTATGCGAATGTTGGAATCTGAAATAATTGATATTTTGGTTGAGAATGAAGGGAAACTCCGGATTCGCACCTTGTTTAGTAGCTAGTAGAAGTATATGGCAAAGTTTATCGACTAATAAGGTATTGTAGAAGCTTTTCTCCTAGAAGATCGATCGAGAATATCGAAATGAAGATGAGGTGAAATTGAACTAACCGATGATTTAGTTGTTAAACAAACGGATTCGATAATAACACTATCAACCGCTAATAAAATTACAAATAAATGATCGATTAATGAAGTGTTGGGATCCGTGAACTTACATGGATTTGTTGTCATCGTTAATAAAACACTCAAAGCATAAAAACACAGTTGATCATTTTCATCACATTCCAACGCGTCGATTAGAGCTCCGAAATATGGTCTAAAAACCATAACTTTGATCTTCTAAACGAATTTTCTGTACGAAAGCTTACCGATCAGCTAATTCTGTATTATTCAATCGCATTGGTTCTTTACTACGACGTGATTTTTCGTCATCTGTCCAATTAGAAACATAAAGCGAGGTGGGTTTTGCCATTGAATCAAGTAATTTCTTATTGGCAGATAATGATGACGGTGATCGTATACGTGAATGTTCACCTTCATACCGTCGCCGTTCGTCTTCATCATTGATATCGACTACTTTCAATGAAATGTCTAATCAACGGAGAAGTCAATCACTTCAACTTCCACTTTAAAAGTAAAATACCTGAGTCATTCTCAGCGTCATCGCTACTCTCTTCGTTCGGTTCATTTTTCGCTAGACAAACTTCCAAAGCAATTGGCGGTAAGCTATAGAAAAGCTGAGAAAAGACCACGATGATGATCATTAAGAAAGAAATCTTCCTAACCTGTTGACCATAACGAAGTTGAATCGCTTCGACTGTCTCAATATCCGCTGAAATGATTAGATCAGCTAATTCTTCGACTACAGGTCGATAATCAATAACCAGAAAGACCTAAAGGATACAGAACATGTACGTTATTTCTAATTCATCGTCTTAAACTTACTTCGGCCAGAAGAAACAAAGTCGTTAACTGATCAATCATGACTCGTGGATCCTGAACAAAGCTGAACATTCTCTATTTTATCGTCATTTCGAAATTTTTACTTTAACTCGTGAAAATTTTTCACGTTTAATCAATGAAAACACATAGACAGGTATCCACAATCGATTCATCAACTGTTCTTTCAGCACATTATTCAAACTGTGAACATCCAATGAGAAAATATCTTGAATATAATGGATATGATCCAAATATTCTTCTAAACTCGACGTTAAATGACCGCGATTATTAATCCTAAAACAATTCCTCAGATCAATTTTACATTTATGACTTTGACAAACTCTAGATTGTTTCGTATCAAACTATCGAAATCCAACACATGATTTCGAATGAACCAAACAAGATTCGAGAAGTATTCAGTTGCAGTGCAATCCAAGATGAATCGATGCATAGCTGGATCTGGTACTAGAAGGCAATCGAACAACTAGAGATTTTCAGCTTATTTAGAAATTAGATATGAAACCTTTGTATACATTGAGAGTTAATGTTCGCACTGCAATCCGAACCATTGTTTCTGGATGATTGAAAAATTTTATAGCTTCAACATACAGTGGAAGTTCACGGTTTCGCTAAAGCCAAAAGTTAGTCAATAGGAAAGAAAACAAAGCCATCCGTCCATACTTCGTTGTAAAAGAAATTAATCAATTGCTTATTCAGTTTTAATGAGAGTGTCTTGAGAAACGATATATAATATGCTGTTATTTCTTCATCACTAAAATCAAATTTGTGTAAAATGATATTATTCACATGATTATTGGACAGAAGATAATCTATAGAAGAGAAAATGACCAATGAAATGATCCTTGTTAGAAAGTTTCTCACAAAGTGAAGTTTCATTGCGAATATTTTCGAAGAGAATATTCAATGTTTGTAAGATTTGTACACAAATAAAACGGCCGTTCTTTTGACGCATATAATTAAGAAAATAGACCAGCATTCCATGTTCGAGAAAATAACTGAGAATAGACGAGTTATTGTTTCGCCAAAGAGATCGTTTGAAATGACTTACTCAAACACAGAACTGTCGTGTTGATCGCCCCAGATTAAGATCTCCGAGATACTTCTCAATGTTTCAATTAATAAATCAATATTCACATCCGAAACAGTTGGATTTCGATGCAAAACACCATATAAATACCTGAAGAAAGATAGAGATCATAGCTGATCGAACCTTGATCTTACTTGAGATTTTCAATCGAATGAGGATTTCTTGGTTGAGTTGCTCCGAACAGTGTATTTCTCGCTCGTGTGAATAAATCCATCAATATGGAAATGAAATGAAATCTACGATGAGATTAGTTTGCTTTAGTATTTGCTGAAAAAGGAAAGGGAAAGAGTGAGGAAAGATACGCTTTTATTTTTCTATCCGTCGATGGATGGATTTGTATTTTATTTAAAAGAAACAAGACAAAAAATACTGTTTCTCAACAAAACAACGGATGTTCCTTTTTGGTTTTCTTTCTTTTGTTTTCGTGTCACATGATGTTACAAGTCAACTGTTTATTCTCGATTCATCATCTTTTGTCGTTTAAGTTTCTTTTTCGATTCTTTCTTCTTGGCAGCTGGTTCGTCATCAATGGCGCCACCAGTGCGTGTCAACACGTTTTCTTTTTCACTAAGGATTAATTCAATGTGGCATGGTGATGATTGGTATGGATTGATACGACCATGAGCACGGTATGTTCGACGACGAATTTTTGGTGCACGATTCACTTGGATATGATCGATAACGAGATGATCGACATCCAAACCTTTCACATCGGCGTTGGATTCGGCATTTTTTAATAATTGTAAGAGGATCTCAGCGGATTTCTTTGGCCATCGTCCTTGAGAGACTTTGAAAACTTTAGCTTGAGCCTTGCGACTAACACCACCGTTGTATCGTTTGAATGGAACGATTTCTTTTTTGTTAATGACGTTTTTTAAGTAACGTGTGGCACGTCGTACGGTCATACGTCGAAGTGTATTTGCTGTCTCACGTGTATTTTTGAAATGAACACGTAAATAAGCACCTCGAGCTTTGCATGATTTAGCTGGATTTTCGACAGTACCTAGAGAAGAGTTCGCTTGCGATTTGAGAATCATGAAGTTAGACGCGAAACTTACGTGAATATCGAACCATGATGTTAGTCTCTTGTTCGTTTAGATACGATTGAGAATATAGAGAACAAGATCTAGAAAACCCGAAGGAAAATTAGTTTATAAATCAGGAAAGAGAACTATCTTTAAAGTAAAAGAAATGTTTGTTTGCAAGTTAAGAGAATAGATCCACTAGTAAACAACATGAAATGTTGATAACCAATCAAAAAAGTGACGCATTGTACCATCGCCGAATTGTATAGATGAAAATGGAACTATTTTGAGAAACTTATCACTATCAGATGGAAAAGATGAAAGATATCCAGAAATAGATGCCGAAGATCGAAATACTCTAGCATTTTCAATATAGATGGCGCTAATATATGTTTGATCGAAGAGCAAAGAATCCTTGTGCTCGAGCTGTTCATTGAGAAAAATTGCCTGTGTATTAGTATTATATTTGAATGTGAATATAACAACAGATATCTAACATTTGCTATAGGTTGTAAATTCAATATCGAATGTACGAGATATAATGACTTCTAAAATACTCATGATGATCGCTTCACTCAGACTTAATTGAACGATGAACGTTCAACCTAGAATGACAACTCATTCTAGTGATTCTCAGTTTTAGGATAGTCTATTCTAGAGAAGATGTTTTCGTGACATAGAAATTACATCAATACTTCGCACTGGTTTGGTTTGGTTTACGTAGGAAGTCTATGGTTGGTCCATTGGACGATTTCGATCATCCAATCACGATCGATGAGAGCGCTACTTTCGTCGTCAAAATTGAACTATTGAGCATCTATTCCTATCATTGAATGATTTGTACACGATCTAGCAATAAAATTGTCTATAGGTATGAATGTAAAATATAATTCTAGAATAGAATAAATTTGTTTTTTGTATATTTTTATAGTGATTCTTTGTAAAGTATTTGAACATCATTGAACGCACAGTGCATAAAAGGAACGATTTATGTAGAGGACCAAGAGTCGGACAAATGTTTCTCTTCCAAGGTTAATAACATTCAACGAAACGACGGCAGCAGCAGCCGACTGTCTGTTTGTTCAAGGCGTTTGCGAAAGAAAAAAAGAAGGAAAGGACCTCCGTTGCATATATATATATATATATATATATATATACATATGTACACAAGGTCGATTACGATGAACGTAAATGGATCTGTTACATTTTTCTTTCTTTTACTGTTATACATATTGATAGGATGAATAGAAAAGGGATGTTCAGTTCGGAAGCGACCTTGGTCGAGAAGGTCATTGAAGGTCGTGACAAGGCTGCTGATAGTACAATGCAGCAATCAACGTGGATGTGTGCATGCGATAGCGATGCGGCAAAAATCAATTAAACCTTGTATTGTCGTTCAACTTATTTCTATTCTCTGTTTCTTTTTGTAGATGTTTGCCCTTAAAACACTTGCCAATTTATGTACTACTCAATCAAGTAAATATATTTATATCTCAATTGAAAATTCATCTAAGCTTGTTTCTATCAGCTCTTCAACATTCAATACGTACGGCAAAAGTTTTTAAACCAAATTTACTTCTTTCAAAACATCGAAACATAAAAGTTCAAGATGGTCAATGGGTAGAAAAAGATACCGTATTAACCTTACAAAACAATCTCGTTCTTTACCCCGGTGAAAATGTAAGGAAATTTTGAGAATTCTTCTTCATAAACGAGATTTTCTTCTGTAATTAAGACCTCCATCGCACATGACTATACAATCCGAGCGAATGTACCTGGTTTCGTTGTGCTAACAACTGAATCAGTCAAGCCGTATCCACACAGTCCATTATATCGTTATGTCAATAGTGGCAATGATGTGAAACGAAATTTTATTCACATTGTACCACCACGACGTCAAGCAGCTTTTCGTTTAGTAGATCAATTGTAGTTTTCATATGAAAGGAATGATTGTCTCCCACGGGTAGGATAAAGAAAAGATGAAAATCACCGTTGTTTCGTTTCGTTTCTTGTTCATATTTATATTCCGAAGTCTAGCTTGATGTAAACGTTTTCGATATTATGTGTCAATGTTGTTTTGTAGATTGTCGTCTCATATATATTTATGTGAAAGAGAAGTTCACTTTTAGCCTTGATGAATTCAATCTGAACAAGTATGAAAGTATTGATTTATATGAACAGTATTCGTCGTTAAGCTTCAAATTCGTTTATCATGACTGTTGTTGTTCAAACACGTGATCGTTGTCGTCTATGTTTTTCATTACTTTTACGTGATCGTTCGATCTGTTGTCAAAAATCTTTTCATTTGTTTAAGCAAATCGAGCGACGAAAGATCCCATTGAAGAAAATTAGTCCATATCAAATTAAATTACGAAATCAAACTGTATGCTTCCGAGACTTGGTTCTTCGTTATCTACATACTCAACTTCATCAGACGGAAAATTTGTCGAATTTCGTCTGTTATGATTGTTCATTGGTTCTATTGGACATTGAACAATGTGCAAAATACTTACGAAAAACAATCAATCAATTGAAAGTGAAGTTCAACAAGACTAATCGTCTTCGTACCGCATCTTTATCAGCAACGTTTCAAAAGAAGAGGCAAGAACAAGATCCGACTGTTAAAGATGAACAACTGCCAATCAATCAGTCAGATTCAGAAGATGAATTTGACGATATTGACGATGAAGAAGTGTGTAGAGCAGCTTTTCTGACTTAACAATAGAACCATTTCGACCCTTTTTTTGCTAGGAATTTGATGAAGAGCAAGATGATTCACATAAACCGAACTTATCTACCAATGCACCAGTTTCTCAGTCATCGAAATCTCTTCTTTACGTGCCGTCATCATCATCTTTGAAAGATGATTCTTCATCGAAGGTTCATACAACTACTAATCGTTCGTGCAATGCTGATGAAGACGAAGACGACAATGGTGATGATGATGATGAAGGTGAACTAAGAAAAGCTTCAATCGAGAAATCTCAACAACAAAACTTCAATGAATTACTTCATCGTTTACAAACAAACTCTATGAATGCTCTATCCGGTTCAAATGGTCTCATAACAACAGGTAATGCAATGAATCTATTGGATGAAACCAATCCAAATCTGCTTCAAATGCGTTTTGCACACATGATAGCAGCAACATCGACTAATTCAACACAACAAAATCCGATAATGAATACGTTGGCTAATATGCAAAGAAATTGGTTCTTACAATTTTTAAATGACCCTATGGCAGCTGCTCAAGCAGCACAAGCCGCAGCTGCAGCCGTTTCAGCGACACAAATCAAGGCTAATCTAACACCAATGTCATTGATTACATCGAACATGAAACAATTAGGAAGTGGCCGAAAAAGAAAGTCAACGCCTGAAAAACGCGTCGTGACAAATCATCAATCAACGAATAACAATGGCGATGTATGTATTCGTAATCATCTGTAATATGTTACGAACGATAGTTTAATTTAGATGTCACCAAAGCCTGAACACGACTCAACTAACAACAATACTAGTAACAATAATGGTATTCACGATTTTGCTGAACATCCGCTGAAATTAACTCTAAAAACTCTTCAACAATCCAATCAAATGTTGTCGACACCAGATGTTCACAATCTCGCGGTATGTACCGAACAGATGTTCACTAATCGATCAGCTGACTTTGATCCTCATTCTGTCTAGACAAATCCAAAACTGGAAAATGGTAGTTCATCGTATTCTCAAAATTACATCAATGCATATCAATCTATCGATGAAGGTAGGAGAATTGCATTGGGTTGGGTAAAATGTTTTCATTGACGTTTGCCGGTTTTTCAGAGCGCCGAGAGGGTGCGGCACTGAATGATTCGTCGTTATCTCTTTCTCCATCGTTACTTCGTCGGAATACACCTTCGTCTAAACGCCGGAAAGTCTCCACACCAACAGGTCAATACGATTATTCGAGCGATTCGAAAAATCATCTTTCTCAAACGTCAGCAAGCGATTTACTTTCACCGAATCATCAAACAATATCAAACGATGAACTCAATGGAAGTAGTCAACAGAAACAACAACGCAAATTAGATCCACGTACATGTGCCGAATGCGGTAAAACCTTATTCAGTGATAAAACGCATCTACTTCACTGTCAAACGCATGCAAAAAACGAAAAACAATGTTGGATTTGTGGAATAACGGATGACGATATTAAAAAGCATATTATCAGCGAACATGGAAATCAAAAGTTTACAGATACTGGTTTCAAGGTAAGATCGAGAATGTGTGCATATTCTTCTCGATGATCATTTCAATTTTAGTGTCAACATTGCGAAAAAGTTTTTCCCGTTTATGCCGATTTGGAAATGCACATGCGAGAGCATACTAAGAAAAAAGTAAGTTGAGCGCACACTAAATCTAAAAAACAATTCCAACGTATCTTTTCGTAGCCGTTCGAATGTCCGATTTGTAATAAACGCTTTGGTCAACAAGGAAATCTAAGCTGCCACTTACGAATACACAGTGGTGTTAAGGTAAGTCGTCTCAACGCTTTGAATGGAGATGATCGATTTGTTTTATTTATTACCGTAGCCATTTACTTGTACCCATTGTGGTAAAGCGTTTCGTCATTCGAATAGTTTACGGCGTCATGCACGCACTGTTCATTCAGTATCGCGTGGTTTGACAATGAGTCCAGGTTCAGGTGCTACCACAACAACGGCCACTCCATCGTCACTTCTTCTGACCACTGCTACATCTAGTAATTCAATGGTATCAATGGCAAACGATATACATCGGTTGAGTACAAGTGAAGCATATGATGATGCCAATTCAGGACTAATGATTCCATCGGACGATGCGGAATCGCTACAAGGTCCACCGTCAACATCGTCCGCTGGTGCACCGTCACCTTTAATGTCCAATGCACAAATCGATGAAGATTCCCACGAATAGTTCGGGAAATATTTGATCTATGTTCATATGATATGTATACATACTCAATTCGTGTGCATTATAACAAGGTTAAATCTCTTGCTTTGTCATCATTCATTCATTCATTGGCAATACGAATTTTTTGTGTTTGGGCTCCAATTCTACATGTACGCTGAGCATTGTTCTCGGCTGTACGTCTTTGTATAGTTTATTCTGATGTATTAGCGAACAGTATTTCTTATGTAGAATGGCCTTCTTCTCTTTTTTTTCTCTTGTTCTTCTATATGTTTGTGTTGTGTATGTGTATGCATGTTTTTCAGAACAGTGAAACCCGTTTTTCTCTCTTTCCCTCACTCCTTTCTCTTGTTTAGTTTCACTGTTGTTGTTGTTATTAAGACTATTTTTTGTTCTGATCTTGAGCAGTATTTTTCCATCTGATTATTCTTCGCAGTCAATAAGAACATTATCGTTAGCGTTTCTGTACTCTATGCCGGTGAAGATTAAACATCAGAAGAACGTTACACTGAGCATATATTGTTTTTTCGAACAGTGACTATGTGTGTATGTGTGCAGTTCCGGTGTGTGCTGTGAGTAAAAAAAACAAACAGAAAACAAACACGAAAGAAAAAGAAAATACACATATATCTCCGTCAAAAAAAAAGAATAACTAATGTCACCGGCCGCGTTTCTTTTCCTTCCCTGTATTCGTTTTCTTTTTCTGTTTTCCCGGTCCTGTTTATTGTTTTCATCAGTTTCGTCTATTCGATCTAGTCTCGATATTTTTCTAACTGTTTCATTGTGTATACTTACATACTCTTCTGTTGGCTATGGGTTGTATTTCTCTGCAACTTGTCATCTTGTATACGTATGTGTGCGTGTGTTGTGGGATAATCATGTAATTTTCATGTGGCTAATTTTCTTTTGGTTCTGTTTATTGTAGTTGATAAAAACTTTCTCTCTTTTTGTCTTTGAAAAATCTAGGACGTTGCGCTTTCTTGTTTTTTCTTTTTCTTTGCAACACTAGAAATCTTGGTGGTGCTGATTCTTTTCGTTTGTTAGATTGGTTTCTTTTTCTACTGTTCTCTTTTTCTCCCTTTAGAGATTTTTGTGCGCATACTGCGTACAAATTTTCACGTTTTTTCTTTGTTGGTTCTTCCGATTATATTACTCCTACTTTACAGTGTATCTCGTTTCCTTCCAGTTCTTCTTCCTCATCTTCGTTTATCTTACTTACTATAACTATCACAGCTTCCTGAGAATATTTATGTGAAAAAAAACGAGATCGTGTGCTACTACTACTACTATTGCTGTTGGTTCGAATAAATTCTAAATTGGAATATATATAGAAGAAAAAAAAAGGTGAAAATTCTTGTCTTTTTATGGATGATCTGTTGTTTGGATGAAAACAGCAATGGGAGACTAGACTATCTTCGAAAACCAAATTGAGACCTGTATTTTTAGATGATAATATTCGAAAAAGTGAGCCTGTATAGACTGTTGATAATCTGACACATCAAGATGTTCATTGTATTGAATGAAATGACAGTCAGCGATTCGTCTTCTTATCGAACAGTGATATCGTCAGTACTGATTTGTTTTAGATCGCACTCCTGTAGGCATCTGTATATCTGACTAGTTCATGACAATCACAGATCCATTCCACGATAGGCTATGATCAAGTAAGTAATTCTTGTTGAAGAAACATTTGTTGAGTTTATATTTCTAGGGTCATTGAGTGATGATAAAAGAAAACAAAGTCGAGTATGATTGAGAAGTAATTCATTGTTCTCCGCTTCTCTCTCTCTCTTTATTGCATTATGTACTTTTATGTGATAAAATGATCTCATTCATCTGATTAGTTCGATATGAGATTTTACTTGAATATTGAGAAGAACACATATAGGACAATTCGGTATTATTTCACGTTAGATGACAGTTGATTTTCTTCTATTTGTAGAAACTAGTCTTCTATTATAAACTGAAATAATGTCTGAAAACGAGACTCTAAAACCAAATGAGAGTGAACTCGAACCTGAACACAAACGTAAAGTATTTATCGGAAGCTTATCGTATAATATTGATGAAAATGCATTTCGTGATTATTGGACAAAATTTGGCAACGTTTTGTAAGTGTAACACAAATCATTGAACAGACAAGCAACTTGATTGTCTTTTTTCTCTCTTTAGAGATGCGACAATATTACGTGATCGAGAAGGTCGTTCACGTGGCTTTGGTTTTGTTACATTTGATAATTCTGCAAGTGTTGACGTCTTGATGCAAACCAGACCACACACACTGGACAATCGTGTTGTCGAGCCAAAGCGAGCAGTAATATATCTGAGTAGAATTAACTTTGTGAACGCAGTATTTTGTCTTTCCTTAGATTCCTCGTGAAGAAACGCATAGAGTCGATGTGCAATCAGTCGTGAAAAAACTCTATCTTGGAGGAGTAAAAGAACCAATGACTGAAGATGATCTCAGAGAGTATTTTTCCAAGTATGGAACAGTCACTGAGATTGTTATAACAAAAGATCGTGATGGAAAGTATCGCGGGTAAGAAAACATCCATACTGAACTCAAGAAGATCAATATGCTTTTCTTTACTCAGTTTCGCTTTCGTCGAATTCGATGAGTAAGTTAAATCGAAATGAAAATTGAAGTTTATCTTCTTTCGTAACTAGCTACGATCCGGTGGACAAAGTCATTCTAGAAAAAAATCATTTAATTGCTGGTCAACAGATAGTCGTTCAAAAATCTCAAGCAAAGAACGGTCCACAACGTTCGAATAGTAATATGCGCCCTCGGCAAGGTCCACCCACAATGTCCAGACCGAATTATAGTGGTGGTTACAATAACTATCAACAAAATTCATACAACAATTCGTACGATCAAATGCCAAATAACAACTACGACGGTTATAATGGAGGTTCATTTGGTCAAGGGTAGATTGAAATATTCAATTCAAATCCTCTCAATTCAGTCGATGTTGTTTCTAGATATGATCAAAGAAATTTTGGTGGACCTATGCGACGAGGACATATGGGTGGTGGTGGTGGCCATGGATATGCACCTTATAATGGTCGTGGTCGCGGAGGTCACAGTGGTGGTGCGAGTGGCGTTGGAGACGGTCATATTAGTCAAGGTCCATCTTGGGCCTCTTGGAATTGAATGAACCCTAACTGTTTTTTTTCTTGTAATCAGATATAACATCTAGAAAAACACACAACTCTCTTTTTCTATACATCTTGGATTTCTTCTTACTGATTCTGTCTGTAAATTTCTCCAAAAACAAAAGTTAATATGTTCTAGATGGAAAAACGTCTCGCCGATCTTGAGCAACGATTACAATCATCCATATCTAACATCTGGTGTCGAACTCTTCTAAATCAAATCAATCATCTATCGTCATCGCTCTCCAATCTTTCACCCATCTATCGATCACGCTTAACTCGTGAACAACTATTAGCATCCATAAAAATAATCCAAGATTTGAATTTGAACTCAACCAATACCGATGTATATCGTCGAGCACTAGCGAACTATCTTCTTCTTCTATCAATTCATACTCATAAACTCGTTTGTGGAATATTATTGGATCATGTTCATCATTTGAAACACCACTTAACCTATTGGAAAAACGATGAGTTGAATCAATTTCAAGTCGTTGAACAATTAAAAACAACATTTTGGTTTGATCAACAACGAGATGACATCCGTATAACAGAAAAAATTAAATATCTCAATAATCAACAAGATTTGTTAGCTAATCTTATCGGTCGTTTAGCTTATACAATAACGAAGTTAGAACAGCAAGAAAAGCTCGATCTTAACGAAGTCATGAGTGCAACAAATGAACTTCATAAAATCGTTTTCGATGAAGTCACAGTCGAGTATAATTCTCAAAGTGATTTGCTCGATGTCATTGAAGTTCATTCTCAAATACTAAATTCATTCGATGAGTTTCGCTCGAAACTAATCGAGAAAATTCATCTCTACCGACGACCAACACATCTAAAACGTTATCTCCCGTACTATATCGGTTTCACTGCGATTGGCATGTTCATCATCTATAAAGTCTATACAAACAAAACCGGAATATACAATTACATTACAACGACATACGAATCCTTGAAATTCTTTCTCAATGAACATTTAGTCGCTCCGTTAAAAACAATCTACACATCAACATTCGAATCCCATTCATCGGAGAGTGCCTACGAAAACTCACAGTTAAATTACACAAATTCGAAGAAAATTTTAGAAGAAATGTTAGAAGAATACGGACGACAACATGCCGGTACTTTAGCACAAGTGAATAACGTTAGTGTAGAAGAATTCTTAGCGACATTGAATGAACGTGCAAGAAATGAAGATATGAACGTCGTGATGAAGAACTATCAACAAGAACTCAATTCTCCGATTCGATCCGCACTTCTCGGAGATTTAATCAAAGGTATACATTCAAATCTGATTCGATCTATTGATTTTCATCTTTGTTGGTTTAGGTATATTGATTCAAGTACAAAAAGTCAAAGTCGACGGCGAAGGTTTAATCATACAAATTGATCAACTGATGAAACAAAACCAAATCAATTTCAGTTTACTGGCAACGATTCCCGCAATACTAATCATTACTTTTGTTTTCGTCGCAACGAAAAACGTCATCAGTGATCGACTGATCAATCAACGAAAATTCGATCTCACCACCCTTCGGGAGCAAATCATTCGTAAACTTCGCGAAGTCGAACATATTCTAATCATGAACAGTGAGACACCAGCATTGACAATCAACAACCATGAACTAATCGTTCCTGAATTCGATCGTCATGCGGCCACTGACCAAAAGCAATTGATGACATACACTACATTTGGTCAATTTCTTAGTCTAATTTATGAATTGAAATATTTTGCTAAACAATTGAAGTCAAAACGAATGCTATCAAAAGAATTCAATGATGATATTAATCTATTAACCTACACCCAATTTTCTGCGAATCAAAAACTTCTAATCGTTCAGCAAATCCACCACTCCTATTCATTTCTCGTACATTCATAATAGGTGATTCAGTTTAGTTTGTTTTTTCCTCGTCCTTTTCAATCGGTGCTACATAGTGTTTTGTTCGTTTTGCTCCGAGTGTATCCACTGGTGATATGACATAATAAACAAAACGAAAATCCAGCGAATGTTCATTCGAATTCTTGTTCTTCTTTGAAGTCGTGCATTAGTTTGTGATTGAAATCGATACTGAAATGTTGTTGTTTTTGTCAAACTATTTGAACCTTGATCGAAAGCAATGATATGTTAAACAATTTTCTTATTAACCGTGTAATACATGATGACAGTCTTGTTTCATCTTCTTTCATTGATCATATCAACATATATTGTTTCCTATTATTGAGAAAGATTTTACTTTCGATACCGAATAATTGTTTTTCTTTCTCTCGTTCGTCAAGGATATGTGCTCAACATCATTTTCATTAGATAGGAGGAGAGACATAATTGATTCGATATCTTTGAAGTTCATTGAATCAAATAGATACTCATCGATTTGACAATCAAACAACAAACAATGTTCATGTGAATGTACATTCCTCCCCATCGACATCGATCTCACTTGCAATGTTGACCTTTTTTGCTCCAAATGATCGCTCGGCTGAAATTCGATCTATTACTGCTGATTAGAGAATGCACATATACACGATCGGATATAAACACAAATGAGACGTATCTGTTGTTACATCTTGTCAGCAAAACGAGTTGTTTGAGATCATTTACATTTCACACAGTATTGACATACATTATCTCTAGTTATTCGGTGCTCATTAAAATGAAATTTTAGCGAAGTATTTTTATTATGGAAAACAAGAACTGTAAACATACAAGGAAATATGAACAAAATGAAACTACCATTAGAGTTGACGATGGATTTATTTGTCACTGTGAATTATGTACGATCGTCTTCTGCAGTGTGAAATTTTCATTTGACTAGATCGAATTTTCTCTAGGATGAACATGTTGTGGTAGCGGGTGAGATGAAATTGTACAAAGAATGATGATGATGAAGAACATTAGCAGCAGCCACGGCTAATGGATGTTTTAATTGCAGAAAACGATACTTCTCGGTATCCGCTTCAGCGATACGTTTTTCTTTCGCTCGACGATTTTGAAACCATATCTGAACAACGAGAGATCTTCCATTTTATGTTCAATCTCAACAATCAACACCTACTTTCACTTGAGTTTCTGTTAAATTCAACGAAGCAGAGAATTCTGCTCGTTCAGCAATGGTTAAATATTGTTTATCGCGAAATTTCTTCTCTAACGCTAATAGTTGTGATGTCGTAAATGGTGTACGTGGTTTACGATTCTGTTTATGTTTGCGCAATGAGCAGACTTTTGCATTGATCTTCGGCAATTCATTATTACCTAGAATAATCAAAGGAAATTACGAATTGATTTTTCAATTGCTATCAAATTCTTACGTGCTTTGTCGATGATTTCCGCGTCGGGTAGCCAATGTGATTGCGAAGTTGTATTCGTCCAGGATAATCGACCGGCCATTCCGCTACCCGCCGAAGACGATGGTGAATATTGTAGACTTTCATTACTTGCTGATTTCGATGGACTTGTCGTATGGCAGGATGAATGGAGAGTATCATTCTGCGAGCAATCGATTAATGAACGTATGCTAAAATCTATGTTGCGCTTGGACTTTTTCAATGGTGGTTCCATATTTGATGATTGATCGAGAGATTTAATTCTAATTTGTGAAATGAAATTTATTCTTTCTCTCTCTCTCTCATTTTCCCTCTTCTTCTTCTTCTTCTCCTCCTCGTCGTATTCAGAAGGAAGGAGAAAAGTAATCCGATTGGTTGAAAGGTTAAACTAACTGGAAGAAAATGTCTTATTGGACAAAAAAAAATGAGAACACCAAAACGGTTGCTCTTTTCTTTCTTCAATTATGAGAGTGAGAAAGAGGAAATCAACGCTTATCCTCCGAACGGAAATTACTTCTTTTTTTAGTACCTTGGAAAAAAATATAATATCATTGTGTTCATCTTTATTCAATGATTATACGTATGCATAGAGATAAAGTAGCCCTTCTCGAGAGCAAAACATCGACGAGATCAATCAATATAAAACTATCATTAATCGTATATGCAACTAATCCCAATAATTTCATTTCGACAGGTATACGCCTCTGACATTCGTTTGGAGCTAAAGACATTCAGCGCGAGGAAAATGACAAATTCACGTTTGATTTGATGTTAGTTTACTTTTTCTTGACGAGGTTAACTCTAATAGGCAGACTCGAGGGGGTAATTAGATGATAGGTGAAGAAAGCATCTATCACTGCGAGACATTTGACAAGCGCAACGAATGATGATATGCATGGAGATTTCTTCTCTCATTGACGATGAAATTTCATTATGATGTAACATAAACTGATCTCCAGGAAATACAAAAGCGATCAATATTGTAACGGAAGTAACTCGTTTGATCGAAAGCTTACCACCCAGATGCCCTAGATATCAAACACGAATACCGGTCTCTTTTAACAAATACAGACACATATTCATTCGAATGTAATAATTAAGAAGCCAGATGAAAATTATCCTTCTCTTTTTCGTTCCGTTCCCATGTAGAAATATTTCATTCTTTTCGACATCATTCACATATCATTAAGCTAAATGACTATTATGATATGCATTGAGACTCGTCGTCAGTCAAGTGTCGAACGGTTGTTGTGTGTTCATTGATCAAAATTTTATTTGATATATTTTTTTTTCTATTACCATGTGATTCAATGAGTTGGAACAGATTTTCTATGCGATTGTCAAAAATGGAATGGTTCACCTGCTTTCTCTCACATTCTTGCAATTAAATAATCATTGTTCGATTACAATCGAATATCGTCGACATTTTATCGAGCAAAATGACGGCGTGGTTCATTAATAAAGGCGAAGGAAGACGAATTTCATATGCAAATGTTCTCGTTCGTTGTTTTTTGTGACTTCTTTAAAGTAGCTGACAGATAATGCGCATGACTATTGAAAATTTATTCACTCGAATCGCTGAAGTTTTGACATTTGAAACATGCAAATAAACTTTTCAATTGACTTTCTTCCTCTCGTCGTCGTTCTTTTTCAATCGAATATGCGTGACAACAATACGCATGAAATTGATAATTGAGAAAAATTAATGGGGTTATCTTCATCGTTTGTTTTTCGAAGGAGCCCATTGATAAATGAGAGGATGATGGAGACAATTAACCAAATAAATCAAATAGTATACCTTGAGTAGTATTTAACATGAATGTATCTATCGATCAAATGAGAGATATATCTAAACGACCCATTCTCAAGTATAAGACGCTTGTTGTCAGTGTGATAGATGAAAAACTGCAAGGTGATAGTTTTCCATCGAGTTGATTACAATTTCTTCGTATAGTCTGGTATCCATTTCTAGTACAAACGATAGTAACTAGTTCATTAGTCGAATACAATAACGATCGTTTTTCTTTCTTCTAAATGCATCTCAGCATAAACATTGAATGGCTACGACGTGACACAACGAGTCAATTGCTATTCCCGATCGACACAACTAATCGACTATAGACGAATGTATAATAAGAACTTTTAATCGTCAATCAATAGACGTTGAAATATATATATATATATATATAAATGTATAAAACAAAAAAAAACGGGAGACTAGTTTAGACAAAAAATTCGGATTGTTATGCAAAAGGAAAATATGCTGATGTCATGTCGAATTGCTTGACTAATTGATCTTTGATTTGAATGAAACGATATTTTTCGAGTTCAGCTTCTGATAGACGCTTTTCTTTCGCTCGACGATTTTGAAACCATATCTAAACAATGGTAGACCTTCCATTTCCTTTCCAATCTCAACAGTCAACACTTACTTTCACTTGGGTTTCAGTTAAATTTAGTGACATTGAAAATTCTGCTCGTTCCGATATGGACAAATAATGTCTTTCATGAAATTTCTTTTCTAACGCAATCAGTTGTGATGTTGTGAACGGTGTGCGTGGTTTCCTATCATTTTTGTGTTTACGCAATGGACAGATTTTCGTGTCGAATTGATCTACAAAGCGATGATTAAGATAACTCTTGACTTCATTCGAAGAGAAATCTGTATTCTTACTAGATAACCAATAATCTGACGGAGACACTGTTGAATTTTTGATCATTGGAATCGATGACTTGCTTGGATATGTATTCAAATCACAGTCATTTTTATCACGTAAGAGAAACGCAACACTAAAATCTTTCTTCGTTTTAGTTACCATTGGATTGTGCTTAATGGTTAATTTGTTTTCTTCTAAGTTGAATGTGAGTGTATATATGAAATCTACAACACCAATGAAAAGAACGATGGATAAAGTTATTCTTTACATTTCATGATTGGTTGAATATGAAAAGAAAGGGTACGGGAGAGAGAGAGACAGACAGAGAAAAGGAAAATAGTACTTTGCTTGTCATCGTCTTAATGCGATTGTACGTAATATCGAATTAACAACTAACAACAATGTCGATGATGTGATCAACTCATTTAATAACTCATATATCATAACTGATTAATTCAGAGAATGATATGTCCGAAAGCATCGATATTTACGTTCGTTTTCCTTCTGCTCATTGAATGGAAAATGTATCAATTACTTATTTTTTTCTCTTTCTATTAATGAATGATCGATCGGATCAAATTTTCGCTTTCGACCTTTCCTTCTCTCGAACAACTGGTGGTAAACATGAAAATTTCCTCAAAGCGCAAAAAATTCGTCAGACGATCAATGTAGCACGTCGATTCTCTCGCGTACGCTCATCCAACGGAAGCATTCCACACATATTCGAACAATCCGAAAAAGTCTAAATGTTGTT